CATTCCTTTCATCACTGAAGTGATATACATGGTCAAAAATTGACTAACTTTCATTTTTGTGTCAACTGCAGAGCAGAACGACACTTAGAGATCACTTTACCTGGTGTCTGTCTGTCCATCTGTCACACCTTATATCTCCAAAATTTTGAGAGGCAGGGTTTTGATAATTAGCATTTATATATGTTTTTGAGCTCATGATACTATACTTTGAAACTGTATGAAATTCAGTTACCACACAAACTTATATTTAAATACTATGAAAATACATTGGGATCAGTATTCCACAATGAATCGTGTTGACTGACAAAGTGACAATTAAAGTAAAGACAGTCTGAAATTCCTTTCCTCCGAGGATTGTTGGAAGCACCTACATGTGTATTAATAAAATGATAAATAGTTATTCCTCATAATTTCAATTAAATTATTCATTTGAGGACTGGGGAACCATATTTTCTTTGATTGCCAGATTCTATCCCAGTCTTTTAAATACTTTTGGATCCTTTTTTTCCTTGCAGGCAAATGCTTGAACCTCCATGCTAATATTAAATTAATAGCTGACCACTCTTAGATTTATTTACCTCTTTAATGACGATACCTAGCAGGTGACATATACATTCCTTGAAACACTCTAGTTCCTATTTGATTTTCACTAATATAAAGATTATTGAAAAAAGACTAAGGTGCTCTATAGTGATCAGTCTATTCATTCATCTGTCTGTCAAATACACATATCCCTTGTTCAGAATACAGGTGACTCTAAATACTTCAAACTTTATATTTTTTAATTAGATACATGTAGCTGCTTTGGAACATCTGAAAGGTCTATTACATTATCACTAGTTTTACTAGTTTTCTTCATGTAAGTTGAATATATTTTAAACTTGTAAATTTTTATTTTTTCCAGGTAAGAAAGAAATTCTGGAGTTCTTCAATTGCCCTTGGAGTTCTTGGATTGCATCAAACTGCTAAAAGACCTTAACAAAAACAGCGTCTTGAAAATAAAAATGAAAATATTCAGTGAAAAAAAAAATGATGAAAGAGCCACTAAAAATCTTCTAGCCTTTGAGCTGAAATCTGGAAGTCAATCTGTGGACTTTACTAGTAAGTCATAATTACTAAGTCATCATTTGTGTATAATAAATACACTAAACTGTAAACACTTGTTAAAATGTGTATAATTTTTAGATATAATTTGTATCTCATAGACTTCAATAGTTTCATGTAATTTAAGTAATAATGAAAATTTCCTGTTGTCTAGCTAGATTAGAAACTATTATTGTCCAATTTTGGATATTGTGAAATAATTCATCTAGTATGCATACATGTGTGTACACTTACGTGTAAATTAATTGTTATAGGAAATTCAATCGATCATTAAGTTGAACGTTGACTAATGTTTTTCATCAAAATTGTTTACACTGAATTGTTTGTGGATTTTCCATTTGCCCAATCATGTCAAGGAGCACATGGCAGGAAATGCTTTCTCCTCCATTGCACCTGGTGTTTTTAGAGGTCTGTGTTTGCTCTGCTCTAATTATGTATTGTTTCAATGGACTTTAAAGCTTGATCACTGTTGGTAATCTTCATATTTCATATACTATTAGAGTACTTGAAGAAAACTGTAAAGATTTAACATACAGTATAATGCATGTATATTGCACTTTAAGTGCAGTGTATGTGGTTAAGAAATGTTAAATCGTCTCATAGTGCATTGAATTTGTTGAAAATTAGAAAATGTGTTGAAATTTTTTTGAAATAATGTTAGATTGCAGATTTTTTTAAATCATGCAAGTAAGAAATTGCTAAATATTTTTTTAGATTTACTGGACAGTCTAGATGAGTTCTTACTATATACCTAGCATTGTCATCCCAGTTAAAATTTAAGGAACAAGATTCATTACTAAGCTCTACCTGGACAAACTTGCATGGATTAAAGCACTTTAACAGATTTACTTCAGATGCTTGACCTGATCTACATTTTCCTCGTGTTTTTTTGTTTTGTTTGTTGTTTAACATCCCTCTCAAGAATTTTTCATCCATATGGAGATGCCACTACTTGCTGGTGGAGAGCTGCAAAATTTGACCTATACTTTGCACTCAGGGCCTTGAGCAGTAAGGGATCTTTTTTGTGCCCACATCAACTGCTAGGACCTCGGTTTATATGGTCTAATCTGAAGGATTGGTCCCCACATCCCCAGTGGATTTGAACCTGAGACTTAAGGATTAAATCCTTACTCGCGACTCTAGATTACAAACTCTATCCTTTGCGCCACATGGGGGACTCCACAAGATTAAGTGTTTTGAGCAGTCCTATTCTCATGTAATTATAAACTCTATGTTGAACAAACCTGCAAAGATGATGTATGTACATGTAAATGTTTCAGAGTACCAATCCTTGATTTGACTTAGATTTTCTGGATTAATGACCAGTTTTTTTAGAGAAGGTTCATTCAAAGTAACAATATACTCTTTGGTGATCAGTAAACATAGATGATGTATCCTGCTTCTGATGCTGGATTTAACATACATTTTCAGGGTTATTGAGCAGTTAAATCTAACCCAGACCAACTTGCATAGATTTTGGATCCAGGTGATATACATTACCAGAGTGTTTGTTGAGTGAGACTTTGCCTTACTAGTAGATAACATTTATAGAAGTGAGCTTTGTATTCTTTGATTAGGTATGTTTTTTCTTTGCTCAGGATATATATACCATCAGTGCCAACTACCATACATTTTATATAACAGATGTAGCTGTTGTTCAACTGAATATGATAAAACTGTGGATGAAAATAATTTGATTTTTGTACCTTTGAATGTATTGAATTAATTTGTAAAAGCTGTTATGATACAATGTTTGATATTTTATAAAAGTTTTTAGCATATGCAATCAATAAATGTATCAACATTTTTATTTTATTATACTTTTTACCCTGCAAACTTCTTAAAAACAGAATAGAAATGATCCATTTAACTGATACTAGGTTAGTGTCACATTGTACTGGTATATCATGTATACTGAACTGTAAATAAGAAACATCAAATAGGTAAAATCACAGCATGAATCATTGGATTATGTAAGAAGTGCACTATCTTGTGCTTTGGTATGGTATTAATAATAAATGTTAAACTATCATTTTTTTTCAAATTAACAAAGGATATGCTTGAGTGACTGTATTTTGACTAGCAGTAAAAATAAAATGATTTTTAAGCATTTGAATTATTTTGATTCATGGTCTCTGCAAGTTTAATGATAGCAAATATGTATATTGAACATGGCATCCACATATTGCTATACTGGATGGGGCATAACTTTTACTGAATCTTAATCACAACCTTGAAATTTTATGTAGTACATGTACTCTTGGTTTCAACTGGTCAAATGTATTCTTAAATCAGAAAGAATTTAAACAAATATAGGCATAGGTCAGAACTTCATCAATTAGTTGGAAAGCGAATGCACTCGGTGACTATAATGTTTAAAAGAAGCTGGGTATAAATAGCAGGAAAAACTACTTGATGTCCACTGTGAACTTTGTGTCCTCAACAAAACAATATGGAGTATACTATACTTGGTCTAAAGAATAATCTGTGTCTGCATTCACTTTTAGGTTAAACTGTTTTGGGCATTGAGAGTTTGTTTGTTGTTTAACGTCCCTCTGGAGAATTTTTCACTCATATGGAGATGCCAACACTTGCCAATGGAGAGCTGCAAATGACCTATGCTCGGCACTCAGGGCCAATGGGCAGTGAGGGATCTTTTTCATGCCAGCATCTACTGCGACACTGGACCTCTGTTTGTACGAAGGACCGGTCTCTACGTCCCACAGTGGGATTCAAACATGTGACAAAAGGATCAACTAACTCCATGACTCTAGAGCATAGGCTCTTTCCACTGCACCACGTGGGCGACAGCATTGAGAGTTAAATGTGGATATCAGAACAAGCTACTCTGGGCTTATACTCTCTATATATTGATTGATTGTATGTTGTTTAACATTCCTCTCAAGATTTTTTCACTCATATGGAGACACCACCACATGCCGGTGGAGATCTGCAAATTTTGTCCTATACTCGGCACTTAAGGCCATTGAGCATCGAGGGTTTTTTTCGTGCCAGCACCTACTGCGACACAGGACCTCGATTTATACGGTCTCATCCCACTGTGGGATTTGAACCTGCGACGTAAGGATCAACTCCTTACTTCGCTACTCTAGAGCAGACGCTCTAACCACTGCGCCACTGGGGCAACTACTCTCTATTTAAGTCACTTGTGCAATGACTTTAGTTTAATTCAAAGTTTTGTACTGATCATGTTGAGTCACATTAGCACAAATATCTTTCTGCTGACCTTGACTAATGACCATCCGCAACTATTCTGGTTGGAAACAATATGTTAATTAATGCATAATAAGTGAAATTACTATGAAAGAAAAATGGTCTACTTAAACCACAAGTTATATTTACGAAAAATATACACTGGTCTCCTTAAGTCATATGAGAGAAACATAAAATATTAAGGAGACCATTTTTTTCATATATTTTTAGGAGGCATTTATTATGAAAAAATAAAGCAAGAGTCGACTAAATGGTGTTCTATAGATCTTTAAACTGGTATTTCTTTTTAGAAAAAAGCAAATTTAAAAAATTTGTATATTGTCTCCTTAAGCCATATATAATGGTCTGGTCTCCCTAGTCCTTAAATCAGAGTTATATATATATATATATATATATATATATATATATATATATATATATATAATTGAATATGATGTTGTGTATTTATATGTTAAAATAAGCGTTTAATCAAATAAACCAGTTACATTTTATTTCTATTATATTCATTAAATTATGCACATTCGTATTATCTCAAACTTTCAGCATTTATAAATATCAATTTTATTTAACCAAACACAACCTTACGTGATGAAGAAAACCACAAATGCACATATTAAACATAACTTATATCATTATTTTAATTAAAAAAAAAATTAAAATCAGTCATGTGCCATTACATCACATCTTACAAATAATATATTTGTACAAGATTTGACCCTGAATTAAGAATTCAGTGGGCACAATTTATGATCGGATACTAGTATATACATATTTGTTCTTGAAAGCGCCAAGTCTTTTTCTTCATTTCGCCAAAAGGACGTGAGCAAACTCTGCAAAAGAGAAAAAAAGAGAGTAGAATAGACATAAAATTATAGCTTAGGGATAGGGTGTCCTGAGTTATGGAATATATGTTTCGAATCCCAATTATTCATTTAAAAACAATACAAATATGTTCGAATCAAAACCTGCATGAAATTGCACATTCTTAAGTCAAATTTTCTGCATGCACCTGTTTATTTCTTAAACTCTCTACTTGTCCTTGAATAGCCTACGACTTTTAACCAGTTTTTTAATACATTGTAATCCTACGTTCTAACGTGCACGAAATTCAAAATGAAAGTTCTGGTTAAAATTAAGTTGGTTTCTTGCTTGAAGCAAAAACTACAATTAATCTTTCACAGTTGAAAAACAACTAAAAACATAGTAAGCGCGAAATCGTTAATGTCATTTTTTAATACCTTAAATTTCACTCATAGTAAAGATTTTTTTTTTAATTTTACATATTTAATTTGATAATAAGCGTAGTTGAAATTTCGATTTAATCGAACTTTTACCATTTATGAACTGATTTACGATGGAAAATAAAAAAAATATAGTAATTAATTTACCATCTTAACTTTTATTTATTCTTGTGAAAAGTATGAAGATTCCATTTGATTGTGTAAAACTATCGGAATAGAGGAATTGCGGAGTTTTCGTTACAATACTAATGGGAAAAATCATGGAATTTTGATAACTGTTACAATAGTAACATTCGTCAAATATCAATTTTCTGAAGGTAGAAACAATGGAACTTTGATTTACTCTAATAAAAAATAAGACTTCGACTACATATTTATGTACTATTGTACATTAATGTATTTTGAACTTCAATTTACTGTAGTAAAATCTTTTGAACTTTGGTTTACTAAAATTTTCGTAACTTTGATTTGCTAAAATTAAAAACATATAATAAACCTTGGACAAGCAATAATAAACACCATGCATGGAATCTTGAATTTACTATGAAAAAGTCTTTAAACTAAATTTGATTTACTGTCGTGAATAAAGTCTAGAACTTTGATTACCTATAAAAGCTAAAGAATTTTGATTCACTAGAGCATGTGGGTGGGTGGGGTGGGGAGTTGTATGCCTTTTTGACCGTAGACAATTATGAAGAACCCCCGTCAAATATTAAGGTTCCCTAGGTATTGTAGTAGCAAATATCTTTAACTTATACAATCTGTCTCTTTCAATTAAGATGCTTTTAAGTCTACCTTTATAATTAATTTGACCATCTCCATTCATATCGGCAGCTCGGACCATTTCATCTATTTCTTCGTCTTGTAACTTCTCGCCAAGATTCGTCATCACGTGACGTAGCTCCGCAGCGCCAATGTAACCATTGCCTTCTTTGTCAAACACGGTAAAGGCGTCAATGATTTCCTCTTCTGTGTTTCTTTCATGTCGATGTCGCTCAAACATCGCAAGAAATTCTGCAAATTCTACTTGTCCACTTCCTGGAAATTAGTAGAGAGTATTTCTGTATAATATCTTTATCGATGGCGCTTACTTAAGCATCATATTTTTACTAAATAACCGTTTACAATAAGATATTAAATGTATACTTTATTTAAAAAAGTTATATATATTATATGACATTTATATAAAAATATCGCGTGACAAATGAAATTAATCTTAGGTTTGAACAATATATTATTAGGTTACCTGGGCAGGTGACCTAAATATGTATATTGCTGTCTTTTTCGTCCGTCGTCGTGTATTAAAATTTGAATAACTTTCGTCCTCTTCTCTAGAACGCTTGAACCAATTTCAATCAATAACCATTCTTGTGTTTAGCGTTTATGGGTAAAGGGGAAAATTTCATGAACGAATTTCATGGTCTCTCCCTCTTTGAGGTTTTGGGGGTGGGACGAAAATCACAAAAAAATAATGTAATTTTCAAAAATTTTCTTTACGCTTGAACAATAAGCAGTCAAAACGTCGGCTTTATAAGAAATGTAATAAGCATTGAACCTTCTACCAAAATTGTGAAATTCACGGCTCCATGATCAGGGGGTTCTGGTGTTAGGACGGGGCTCTAAGTACTGATCATACAGTGTAAATGCTTGAATTCTTTGAAAATCTTCTCTGCTTGTGGGATTGGCAGACAAACTAAGTGCATGATTATGAATGAACAAGGGTGTCTCTTTCAAAGGTTCTTAGTTTTAATTTATCATTTAATTATTAAATCGCTTATCTATTGATCCTTCACAGAGTTGTATTATACTCAGGTTACCATTAAGGCCCTTGGGCCTCCTCATTAATATTAGCTTTTTTTTTTATCTTTACCATCGATGTCGACTTCTCTGATAAGCTGTGTGACTTCTGCTTTCGATGGATTACACCCCAATGACCGTACCACCGTTCCCAGGTCTTTGGTTGAGATCTTACCATCGTTGTCCATGTCAAATAGCGAAAAACATGCTTGTGCCTCTGTAATTATTGTATTTTCAAAAATAATTTTTATTCTTTGAATTAATCAATCAATTTATTTATTCATTCATTTATTTATTTACTGATGGCCTCAGCACATCTAACTTCCCTTGAAATCTGCGAACAAACACGATAGGATAAATATTTAGCCCCTTTCCAACGTCGATTTAAGAAATACATGTATGTAATAATTCAGCTAATGTTTTAATCGTCGCTTGTGTGAATGTAAAGCTATACATTATTTTTCTTAAAGCTTCTATATTTATTTTGTGGCCTTTCATTCAAGCATTCGTAGATATGTACATGTACACCAACATTAACTGAAACTTGACATGCTCTGTACATTTTCATGTGTACTGTTCTTATATTCAAAAAATAAATAAATAAATAAATATTTAAAAACGAACATTAAGAATAGATTAAAACAAGGAATGTTTCCCCCATTCTTGACTAAGCTTACACGGGAATATTATATTTAAAATATCAGTAAAAATGTGCAAGAAATGTTTTCGTTCTAATGCAACCATGTAACACATTAGTCCACGATTTATTTGTACATGTACACTGCTTGTATACTTGACTGAAAACGGGAGCAATATGGGAGTGGTTGATCTGATATTGTGGTGTCTAAATAGTTGGCGGTGTTTGTAAGTGTGGGTGGGGGTGGGGTAGCATTATAACCTACCTTTCAGCTCCTCTTGAGTTAATTTTTGTGCCTGACAAAATATTCTGATGAATACAAAATCTGACAAATAGTTCAACTTTCCTTGGCGATATGCATAGACCAACTATCGCAGGTTTTTATTCATATCATATGATCACACTAAACTTGAGACATAAATTTAAATATTGAATTTATCTTCGATGATTTTTTCCGGAATTGAACAGCAAAATTTCTTACCATTCTGACTGAGATTCTGTTGCTCAAGTTTCGAGCCGCCCAAACCTCGCCCCTCGAACAGTTGTTATCTCTTGTTGAATGTTGAATTAAGACTATATATGACAAACATCCATACTATACAACAGATTGCATATAGACTTTAATCAGCTGTTATCAATACAACATTCTCATACCAGCAATAAAGTGAAAATTGCACAGGGAGGGGGGGGGGGGCTTGCTCCCGGAGTGTAAAAAATAAGTAAATAATAAAAAAATCATATACTAATTTTTTTAAGTATTAGTACATGATTTGTTAAGAATTTTTTTTTTACACTATGGGAACAAGCCCCTGTGATTGCACTAACTGTTGAAAGACACAAATTTTCTTTCTGATTGTTTTCTGTCAATGAATCTGGTTATTCGATTCAATCAAAGCCGTGCTTGTGGATAGGAAATCCGGCCCAACCCCCAACCCCATATATATACATCCCCGTCCAAGCAATAATTTTCACCCCCATGACCTTGATGTTTGACCCAACTTTCAATTTTTTTTTACATTGCTGATAACCTTTGAATGAGGAAGGATTGGGCATCTATATATATGTGACATGTGCATTACTTGTTTCAAGACCTTTCCAAATGTATTTTGGTTTTTGACCTCGTGACTTTGGCCTTTAAGTTTAACCTACAGTCTTTTTCATTTTTCATTTTTTTTTTTACATAGGTAATAACTTTTAATCGAGGAGGAGAGAAAATCAGAACTGAAAAATAGGATTTTCATATTTTGCATGTACATGCATTACCTATATAAGCAGGGACCTATATAGTTAGTAAATAAGTCCCTGCTGTAAGAAAGATATTTCATTTTTCTTCATGACCTTAACCTACAACTTTGAAGGACACACAAACAAGACAGTTACTATATGCCATAAATAATTGCATCCCAACTACTAAGACACCGAAAGCGGGGGACCACAATTCTTTGAATTTGCTTGTTTTCTTGCATTCTATTTTCGCACTCGAATCCAGATTCCATATAGTTTTCAGGCATATCTTCTTCTTCTTCTTTTTTAATTATTTTGGATTGTTTGTATTTTTTATGAGATTCGTATTTTAACTGGATTATTAATATTTATTCATTGACATAATTTTTTTTAGAAGACAAATACCGGATTTCTGGAATGGCACTGGTTCAGAATATATGTATTGTGTCAAAACAAAAATGGCGCATGTTTTGAAAGGAGACAAGTTGGAACTCGTCCTTTGATTAAATGAGTGCGTGTATTGCATTTCTTTCATGATTTGATTCCACAAATTCCCAAACTCATATAAAAAATTATAATTGAAAATGCTATTCTAGCACAGTAATTATCTGAATGTTAAGAACTGTCTCAATGAAGCTTGTTTCCAGAGAAGCACCTGTTCGCGTTGTCTCCCTTTGTCCTTATCCATTGTTTATGTTTCGGGTATTCTTCGCCCTGATTTTTCTTTAATTAATATAATTTTAATTTGTCACAGCACTTGATATATATATTTATTGTTTAAACATTTGTTGTATAATTATTGGATAATTAATTAATTACTTAGAGGTGCGGGATTATTTTTACCTCCACACTGTAGCATGCATAGACCTGCATTCTGTATGACATAGTTCCCAAGGAAAACAGTATGTCAGGCGAGGACGCAGGGGATTAACACGAGCTCCAGTTTATGTTGTTATCCCATCATTTGAAAATGTAGATAAATTATGCCAATCTAGAAGTGTCCTTTGGATTAATGTAGTGCATGGAAGCATTGGCAGTATATTTGCAGTAAGTATTTCAGATTTTAGTACATATACAGGAGTAGCATATACATACAAAACCCCATAAATAAAAATTCTTTATGAACTTATAATATAGAGGCATGTTGTGTGTCAAATCTTTAATACAAATTTAATATAAATTATATAATATGCTTAATTTTATAAAAACAGATTGAAAGATGAATTGTTCATTGCATGTGTGTATTAGTTATGGGTTTTGAAATATAGTGTCATTGCAGCAGTATATTGTAAAAGTAAGCATACATGATTTGTCATTTGTCAAACATACATATGGACCTGTTCCAGCTATTGATTTGTCATGCAATAAATAGGAAAGATATTTTCCAGGAATAAATTTTGAAACTTTTATCTATGTCTGTTATAGATCTTGATTGCAAGGTACCTCAATGTAGAAAGATGGATGATAGAATACACAGAATAAATGAGAATCTTCAGGTAGGTCAAGTCACACTTTCATTTTTAATGAAACTTGGCACAATGTTCCGATGAATTTTTTTTTTATGTTCCAAAAAGTTTTCAATAGAACTTCTCCATGATATTTTTATTCCTCTTTTTTTTTTAATGGCACAAGTTTGATTTTATGATAAGCAAACTGGCTACTGGGGCTACATTGAAACTGGATGTATCCCTTTTGAGTGTGTTTGTATTTAGGCAATGTGCCCCATGTGTAAATTAATGATGGATGCTTTTTTCCAACTTGGTTTTTTATGGCTAGTTAACTCCAAAAACTGATCACAGAGTTTTTTTCAGTGAGGGTATTACTTTTTTCCCAATTGTCCTAGAAATGTTTTTATCAAAGGACTGAAGACTAAAATAGAGACAATAATTTTTTTGTCATTTTGGACTGAATCACTCTATAACATTATTGTCTATTTTTTCATTGTTGTTCATCAAGTTTTGATTGTAATCTTTAGACTCTACATAATGATTAACAATTTTCTGTATTCCATGGCTTCCTAAAGAATGTATTAAACTATAAAAGTATAACATAGTTCCAAAATAAATAAAATTGAAGACATAATCTCTACTTAGGTTACATGTACATATGATACTCGTGATTATTTTGAATAGCATGTTGAATACTTAGTTCATCATGTTCATGTATCAGTATTATATAATATGTACATTCACTGAGACAGATAGTTTAGTGTTTGCAATGTCTTACATTCATATACATATGTAGTTGAGTGATGGATACAAAGATACCAAGCTCTGACAAATCAACTCCATACAGAGTTTGAGGGAGATCAATTATCATAAAGTTTAAACCGAGTTTCTTAAATTTTTGTTCATTTCATTCAGATTTCCAAACCAGGCCATATTTTTTTTCCCCAGAACTTTGATCAAGTTAACTTTGTGGGTTTATTGTGGGAAAAAGGGATGGGGCCTATATTCGGCATTACACGGGGCAGTGGAAAATCCCTTGTCTGTGTTGTTGTTCAGTGTGATTAAAATCAGAAATAAGATTAAAATTTTTAATCAGACTGTGTCTGTTAAAAGAAAATTTGAAATAAAAGTTGGTTTCATTCTAAAGGAGGGCTAGTGCTATTTGAAGTTTGGATCTGTGACACTATTGATTTTTATCTGTCTGTGGGTTTGTTGCAATGTTACATTCTTGAACATATCTTTGTAGTACTTGTAGATCACTTAATTTTCCTAACACCTTATTTTCACAGAATAGTTATTTGGTATTTATATGCATGATAGGCGAGACAAAATTTTCATGAATTTCAGTCATTGCTCTATATAATTTTTGATAATACTAATGTACATGAAAATGAAATTTTCGCAGGCAGACGGTCTTGCGTATTTTAGCCGAAATATAGTTCTCTTGAATAAAAAGTGATTTACGGTATACCGTAAATGTTACTTCATTTTAAATTTGTGAAGGTCGATCAAGATTAATTTTTTTTGACATCTCAAGGTCAGTGTGAACTGTGTAATGCATGTATTTTGTTTGTGTTTTACAAACACCCCCCCTTTTTTTTTGATGTCATTTGAATAACATTTTGATTACTTTGTAGTTATCTATATTGAATTGCCAAATTATCACCATGGAAACATTGAATTGAGATTCACTGAAAAATTTAGGCTTTGGGAATCACAACTTTTATGTGCACAAGTAAATCCAGTAACACAGATAAACCTAAATGATAATGAGTCTAAGACCTCTTTATTCATGGGTAATAGTCCAAAGAGAGGTCATAGGAAATGTGGAAATAACATGAAGATGTGATTTTCAACATGTATTGATATTTTAATGCATATCAAAATTCTTGAAGAAGATTTATTTTCACACATTAAGAATCTGAAAAAGAAATCTTAGAGTGAACTTTTGATAATTCAATTTCCTATTCCTGTGATAATCTTCAAAATTAAATATCTTTTCATTGAAACTTTGACTAGTTATTGTTGAGAGCTCCTCACTATGTTTTATGTCATGAGAAATGTCTAAAAAAGCTTTCAAATCTAATGCTGATCAAAGAGTAAATTTGTTAAGAAATAGATGATTCATGAGGCAAAGGGATTATCATATCATTAAGATAATCCAGTTTGGCCTAATCTGTGTTACCTGTGTCAAAAGAAGCATCAACTGAAAGTTTTTTTATGGTCTGCTTGTCATATTGAAGGGACCATTGAGTATAATCAAGCACTCTCCAATATTCGAGACAGGTTTTCCTTGGCTGCTAATTTAATTGATTCTGTACTGTAGTTTTAAGTGATATGTAAATATACAGGTAGAATTGATAGGAATTTTTACTGTCTCTTTGTCATGTTTGAGTTACAAATTATGTTGTTTGCGTGGTAGTTTCACTTTTATTGATGGTGATACAGAAGTTTTAAAACCATTTGTAAACAGGTGCTCTGATTTTACCAAGTCACCTTAAACAATATGTACTGATAGTTGAGTTATAATTTGGCACAATATTGATTTGAAATAGTCAGGAGGTGAGAAATTTTAAAATTTGCTGCAGTTTTGTTTAAATTTTTCAAATGTAAAGCTTATGACTTAGATTAAGTTCTGGCATAAACTTGTTTAGTTAAAAAAAAAGTCTGGAAAATAGAAATCTTATTTGCATTTTATAGAGGCATCTGTCAGATCATTTTACCTCTGCTATTATCAATTTGATTTTGACATTCAAAATAAAAAAGTTGTAAAATTTGATAATGAGACTTTATAGCAGATTGGGATTCAAATATTGACTAAAAATTTTAAAATCTTCTTAAATTTTATGATTTTTAAATCCATGGATTTGTACTCTTGTAATCCTTACAAACTTCAAGGATTTTATTGAATTAATAATAAATTCATCACTGCCTGAAGAATTTGTTTTTTGCTCATTAAATTTTTTATTTAGTCTTTGAAAACTGTACCTGCACTGTGAAGACATAAGACATAAAACAAAATTTTGAATATCATTATGAAAAAGACTCCGTTATAAAATACTTGAAATAATTAATTGACAGGGAAAATTGAGATTTTTTATACTTATGAATGCCACTGGCATTGAAAATGATAAAGCATAATATCCAATGCCTCTCTAACTCTGCACAGTAAATAAAAATGATTTCTGTTGAGATATGCAAAATATAATTAATTTTTGTCTAATTATGGCATTTTTATGGTTGAAATTAAATATTTAATGTGCATTTATAAGGGTACCACCAGAAACCTGCGTTCTTTGGATCACATGCTGGATGACTATAGAGATGTTACCAGGGACCAACGCAGTGCTGTTGATAGAGTAAGGACGATCCTTTTTGTTCCATTTTTTTTTAAAGAGTTATTGTTTTTGTTATTTTATAGTTACAATAACCTTCAAACTTTTGCCCTTTCTCCATGAAGAAATACAATTTTTTTCATCAGATGATAATTCTGCATAGTTGTGCAATGTACAATTTTTTTGAAATTTTCATCATTCAGTTTTATTCTCTTTAAGTTTATAAAAGTTGAGTGTGGATTAAAGTATATAAAAATGTGACCAGTGAAACCAAGAACTATTTTAACCAAAAAAAGAGAATCATCTGTTAACTAAACATGTATACTGTAGTCATACATTGAAACAACTTGGTTATACATGTACTTGATTTCGCAGTAATCATATTTAGCGCCTTTTTCACTGCTTCTTGTCCTCCTATTCAAGTACAATCTAATACATCATATGATTAAAATTAAATATCTATGGAAGCTTGGATCGAAATGCACTAATTTCTGACAGTGTTAATCAGTTGATGAGGAAGATTGTGCTAAAATTTGAGTACTTTAATGTATGTGTCTGTACAGTATTTTTGCTTTAATTGTTTCAGCTGAGAGAGGACGTTGCAAGAACTCGGACCCAGCTACATGAGGAAAGACTCCGAAGTCCTGGATACAGACATTATGAGGTAAATAAATACAGGTGTATGTAGGGAACCATTCTGTAAATAGGGGCTGCATGTGACTGTTGTAAGAAGTGTATTGTATGTCATTTGTCTTTCTACTTCCAATCACTTTAACATGTATATAGGTAATTTAAATGTGATGTATACCTTAGTACATGTAAAATGTGAGCTATGTTGGAAACTTATCTTATTATGCTTAATGATATTGAGAGAGAGGAGAGGGGAGTTTAAATCAATCAAAAGTAAACATTGCTGAAATTTTTATGCATATTGTTGCATTTAAATACATGTGTTTCTAATGTAAAAGTAATAAGTCTTTTCTTTGCAACTGAACATCTTTGTAATTTTTTATTTACATCTGGTTAAAAACTATTATTGAAAAGATTATTCTATTCTCATCTTATATATCCCCATGTTCTCAAGGAGTGATCTTCAGATGAAACAAGAAAGCAAAATAAATAGCATGTCAGAAAAAAAGGCTTGACATGTTTGATTGAGAGGGGATTTAAATCTGAATCTAATGATTATAGCAGTTTTTAGACTCGTTAATTGAGTTTAAGTCTTGAGGCACTTCATGATTAGAATCTTTTGTCACACATGAAATTTTGTTTACTTCAACATGTCTTGACTCACAAACCATTTCTGTCTCTTTGATTTGGTTAACACTATTTAGCAAGAGGACGATACCCAAGATATGATTCAAGAAAAGGAGGTATTCCCCAGACATGTAAAAAAAAAAGTTCAGTCCAACCCTAACCTGTCTTTTAAATTTTGCCAATTATTTGAATATACATGTACTTGCAGTAATCTCAGTTGTGATATAAATACAATGGAGGTTTAAATCATGTCTGAAAAGTATCTGGGATTTTTGTTTATTCACAATTATCTTAACTGATTAATCCAGTCTTAAGTGAAGAACTCTATCGGCCTGAATTTCTTAATATAAAGATTTCTGATATTGTAGAAAAATGTCCTATACAGTACATTATTTTTATGCAAGTTCGCAAACTTTAACTCAAATTTTTTGGGAAGTGTTTAGACAAATTAAGTGGAAATTTCCCCATAGCTGAATATGTATAGCATTTACAGAGCTGAATTATTCCTCTTTTGTATCATTGGCAGGGAGACAAATATGCATCAAAGGTGACTTTTCAAAAATTGGCAGTAACCCTTGACCTCTTATTATAATTGATTAAACTCTAACAGAATCTCTGCATGCCTGGTTTTTACATTGTTTACTCGAGACAGAAAAGTCAACTTCTACTCCATTAAGCATGTTAGGATTATCCTTCATTCAAAACACCCACTGACAAGTCATTTCATGTCTTTACTTTTCTCTCTGTAGAATTATTTGGTGTCGTGCAAAATATCTTGACTGAGAAGTTAATGATTATTAAAATCTTTAAAAACCCATACCAATTTAAATGCATGTAAATGAAAACTATAATATATGTATAAAGAATAATTGAGAGTATCCTAATTTATTTTGAAGGTTATTTTCACTCTTGAAAGTGATTTCTATATTTCTTCTAACAAAACCTGCATGAAATACTAATAGTCTAAGAAGTTAGGAAAATGGACATGCTTAGTCAATTTCATGCCATCCATAGTACTGTTTGAAATTTGCTTTCAATTCTGAATATAAAGTGAAAATGTCTTTTATGTTGTATTTGTCAAAATAAAAAAAAAGTTTGCTGTTTGAAATTACTTTACTAAATCAAGGTATTTACTAGATTTCATTAATCTTTTATCCTTTTTTTTTATAAAACAAGTAAGAATGTTACATTGCAAAAGATGAATATACACTTATTAGTAGGATTATTAAACATTTTTTGGTGATTTTTTTTTTTACTTCACCAAGGGATAATTAGCCTCTTTACAGTAACTACTCTAATAATAATGTTTGGCAAAGTTTTTGTTGACAGATAATCAATTGACCTATATTAAACAATTACATGTACTTTTATGTCATATTTCACCAAACTATATCATTTTGCCCTGCAAAAGAGCAGTACCGCAGTTACCATGAAACAGTTAATTGTAATGTACACTACTAACTGTGTATCAAATTTCTAAGTAATCCTTTGAATTCCTACAGAGTGACAGTGAATATGAAGGATCCCCATCCCCTAGCAGACGACGACGTCGCAGCAGACGGTCAACTGTAAGGTTTGCAGACGACATGAACAGAGAACTTCATGATTTGAACAGTTCAGTCCGGGACCTGTCCACTGATCAGTTTGAACTCAGGGGTCACTTTAACAGAGAGATGGACAGGAGAGAAAGGTCAGAGTTGTGAACGCAAACATAAAATCAAAATCTCTTAGATCCTGATTTCATTTTACTCTTATAATTTATTAAAAAAAAGAAATATATAGGAAAGTTTGATAGAGGAGATATTTTTTGGAGTGTTAAAAAAGATTTTAATTTGGGTAACCAAAACTTTTTGATGATCACATAAAGTAATATGAAGTTTTGATTTTTTAATAGATTTGATTCTGATACAAGAAGAACAATGAGGGAGATTTCAGAGAACCTGAAGAGGCTGCCCCAGACAGACCCGGTAAGATTCTCATCTCATATTTCTCCTCCTTATCAGAGGAGGAAAAGAATTTTACTACCAGATTTATTTGAAGGATAATTGATAAAAAAAGAAAAAATGCATGTTAAAAAAAATGTTTGATTTTGAAATATTTAGAATATAAAGATGCATGATTGTTTTCAGGATTTTGCAAGATGGTTGCAAATTTAGCTGTGTTACATAGGAGAATACCAAATGAATTTGAAATATGTGTAACAATTTATTAACATTATTGTAAAGGTTGCTATGAGAGTGGAAAGTCGTCTAGCTTCGATACAGAATGAAATGAGGGCAGACAGACATTTAGGTGATCGTTATGATGAGTTGGCCAATCTGTCCTCTGACCTTCGACATGTAAGTTAGGAACAACAGCCAATCACAGCTTTGTTCTCAAACAGCCAATGACATACTAAGTATTGGTCTTTTTGTCATTGACGATTGTTTGAGACAAAGCTATGACCTCAGAAAATAAACATTTATAATTATTAAGTGAATTTCTGTTAACTTTTTTTCAGATGGGCAAATATATTTATGTATGTTAAAAAACCCATTTTTAATGGTTTGCTTTTATAAAAAACACAATAGCATCTGCACCTACATGTAAAATAAGATATAAATGTGTGCTGTGAATTTTGTATATATGTACATTAATTGGTATCAGGGTTAAAGCACTATGACTTTATGCAGGCTTTACGAGAGCACCATCACATGCAACAGTCAGCGGCAGATGAGAGAATACGTAATCAGTACATACAGGCAGAGGCTCAGAAACACAGGGTAAGGGAGCGCACTGTGTTTGCTTAATGGAAAGGGGAAGCACTCTGCACCTGAAAACAATATCTCTTCTTAAAATTCATTTAAGAGATGTAAATCTGTTATTAATGTTAGAGAAGTGGTTAAAAGCTTTATGTTTTTTTTTCTGTGTATAAACTTGATGAAATAATTGTCATCAACATTTGTAGATTGAATCTGACCTTGACATTTTGAAAAGGAAACTAGATCAAAGCGAAGGTGGAAAAGCAGCTCTTCAAAATCAGGTAAGAAATTAAAAAAAAAGATTTGTATACCTTTATCTCTTCTTTGATGTGAACTGCAGAGTCTAAGAAATATGTATATCTGTGTGTAATTAGTAGTTTTATTACACATCCTAATTCTGTATTTAGGTTGAAGATCTAAGGAATCAACTGAATCGTATGGAGCAGGAAAGAGCTCGTGTTAAGTTACAAATGGAAGAAAAGCAGTATGAAGAGGAACTCAGAGAAAGACGCAAGAGGCGTTCAGGTAAAAATTTGGAGAGTAGATATAAAATTTGAGCAGTTTAATTGAATGTAAAAATGAAGTTTTGTCATTTTTATCACATTTGATATCCCTTTTATAAGATTTTTTTTAACCTTGTCACCTTTCCGGGTTGATTTAATCAAGCTTCTCTGCTTTAGTTGAGGAGGATAAAGACAGAGAAAGAAAGGCCATGGAGAGAGAAATCTCAGATCTGAGGAGTCAGTTGTCGCGGGCAATTAGTGCTGGCAGTGAGGCTGAGGAACTCCGTCGAGGAATAGAGCGCAGTGAAAGACAGAGGGCTCAACTCTCAGATCACATAGAGGTAGGGCAAAGAATAAAACTAATATGTCATTCGGGCATTTGTCTATTCATTTTACTGTATGTGTATGTTTCAAAAAATGAGTATGAAAATATCTTTATTTTCACTGACTCTTTTCATCAAACAGAATCTATTGTGCAGTGGTATTTAAATGACTTCCATTACATTGCATTGAATGAATTTGTGTTGATTTAAATGTAAAAAATAAAAATTTGAAGATAAAAGGAAATGAAATGTTCTGATAGAGTAGAGCTTACATTTCTTGTTCGAATTTATATTTATGAAAAATTTCATTGTGTGTTGACTTTACTAACTTTAAACAGAAACCTATGCCATATACTTGCATGTCTATTAATAGAACACAGATAAATTATCTCAAGGTCTGAAATTAAATTCTTTCTACAGACACTAACAAAGGATTTAGAAAACCGAGAGAAACAGACTGCCAAATTAATTACTCAACTCAAGGAGGTGTCTGATAAGTATGATGAGTCTGAGAGACAGAAAGGACAATTGATAGCACAGTTTGATGATACAGCACAGAGGTTCAAAGACTGTAACAAGGAACTAGACAGGGTGTCAACTGAATTACGGAATGCACAACAAGGATTGCAGGAAACGGAGAGAAAGAGGGATGAGTTCAAAGGTCGTGCTCAAGAAACAGTACGACAGTAAGTAACAAATACCTAATACGACATTGTTTTTATGATAGCTCATTTTCTTCAAATTTGTATGCAGATTTATTGAAAGAAATAATTATACTTTTGGAAATGGATTCTTACCCTAAGAAAAAACATAATTAATGTTAAGTGTTTGAAGGATGCTTGAACAACCTGTTGTAAAATAAATTTCTGCAGTGTTTGTAAAATAAATTAAGGTGGGAGTGTAATTATTTATTGTGTTTTATTGGTAGTCATGACACATTTTTAAAGATTTATTGTAATGATACATAAAAAACCCCCCATCAACTAACCTTGATATTTAAGGTGGAAGTTGAAGGTGAAACAGTTGGAGCGTGAAGTAGACAGACACAAACATGGTGCTAATCAGCTGATGCAGAGGAATGAACAGCTGGTGAAGGAAGTGGAGGGACATCGTCAGAACCTCCACCACACAGGGATACAGATGGAGAACATGAAGAGAGAGCTGGGGGATGCCCTGGTCAGTATTCATAGGAAATCCAACAGCGAATTGTTCAGGGATTCTTTCTACATTCATAAATTTACATGTATGCAGATACTGTAAATCACTTTTTATTTGCGAGAACTTTATTTTCGCGTAATTATGCGAGTCTGTCTGCTCGCGAAAATTTTATGCACTCTTATACATGTATTTGTATTATAAAGGATTATATACAACAGAAACCACAGCTCGTGAAAATTTTGTCTCGCTAATAAATACCAAATAGCTTACTCGTGAAAGTATAGTGATCTATAGTATACTGTACACATACTTTTTTTTCTGTTGAGGGATTTACATTAAGTAAGGGTGAATGGAAAACAGGAAATATAGAGAATCAGCTGCTAACAATCAGATGTTTTAACTTAAGATTTACTTTAAATTACTTTATATTATTTGTGGTTTCTGTCTCAGGCTGTGAGGGCAGCTCAGGATGAACAACTTCGTCTGAAAGATGTGGAAATTAATGAACTGAAATCAGTCAGGATGGACTTAGACCGAGAACTCAGGGACGTTCGTACTGTAGCTGACAGGGTGGGTGCTCTTTCACAATTAACATCATGTTAAACATTGTTCTATAGAAAAAAAAATGTTAGTATTTATATTGATGTACAACTGAACAATTTTAGTAATATTTTGAAAATCTTGATGTCTTAATTTGATTCAGTTTTGAAACTTTTGACTTGTAAGTTTTGCACCCTAGTCTTACAATATAACAATAATAGAAAATTTTGTTTCGGGGTATCTTTATGAAATACTTTGGTGCAAAAATAAGATTTATCAGCAATAATGAAAAGTAGTTTTATATTTCATATTGAACGGAGGATATGTAAAATTGAAATATGCTTCCACTGTCAAGTAAAAATAAAGGCCCACAAAATATATACAATTTATATCATGATTAAGTGAGGAAATTATCACAAATACATTATGAGCAAAAGACTTTAAGTTGAATACATAATATTCACTTTCATTATTCTTTTAGCTTGAAAATGAACTACACACAGTTTCACACCGACTGACACAAGTAACGGATGACAAGAACAAAATGGAAGATAAACTCTCCTCCATTGAGGCAGCTCATATATTGTCACAGGATCAAGCTGTTCAGCTGCAGGTATACTATCATTCCTAACACATTTTTAGAATGGCTAGAGGGGCAGTATTATTTTTAGAGGGTTTTTATTGATTATTTTGACTGTTTATTATGATGGACTCTATACAATGTTATTTCACAAAAGTAAAGAATGTCGGTCGTAGTTTGAGATGATGAAAATTTCGAAAAACATGCAGTATAATTTGACTTGATTATCATTTAAGAAATTGGAACACAGATAAAGGCATTCAAGATATATTACATGTAACATACATTTTTTCACATTATAACTCCATGTAATGAATAAAATTGTCATTTGTTCATGTCATTTTTAACAAGATTTATGGTAACAATTCTTTCTCCATTCTTCTATGTGTCACATGTTAATTGCAGCAAGAGCTGAAGGAAATGAGCGCTCTTAAGGCAGAAATAGCAGCTAAGTTGTCCGAATCAAATGGCAAAATCCATGTAAATATTCTAGTTATCTCCCCAAAACAGTGCGCTTCACTTAATTTCTTTTATTTGTCTCTCATCTTAACCATCAAGTTCACTCATTTGTTTTATGTGTTACACTTATTACAAAAGAGATTTTTGGGGGGGGGGGGGGGGGGGGGAGAAAATGAAGAAATGTAGAAATTATAATTTATAAAAGTAGAAATAAATTTAAAATTACAGATGTTGAACTAATGTCTTGTGACTTTTATGATTTATGGAGTGAACTTGAATGGCTGGGATGATATTGTCTGTATAATCTTTAGCTGTAACATGTGTATGCTGTATATACTCATTTCAACTTCATGACTTTGCAAGTTTGATATTTAATAGTGTGTGAATTATGTCTGTCTTCATCCTAATTCTCCTCTTATACATGTAGATTGTATTGAATTATTCAAGCCTTTATCATCTTTGTGTATGAATTCTTTTTAACTGTTTTTTTTTCTATATTGATCTCTTTGTAATATACAGTGCATTTTGTAGAATTATTGATTTATGATATCCATTTAGCAAGTCTTTTATTCAAGGAGGCTTTTCCTGTGAAGTTCAGTTCATGCTCTTTTTCTGTAAAATTCATAGTTTTCTTTGTTTAACAGTGTGCATGAGCATAATAACATCCAAGTATGACTGGAGCAATATTGCATTATTTAATACATATTAAGTAAACTAGTGGTATATGTATAGTTTCATATAAGTAACATTTTATTTAGCTACTTATTAATTTTATATGAACAGTAGTGAGTTAGATATAATGGACACTTAACATTTGATACTTACTTAAAACATTGGTTTAAACAATGTTCATCTACATGTACATGTATATATAAACATGTATGTTAAAAAGCAAAATTTATGTGCTGAGTAGAATATTCACTAAACAATTGAGATATTGTTGATACATATATGCTGCAACAAACAATTTTATGTAATTGGTTTCATCTCAAAAACATACACTCTGAATTGTCTATGAACAAGATAATTTTAAGTAAAAATAAACTGTCAGACTTTGAAGGAACATTTTAGGGTTTGAATGATAAAAACAGATTTACATTATACATTTTTAATGAAAAAATTCAGTATTTATCTTTATGTTATTTTAGGATTTGAAGCAAAATTTCATAGAACTTCAGCACAGAGAAAAGGCAGCACGTGAGGAATCTAAAATGTACCAAAGACAACTTAACGATGTATGTATATGTCTTTGATTATATTGAGTATTGGTATACCAGTTGTCCAATGGTAAACCATCAAATCTTTGATATGGGGAAGTTAGATGTTCATGTACTTGTATTTAATACATTATAATCGTTTATTAGTAACTATTAAAATGGAACTTTACAGGAGAGGGAAAATCATCATGTTGCTTTGGAGGCTGTAAAACGGGAATTAAATGAGGTCAAGGTCAGTCAACTTAGTATTCCTTTATTTTAATCCTGTTTAGTTTTTTTTTCTGATTCTCTATCATATCACAGGATGTAAAATGGTGTTGAAGCTCACACCAGCCTGATACATTAAATACAAATTATATGATAAGTTTTACTCCCAGTCCAGGCCCCAGAAATCAGGAAACAGACAAGTCAAATTTTCAATTGCCTGTAAAGTGTTTATGCTCGACTTCTACAACATTCAAGTACAACATAAAGATTTTGAGTTAACTTTAAGATGTTTCATGATCTCAGAACCTGGGCAATGTTAAATAGTGGTATATGGTTATATATGTACATGTACGTGTATAAAGTTATATTCTTCTTTGAAAGGTGAGAGAGGCCCATGTCATGCAGGATATACAGCGAAAAATGAAAAGGAGTCACGCTGAGTATGAGGCCACAATACAGGCACTGAAGGTTTGTCTGAGTCCAACTTTCTGCACTGATTATAAAAATGATCCATTTATTTTATTATGCTGTTGAAGAATACATGTATGTTTCATACTTTAAATGGATGTTTAGTGATGTATAGTTTCATGGTTTATAGTGTTGTGTGATGTTTATTTCTTAGTTTAAATGATGTGTGGTGATGTTTACTGGTATCTGATTTTAAGGACTAATTATTTGTTTCAGATGGAACTCTCTGAGGAGAAATCAGCACATAAAATCTCCAAACGCAATGAAGAAAAATTCAGACAAGAGGTGGACAGATTAGCTCAAGAAATTGCAAGGTAATTTTTGTGTACGATATGAAGATTTTCTCTTTGAAAATATTGAAAGTTTATCTGTATTATGAAATTTTTTTGTTAATTTGGATATTTTTGTGTGTCATTTTAATGCTTATTTGATACATGTTTTTCTTTAAATCTGTGTTTTGAAGACATTGACCATATTGATATATGATAATTTAATTTGAGCAAAGTAATAAACAAGTAAAATAAGGTCGACATTTACATGGATCTTTTATATATTAAAAAAAAAAAACCAGAGTACTCATGATGTACTTTATAAATTAGTATGTGTTTTTTGGCTTTATTCATTGGTTAGTCTCTATTGAGTACATGTAAGTGCTAATACATGATCAACTGGACAGATGGATTCTATGAAATTTATTTTACAGGTGTGAGGAAGACAATCAGAAACTGTCAAGACGACTCGAGATGGCTCGAGAAGAATTTGAGACACAGGTGAGACAAATGACCAATTTCCTTCACTAACATCAGCTGATTTCTCATATTATTTCATTTTTCTCAGCATGTTTAGCTTGGTGATGAATTATTTTAAGTTCTATTTCTGGTATTGAAGTGGTTATGTTTTTCTGTGTAATAGTTCTTCATAAAGAAAGTAAGTTGGTTTCTTTTTCCTTTAATCCCTATAGAAATGTAGAAAATCTGATAGAATATTTTTTTCTTCTTCATTGTAATATATTTACAAGAGTTATTTACATTTACATGTATGTCACAATATTTCATCTCAAATTATGTTAATTACCCCAACATTTATGCATATGCCTTAAGTCTGAATGCAAAAGATTACATCAACAGAATTAATTTGACTTATTTATAAGGAAATATGACGAGTCTGAATGCACTTTTGCTTTGGGTGTAAAGACGTATGTACTCTTTCTGGCTTGTAGGAAAAACGTGCCCGCAGCAGGTCTCCTCGACCTTGCATAAAGTTACAGCGCAAGAAAACTGTAGGTCATCAGCTGGTTTGCATGCAAAAACCACAGAGTGATGTTTTCTTTTTGACTTGCAACTGCTTATTTTTTTTTACTGCAAACATCATTTCATCCTATAGTTCACTCACATCTAGTGTAAACTTTACAGAAAATGTGTTTAGATTTTCAGTTGATAGTTTTTTTTGTCTTGTAGGAAAAGGTCATTTTCTTTTTCCAAAAGTCTAATAAAATTTTTAACTAATTTAGGTACAAGCTAAAGTACAGTTGAATAGAGTTTAATGTAGTTCACAAAAATAATTTTTCTAATTTTACCCAATTTTACAATTAAGTAGACAGTAGATTCTAACACAAATTTTTATAAAGCAGTTATTTGCATTACATGTCAATACATGTAATGATTTTGTGATTTAGATTTTTTTTTTATCCCCTCTAAATATTAATAACATAATAATTTTTATCCCCATGAACTATATCCAATTTGTTTTCAACTATACTATGGGAAGTTTGTAGTCACTATTCTCTCTCTTATTCCACAATATCTGATTTGGTGATAGGAAGTAGATAGGATTTACCGTATTTGTCACACCTGGGTTATGGCATGGAGGTCAATTATTTTCATGCGATTTTTCATTGAAGGTTTGAGCATGTAAAATATATCAATTTTAAGTATTTTCCAATGTGAGTGCATGTGTAAAAATACATTAGGGGTGCACATGAGTTGGAACAAAGTTGGCTTGGAAAAACACAATAATTTACAGTTTTTAATGCAAGTAGATAAAGAATGTGCATTAAGAATTGTTCAAATTCAGAATCATTTTCATAAGTCCATGCACACTAGATAATATGGTGAGTGCAAAACAATTGGGTGCTTCATATCAGGATATCAAAGCATGTAGATGTATACAGAGCATGGAAGTGTGACTAGATATGATATCAGGAAGTGTGGATAGATTTCAGGAAGTGTGATTAGATATCAGAGGATAGATGCTAGAGGAGAAATAAAAGCATACCCAATTAGATAAATTAGATTTTACTAATATATTGTCATGAGAAAATTATTGATTAATGCATGGGCTTTCATCAGTTACATCTACTAGGGTCCTGCATGGATTTATGCAGATGCATAATAGTAATCACTCTGTCTGTCTGTCCACAAACTTTCTGTTTATATTTAATCACATTTTCATAATTGTCTTAAAATGTGCAAAGTTTAAAAGTTTTTTCAGCAGATGGTAAGACAATTTTGATACCCAGTTTGTCTGTGTTAAGTATGTCATCAGGATTGGGGCTGGGGTAGTTGGGTAGATCTTCATAACTCCTGAAAAGTTAGGAAGATAACTCTAATGAATCTCTTGGGATTAATTATCTTGCCTGCTGCAGGAAAAATCCAGAGCCTAATTTTTATTTGTTGCAATAAAATTTATTCACACCACTCTCTGAAAAGGGATATCTGATTTAAAGTTAAGGTTGTGACGGGGTTGATGTTTGCAATCACTGAAGGCTGGCATTTTATAAATCGCATACTTCATTGTGGTTGAAATACTAGAACACATTTGAGTAGGTTAAGAACATGAGGAATTAAAATACTAGTATGTATACAGTTATGATGTTTTTAATCAGGATCAAATTTTACATAATGTATTTATACAGGAAAAGAATTTTCTTCTCAGACCGCAAGGCCATGTTAGTCATATTGATATTGAAGCATAAGTGTGGATTTAGAGACCCTTTAGATGTAGGGTGGGGCCATAATATGGGGTCACAATTTTTCTTGGAATGTAAAAATCTTTTAAAATTCCTCTGATGAACAGAAGGGCTAAAGTAACTCAGGTGAGTGTTGTGGCCCATGGCCCTCTTTTTTAAAAAAATTTCCTTATATACCCCCTTCTTTGAATATATATTTGGATATCATGTCACCTGTTGATATATATCCAGATATCAGTGGAACCCTTGCTGACTGTACAATTTTCTTGTTTTCCCAGTGTGGTGAATTTTAATAAAACAAGTAATTTCTGGTTGTGAAGTGTTTTAAGTGATGAATGTTTTAACCAATTTTTCTTTTATAAGTAGGACTGAATTTTAGTGCCCAGGTGCAGATAACTTTGTACTATTATGATCTCTATCAGAAATGTTTAAAATTAAGTGGCAATTTATTTTCACTAAGTTGTGGTCAATTTCTCTTTCAGACTCAGATGGCTGAAACAGATTTATCAAGGTAAAAGCTCTATGATTGCTTTTTCATCCTTTTCATTTTCATCTAGTAGGAAAAAATTATATAAATGTAACTATATACTGTGTTTACCCTCATTACAATAGATTAGTTGGTTTTACTAATTATTAAAAAATGGAGAACATTTGAACAAGATTGACTGCATGAAATCAAGATTAGTTAATTTTTTTTATACTAAGGGTAAAGAATGTTGAAGAAGAACTCCTTAAAGCCAGAAATGATTGCAAGAGATTCCAAGCCAACTTTGAGGGCCTCATTCATGAAATGGTGGCAGAAGTGGATGCACTAATGGATATTGCAGCATCCGGATCCAAAGAGAAACAAAAGGTAGATCTAATTCTAGTCTGATAAAAGACAATGCTTGTTTCTTATATTGTGTACGAAACAGGGATGGAACAAAGATTTGAAGTCTGAAGGGTTATAAATTTTAAAAAATATGTAGACAAGATTTTGAAAAAAAGTATAGGGCACTTAAATCACAGGTTTGTTATGCAACATACTGATTGAGTTGGGGAAATGAGTCATTTTTCAATGCCAAAAGACATGTTTGACTCCCCCCCCCCTTAAATCCGGCTCTGCAAAAGTTGATTCAATTTCTTGATAACAAATTTCGAAACTATTTCATATGTGTACATGTATATTTTAATTTTCTTCAAGTGACATGCCCAGAGACATATTTCACGCGTCTTTGTATGACCTCTCTCTCTAATGTGTTCAATGTAGCTTTAGTTTCTTTAACAATGAAAGTACCGTTAGACATACATGTATTGATTCATCTGAGCATGTTTAATATTATTGTTTTATATCTGAATTTACAGACAGTAGCTTCATGTAAGGGAACTTCAAATGGACCCTCCACAGCACTCCAAGAAATCAAGGTTTGTGGATGTGAATCAGCTTTTTGCAGTTCAATCAATGTTTTAATCTGAAAATTTTTACTAAAATTTTATTAAAAAGATGGCTGTATAATGTTTTCTTATAATGTGTAGGCCAAAATGAAATGGTTACGAGGGGAAATCAGGGATAGAATAAAGTTGGAACAGGCCCTAAAGAAAGACCTGCAGGAGGCTTTATCATGTAATGAAACTGACCGCCACTTCCTCATGTCCGAGCTAGCAAAGCGGGATGGTGTCCTGGATGAACTCTCAACTGTCAAACATGGTTAGTTTTTTTTATGTCCTTAAATGTACATATATGTCCTAATACCATGGACAAAATATAAAATTGTACTAATAAAGTATATGAGTTACGCATTATTTTCTCTTTAAAAAAATATATACTGTATACAGGGTTATTTTCGCCACGTCTTGTTTTCACCCTTTCACACTTGCAAACAATTTTGCCCCGTTTTAAATTCGCCCAGTTGCAGTCCTGTGTAAGAAATTATACTAGGTTTTTTTTAATTTGCCCCGTTTTAGATTCGCCCACATGTGAGAAGGGCGAAAGGGGCGAAAATAAAACGGGGGCGAAAATTTCCCTGTACACAGTATTTACTTGAAACTGATCTTCAGTTATTTAAATCCCCAAGCTTTAATATTTAAAGCATTTTGGGTTGTGAAAGCATGTGTAAAGTAAATTTACTACTTTTAAAAGTTCAATTAACAAAACATTAATAAAATTGTTTTTTTTTCCTTCTCATTTCAGAACTAAGTCACAGGGAAGCTGAAAATCTTCACTGTGTTGAGACTTTGCAGGTTAGTTTATATTTCAGTATATTTCTTTACACTCTTTTTACTTGCTAATATTTATTGGCACAAACCATTTACAAATGTACTTTATTGTGTATTTATGAAGTTGCAAAAATGAATTTCAAACTAGAAAGATGAATCATTAGTAAAAGTTTTTATGAATAATAGTTGGTTTATATGCTGGTAAATACATTTATTAAACATGCTTAAGTCTGGATTTTTATTATTTTGCTAACCTTGTTTTGCAGACTCAAATTTTGGACTTAACAGATGAACTTGAACTACGTAAAATTAGAGAGGAGGAACTACTAAGACAACAAGCCATGGACAACAAACATGTAATAGAAGAAATCGAAGAACTGAGAGTGAGTGTACAAGTACAAAACAGTCCTTAAATTAGGACTCATTTTTACAACATAAATTTTTGTTATTTTAAGATAATTAGGAATTGGAAAGTTGTTCAATGTAATCCACTTTATAACTCTCACAGGGTGTACAAGAGGAGAAGGCCAGAATTGAACAGAGATACATCAAATTACAGGATACAATGCGAGCACTCCAGAGTGAGCTAAAATCTGCTAACTTCTATGGAGACAAGGTACGTATACCATAGTTTTAATATCACTCATGGCATTTACTTTCTGTCTAACTTACAGTTATTGAATGACTTGCCCAGCGTTTGAGAAGTAAAATTCAATATGAGGATGCCTTGGAAAATAGCAATTATAGGTTAAAGATTTTTTGCTCAAAAGTAATTAATTGCATTGAGTGCCAAGTTCTTACATTTACTCTATGGTGAGTATATGTACTACCCATTATCCATACCATTTATAACCATAGACTAACTCAAAGCATGACTTCCTACATCTTTTCCAACAAAATATAATTCTATGAATGGTGTACAACAAATCACTCAGTAGTTTTATTCTGTCAGACTGGTTCTTTTGTCATCTTTTTTCTCCATTTCAGATTGAAGAGATTGAGAAAAATATGCACAATTTACGTAAATCTCCAAGGAGGAAAAACCATGTTCGAATCCAGGAAGGGCCCTCTTTACGATCAAGGTCGAGGTCAAGGTCCAAAAGTCCTGGAAGACGGATGCCAATTTCATAGTAATGGTGCACATCTCTAGTCCTTCTCCACATTTCTATGGCAATGAGCCTGATCCATATTGATAATTGTCCTTCCAAACAAAGTTTATATGAAGGATGGAAGCAAATTTCGTGTCTTTCCCATTAGGGGATAATGGAATTGCAATAATTGTATTTGCAGATGCTGATCAATAATGTGTCTGCAGGCTGCTAGAATACCATACAGTTATTGTCTGTAAATACTACATGTATATGTAAATATATATATACAATTATTTATTGTTGTTTGTTACAGGTATAGAAGGTCTACAAGGTTTATTTTGTAGATGCAAAGTATTAAATAAAAATGTACATGTATGCAACATGTTTAAAGTGCTTTAGGTTTATTTCTGTTTTTAATATAAGAAAAGCTGGCATTGCAAAACAAGATAGGTCTCCCAAGTATTGGAGTCGTGAGCTAAAGCAGATTATCGTGCGTTGCAGTATGCATTTCTGCCACTAAAATATCTCTAAATTGAGAATTTTCTCTTAGTCCTTTATACATTTTGTTCATGTACTGAGCATTATCAATAAAAGTGTACATGGATTTAATATTACAGGAAAAAAAAAAGCCTCCTATTTTACAAATTTCATTGCAAGTGTCAAAGGTGCATTGAAAGAGAAAGTTTGTACAGTGTAATGGCAATATTTTTGTATGTACTTGTCTGTGATAATTGCATTTATTTTACAAGGTTGTACACACAGAATTTTAAATGTTGTGAAAATTTATGTTGTATTTTTATTTGGCCATATCATTTTTGAACAAGAAAAAAATATGTCTTAAGATACATATGTAGATATATATACATGTACACAATTACATGTATCTTTTATACTATACAATTTTATTATCTGTGACTATTTTTTTAAGGCAAAGTTGTAAATACATCTGTAATTTTATTTTAGATTGTGTCTTTTTTCCTTATCTATTTCATTCCAAACATATTATTAGAATATTTAATATATACACTAAAGTAGATCTGATTGTTTTACTGTTAGATTGAAAGTACAATTTTTTGAAGTCTTTCTATTTATGTTAAGGATATTATATTCATATACACTTTGATTTAGATATCACATTCTACAAAGATTTTATGCATGATAAGATCACATCGTAGATGATCACCATTAGAATCGATCTTGCATATACTCATAGTATGCATTATATTTTTCTTTTGTTTTGCGATGATGTTATAGGGAAACAGGGGCCTTTTAAGGGTAAAAGAAATTTTCTAAATTGTACTGTCTCAAGATTTTTTTTCAATTTTTTTTTTTTACGTCTGTATTAATGTAAAGCTAATCTATTTATAAAATTCTCTCATCATACAACTTAAAAATTTTTGTTCCTTCCAAAGTGTAAACAAAAGTTTACAAAGTATGTGCATGAATTTTTACTGAACAGTCTAATTCAGAGAAGTATTAAAATCATGCCAGCAACATGTCCTTGTACATTATGTACACTGTATTCAGTGTGGGATGATAGTAGTGTGAGAAAATGGTTTGTGATAACTATTTAAGTGAAAAATCAAATCCATATTGTCATTTATTTATTTATTTATCAATAAATAAAGTGACACAGAAATTCTAATTTGTGTTTATTAAATATGAACAAATCTAAAAAGCTAAATAAGCACATTGGGCACCAAGAAGAGTGGAATTATTGGAGTATGCATTTCCCACAACTCTTCATCACAAATGTTGGCACTGGAATGGTCCATGTTCCTGAGTAAGCCAAATTAATGTTCAGCTGATCTCTTTGATCTTTGCATGACCATTTATTGAATCAGCTGGGGAATTCTGATTTATTTCCTTGCTATTCAAACCATTAACATTGTCACAATTTGCACTAGATGAATTGGGTTTCGACGATCGAAACATGGCTTTATAAGTAGCTTGCAGTTCAATGTCTTGCTTTTCAATTGCTTTCTTGCACATCTGAAGATATTTCTTTGTTGATGAATCTGTAAAACAAATGAGTGATTCATAAGCTTGACATACTGGTATGATACCAAATTAAGGATATTAAGCATTTCAATGTCTACCATTCCTTTAAGATTTAGAAGCAGTCTTTCCTCAGATCAAAACATCAATGATACAAGAATGTATCAAATTGTGTACTGAACAGAAAAAGAAGTGTATAACTATGAACCATGAGATGTCTCTAGCCTTTAGTTTTGGGAAAAGCAGATGGTAGGATTTTCTTATACAGATCTATGTCACTTTTAGTTCAAACATTAATTAACATGTAAACTTGCTTTAATGAATGACTATTCAATCATGTACTCTGACACATGCATTTGATAAAGTTATATAATGAATGAATATTCAAGCACATGTCAAATATAGATGTAGCTTAGGAGGTGTGTCATGATGGTGAGGCAAGGTTATTTAGAAAGGGTTAATGTAAGAGTGTGTAAAATCTGTGGCCAACAGTTCTGAATTAATCAATGCAGATAATACAGATGCCCAAATACTTGACACAGATGAAGTAGTGTTATGGCGAGAGTGGAAGAGTGAACCAAGGTCAAGGTAAGAGGAATTTCCAGTGTCACCCACATGACAATTTCATTGATTTCAATTACAGTTGAACTTCGGTATCTTGAACACATGGATATGTCGAAGTGATTGGGAAATCCTTAACATGTATTTCTTAAGTATTTTACCCTCGATATCTCGAACCCTCGGATATCTCGAAGTTTTTTCTTGGTCCCATCGAGGTCGAGATAACGAGGTTTGACTGTATATGTACAGTTGATTTTTGTTATCTCAAACATGGATATCTCGAATATCATGGATATACTGAAGTTACTTGGAAGTCCCAACTACTCTTTCTTTATGTATCTTAACCTGGTTATTGAGAATTCTTGGATATCTTTAAGTTTATTCTTGGTCCTATAATGTTTGAGATAATGAAGTTTGACTGCATGTGCACACATTGCTCCACTGAGAATTCAGTCCAGTACTCTGCTTCCTTGTATATTTATATTTTTTATGTTTTATATTGCTTTAAATTTGATGAAAAAGCTCAATTGTGAAATCTGACAGCAGTACATGGATTAAATATATGATATATTGTATACATGTGCAAGCCAATATTTCACTCTTTCAAAACAAATAATATTTCAATGGATTACCAGTTTGATCTGCTTTCTGTAATGTTGACATGGATTCTTCATACTTTTTTAAGTGATACAAGGCCACACCTTTTCTGTGTTGTGCTTTGATATTCCCTGGAGAAACCTGAAGTACCTCATCACAGTATTCCACTATTTTACTGTAGTTTGGCTCTTTTTCTTGCAGCAAACAAGCTAAAATGAAAAAAAAAATGTAAATTTGTTAATGATAAAACCCTCTGTTTTGATGATAACATGCCATGAATATTGACCCTCATTGTGATGCAATAACCTAGGCTTTTTAACACAAAGATTTCACTTTCAACCACATATATGTCTATGGAGAATAGTTAGAGTAAACACCTACATAGAATTAGTATTGACCAAATGCTTGCTCTTATTCGATAGGTATGTCATTTAGATGCAAAAGACTTTATTTTAGATGGTCTTTGAACTTAACTATGTTCAGTGTATTAACAACGTGTAGAACTACAGGTAATTAATAAGGTATTTGTCTCTAGAATTTTAACTTTATGCATCTTAACATGTGTGACGGTTTTGGTTTTTATTGAATATTTAATTTGTCTTTATTAGCATATTTAGTGCCTTAAATTACCTTTATACATTTTCCGATAGTTATCCCTGATGTTCAAAGTCCCGTATTTGTAACTTTGTAACTTTATTTGTTTTCACATGTGCTCAAGTTAAATTTACCTCCATATTGGCTGTCATTCCGAACTTATTTTGTATCCTGACTTTTCATTGGTTGACAGATAGTACTTTGAACATATCAGAAGTCATTTTAGATATTCACATTACTATTTCAAAGCTTCTTAGTTAGAATGATTTTTATTGGTCAGAGTTTATATATAAACGGTGACAGCGGCATTTTCAAGTCACTCTAGGCTAAAGAACCCAAAGGTTCAAGCTTTCTCTTCTTCTCTCTTAGGGTTAAATCCCGGACTGCTCGTGCAGTCTCATTTTTTTTTTGTTTAGGACACGATCTAAATTCTGTAAAATGTAACTAAGTCCTTAGCTAGAGTCACATTGGTTCAAGGATGAATTAGATATCCCTAGGCCTTTATAGTGTTATTTATAATTTGCCTTGTCCCTTGTGTAATAAATAGGGCTCTAGAAAATTTTTCAGTCTACTTGCATAGTGTTTCACTATTATTTTTAGGGTGTTGTATGGAATCATAAAATCTCTTAGGTGTATGGAAGCTCACTCCCATCTATTTTGGTAGATTTTTCTTAGGGCATCACACTCATTTTCTCCCATTATATTTTTGTTATCAAATTATATTTACTTTGTTATTATTTATTCAGTTATTAATTTATTTTTCTACCTCATTTTTTTTTTGTTTACATTTTGAGATTATTTTGGAAACTTATTTGTTATTTGTTGTCAACTACAAAATATTCAGAATTTCACCATAATAAATTAATTGTTAAAATTTAAACTTTCTTCTTATTTCAAGGTGTTGATCATAATCTAGGAATCTCAGAACCTGGGTTGAATAAAACAGGACCAGTTACTGTACTTTTACATAGTTAGTGGGCTTAGTCTGTTCCTTAGTATTACTTAGTAAAGTTTAAAGATAATTTTGCATACTTTGGGGCAGATTGAGTACACTTTGCGGCCATAGACAAACTGGTTCCCGTTACACATGAAATGAACAGAATGTCCTAACATTTGAGACACATACCAGCAAGATTGTTATAACAATCAGTTTTTAACTTGTTAAATTTCTCTTCAAGTTGTGGCGAAAGTTTCTTGCTAGGTTGACTATCCATTCCCATTACTGCACTCATCTTTTCATCCGAACCCACTCCTTTAAGCTGCAGAATAGCTCTATGGTACTTTCCCATAGCTTTTTTAAGATTCTTGCTTTTAAAATATTCATTTCCTTCCATCTTAAATGTTTCTGCTGATGTAATCATATCTTCATCACTTGGTTTGTTAAGTGGTGTGGCCATGTTGTAAAGCAAGACTGTCAATTCCTGTCAAAAGGGTTCGTGATCACTTTTGCATTCACAAATATTTTCTTGTTTTGATGACAGTTCACCTATGGTTGTCGTAAAAAGGATCACGCACAGGAAAAAGAATACTGTTATGGAACCATATTTCATTTTAATAATAATTATTTGAATTATTTTTTAAGCCGACATTGACTTTAAAATGTGAGAATAATACAAAATTATCTAATTTTCTCCGTTATAGTTGTCGTAAATAAAAATGCATCAGCAAAACGTTTAACAGCAATAAAAAATCAGTGTAATTGTTCAAGTGTCTAAAGCACATTGATCTCGCACATGTCACCGGTCTGAAAAAAAAGATGGCAGAAGCAATGAGAGCAAATGTTGCTGCATTACTGAAAGGAATAGACAGGTAAGGTGCTCCACAGCCAATTTTTAAAACATTTAGAATGAAGTACAGCTGTACCTTTCCAGACTATACCTGCCTAGTCGAAATTGATCAGTTTTAATACATATATGTGATCAATGAAAAAGAAAAGGTTGAACTTAAAAATGACAGGTAATTGATTAATCATGGAATGAAAGGTAGTTGTGAATAGGGGTGGGACGATACACAGATCTTGCGATACGATACGTATCTTGATACATATAACACGATACGATTCGTATCTCGATATTATGATAAATTATAGAACTATTAAAAAACTTAGCAATTGTTTTCATTTTTTTCTTGACAATAAATAGCAAATTATTCTATATCAAATCTTATGTGATTTGAAATTAATACTTGAATTTCATTTCAATTTCATTGACTAAATATTTACAAAAACAATAATATGTTGACGGTGCGACCGTTAGGGCGAGCGCAGATACCTTTCAGTTTTAATTTAGATCGGGCTCGTCAAATCGCACGTGATATTTGCTACGTCTAGACTCTGACGTCATATGACGTCGTATGTATGTTGCATTACCAAAACAAAGTCTGAACAGTGCTACTTTTAATCAAAAACGTTTAATCTACTATCTGTCTGCTAAATATCCATTAAATCAAGGTGATTTCATATTTTGTTGAATTTTTGTTGCTACCGCGAGAACGTGGTGTGCGGCGAGATGCAATTCACTAAGCATTATGGGACCACAGGTAACTGCGGAAAAAAATTCACTTGGATCAATGTGCAAAGTCCGAATTTTCTCTTTGCCCAGGCATTGCTTTAAGAGCTCGCAGTGACGAGCGGCCCTTTGTGCCGCTCGCTGCGCTCGCTATTACTCTTGCGTTTTGCCAAATGTCTATAAACAAGTTGTTTACAAATAGTTGTGTAGTTCACCAAGAACACTGACTAAAATTTCATTTAAAAAAAAAAAAAAAACATCACATATACATAAATATAAAAAAAATCATATCTAGCTACAAATTATGGGAGATTTTTTTTATCCCATGTTTTGTACATCACTATCAATGTTTTACACTGTTTTTACTTAGGAATCCACCTTGTTTTACTTCATCACTTTCACGCAAAGACCATTGTAACGTCACAGCAGTGGGATATGAAAAAAATATCCGATGAGTGATATCCACGGGATAAAGGGGTAAACATTGGATAAATTATTTTACAAATTAATTTATTGTGTTTAAAGGTACAATCCAGAAAACTTGGGAACGCTGGAAAAGTATATTTTAATGCAAGCACAGGAAGGAACATATGATTTAGAAGCTAATCTGGCAGTCCTTAAACTGTAAGTATTTCAACTAGAGGTGGATATAGAGCCAGCAAAATCAGATTGCAATATTAAATAGCTATACATCTATTTTGATAGTATTACAGTGTATTTCACTTCTGTTTTGAACATTAAAAAACTTTAATGCATTTGAATGTATAAAATAATCACAATATGAAAATATTGTGCTTATTAGTATATTTTAGAGAAATGTCTATTTTCCATGTCATGTAAAGTGCAAAAAGGCAAACAAAGTGTTGCCAGCCTATGATTGTTAATTATCTTGTAAAATTGTTGTCATTAGGAAAATAAGTAGACAGAAAATAATTATCAATTTGTCATAATTACATTGTAAAATGTATAAATTATAATGTGGTATTAAACAGTGTCCATTTAGATATTTAATGTGGTGATAAAGTTGGATAAAATATCCCAAGTCATCAAAGTCAATAAATACAAAACAAAGAAAAATTGGAGACCAACACCTTGAGGTTGAAATTGTGGAAGATTCTCATGCGTGGATTCCGAACGGTATTCAATAGGGTCTGTACCTAAAGTTGTAAGCTTAAAGATATAAAACAGATCATGAACACTTCTCACAAAGTGTTGGTGATCTGCTTTATATCTTAAAGTCAATAAATGTATAGGCAGTATAGCTGTTTCCTGTATAAGTACAGTACATGTATACTTTTAATAACCTTATATATTTCTTTCTTTGCAGATATCAGTTCAATCCCATGCATTATCAGACTACTGTGGCATGCCAGATTTTACTTAAAGCTCTCACAAACATGCCTCATACAGACTTTACATTGTGCAAATGCTTGATTGATGCTGTCAGGGTAATAAGAAGTCATTTTTTCTTCATTTTTCTTTATTTGCATTTTAATTTCCATAATTAGTTGTGAATGACCAAAAAAAAAATATACATTATTATTCAGCATGATGAAGAACCAACAGCACAAGTCATGAACCTTGCACACTTGTTGGAGACTTGTCAGTTTAGGGAATTCTGGGTAAGTAGTTATTTTTATTTATTTATTTATTTTATTTTTTTGCCATGACAAATTAGTAGAGGAGTGTATTTGTTTTGTTTTGTTGTCAGTAATAGAATCTAAAGTCAGCTGCTGAAATTAGATCCTGTGATTTGCTTACTTAGATTGATCTATTTCAAATTTATTTTGAGTTACCGCGGGTATATAGGAAATTGTTAATGCTTCTTCTTTTGATTGATACAGGGAGCTTTAAGGGCAAATCCTGACTTGACCTCCAACATCAAGGGATTTGATGATTCTGTGAGAAAATGTAAGTGTGTGGCTTAGACATTGCAAAGGATAAAGTATTTCAATTTTCAAAGAGAAATGAATCGTACATTTGCTGGTGACATTTATTTCACATGTCAGAGAAAGATGGCAGAAATTAACTCTTGATTGCATTTTATTTCATTAACTAGCTTCATATTTTCCAAATATAGGTGTATTAATTCAATTTTTTTCTGGTTGGTAAATAGTATCTTCCTTGACTGCAGAACTGCATGTAATTATGATCCTGTGAATTTACAAGTACTCTTCATGTACACCTCTGATACTAGTGGATTGCACGTTCTTTCTTACAGTTGTGTGTCATGTAATAGCAGCAACCTACCAAACAATACCATCAGATCTGTTGAAAGAATTGCTGGGAGATATTCCAGGTACAAATAGAAGCTGAAAAATTAAAAAAAAACAAAACAAAAACAAAACAAAACAAAATGCATACTGTTAAATCACTAATTTTTGTGGGGTTTAATTGTCATTGTTTTTGAGGTAGGAAGAGACCCACAAATTCATGCCCACCACAAAATGTAAAAAAAATATATATAACTACTCAACAATTCTTCATCCATGAAATCAAATCCCCAAGAACCCATATTTTTTCCTCAAAGCACTAAAATGTGACCCCCAAAAAATATGTGATTTTACAGTATTCTATAGATAAGAATGAAGGTGAATCATGTTAATTGAAATGGCAACTTTAGATCAAAGCTGGTATCTCGAGACAAGTAAAGTGATGTGCACATTTGCATTAAAAACTATAGAAACATAAGTTTCGGTGCACAAACAGTGAGAAAAACAGTTCATGTTAAAGCTGGTAATTTTTATTTTACTGTCATTGGTGATGTATTTAAAGGTGCTTAGACACAGATTTAAACTTAATATTTTCTCAAATTTTCTGTATAATATCACGACTTATATATTCCAATAGCATTTCACACGAAAATATAATTAAAAACTTATTTTATCTGGAAATTATTGGAATTCCAGGATGCGTTTGATTAACACATCTTTGCACTTACACAAATTTTAACTTTATCCTTAATATTTAAGAAAAGAAGCGATTTTATTATGTACATGTATTAATGAAAAATATTACATCTATAATCCAGAAAATTCAGAGTAGAAATGTTCGAAAGCAAAACCAACTCACCAGTATTGTCAGTCCGTGCTATGTGATGTGTACAGAGTTTAACAAATTGAACACACCCGTGAAACGTAAACTGTTTTGTAAACAGGGCACGAGCTCTGTTATTGTTAATGTTTACGATTCACCAGGTGTGTTCAATTGTTATACTCTGCACACACCACTGAGCACTGACTTACAATACTGTGAGTGGGTTTTGCTTTCAAACATTTCTACTCTGAATTTTTTGGGTTATAGTTTTAATATTTTTCATTAATACACAACAAAATTGCCACTTTTCTTAAGTATTAAGAATAAAATTAAAATATGTGAAAGCGCAAGGATGTGTCAATCCAACGCGTCCAGAAATTTGAAGTTTTAATAACTTCGAGATGAAATAAGATTTTTATTATATGTTAGTATGAAATGCTGTAGCAACATATAAGTCATGAAATTATACAGAAAATTTGAGAAAATATTAACTTTAAATATGTGTCCAAGCACCTTTAAAAAAAAATAATTAAAATTTGATTCCTTGCAGAGGATCAGGTACAGCAGTGGATTAACAAATATGGCTGGAAGCTTCAGGAAGACGGAAATGTATTTATCATGAATCAAGAAGAGAACATCAAAACAAAGAATATCACTGAGAAAATCACATTTGAAAGTAAGTCCAGCATAAAGGAAATCAAATTTACTTGGGAATACTGTTTCTTTATTTTTTTTTAAAGGGACATAAACACAGATGTGAAGTTAACAGTTGAACCTCATTAAGCCAGATGCTTGTGTTCAAGAGCAAATTGTCTAGACTAATGAAGGTTCCAGATAACTGAAACATATTTGGTACATTTTCATATAACTTGTTCCCCACAAATTTAGTCTGGATGGTGAAGCGTCCGGATTAACAAAATTCCACTGTATGTCCATCAAAATTTTTGATAGAATTTCATTTCTAATACTAACATGCTGCAAGAGCATTTCATACTGATATATTATTAAAGCATGTTTAGCATCTCTAGTTCCAAAAAAACATCATTTTCTGAATAGAAACCGAAGGTTTTTGAAGAGAAGTTGATGTAGGCTATGCATGTACTGTCCACTGTAAGCAAAATATAAGATGGCAAAACCAACACACTGTTGAGTGTTTGTGTTCAGCGATGTGCGCCCTGTTAGCACATCAAATATGATGTGTACAATGAGCCCATGTTTACAAACACTGATGTTGCCATTGTCATTGAATATTGAGAATTTTCATGCAAGGTTATCCCAATAAAGTGGTTATTTTTCAAATAAACAGAGTAAAACAGTATTAAACATTACATACCGTAATACAAGTGTGTGTCTATTCTCCTTTAATTTCTTTAAAATTATGTATATGATAATATTAAGTCAATTTTTCAAAACATTATTCTGCATTTCTCTTTCTTACAAGTTTAATAAAGATGCTTAACACGAATCAAAAGCTGATTGCAGAATTAATAGTGAAACTATTAGTGCTCTGTCAAGGGACCCTGTTCTTTGGTTTTCTGTAGCAAATTTTGACTTTTCAAATTTTATCTCGTGTATGTACTACTATACTTTGGTCTGAAGTATATGCTTCTTTTTTTTTCAGGTGTTGCAGGCATCATGGCAAACTGTCGGTGATGTAAAGTTGCAGACTTATTTAATATTGTCATGAACATTAGTATACATAAGAATGTGGTTGAAGAAAAATTGTGCATCTTTACTAAGTTGTTATTGTCTTGTAATATTGAAGTACATATAAATATGGTATGAAATTAGTTTCAATAACTTCCAAAGCATTGTCATAGTGATGAGCCTGAGGAAGAGACTTGGAATTGTAATCGGTTTGATTCTTGTACTTGCAGCAACAGACAAGCACTACTTTTTGAACCACAGTATATATACTGTGAGGGCTGAAATTTACTCAAAGATGTCATTTTGAATTTGTATTACCATGTAATATCAAGAAATTCTGTCTGTATAACAATAAAAGTAAATTTCAGTTTTTGAGTTCAGTTGGATATTTTTTTTTTAGGTCATCTAAGAGATTTGTTATCTATTTTCATCTGTTATCCCTTAGTCATAAACTTTTCAATATTTTTAGCTTCTTCTCTGGAATGGATGAACAGATTAACCAATTTTATTATGCATCATCTACATGTAAAGGGGAGCAAAAAGTCTCTCCCTCCCTGGGCCTGAGAGATGGGGCCAAAGCTATCAAAATAATGCAATCTTCAACTGTTCAAAAAAAAAATTCTTCTATACTTCTGGAAATCTAGCTGGCGATTGGCATAATAATAAGCAATGAGCCTTCAACCAAAATTGTGAAATTCATGACCCAGGTTCAGGCTGCTCATGTGTTCATGTCCCAGGATGGGATATTTTCACATGGGCATATGGTTGTCTGCTTGATTGTATAACCATTAAGCCTCCTAAATTGTGCATTCATAGTCCCCTGGCCCATAGTTCAGGCCCCAGTAGAGTGTGGCTAGTAAATTATGTCTTTGAAAATATTCATTTCTCATGAACTTATAAAAGACAAATTATTTGCATCTAGCCCAATACAAAAACTTTAAAAATCCCAGGCCCCACATTAGGACAAATTGGTCAAACATGTAAATGGGTGAATTAAAAAAAAAATGACCAAACGCATATTTATCAACCCACACTAAAAATACAGGCAATGAAAATAGATTTCTATGTCTCAGCATATGTCTTTAGATAGTGTCTAAATACCTGCCAAATATCTCGTTGATATCCCAATTAACAAAAAAGTTGTGCCCAAAAATGATGCTAAAATTGTCAGGAGTGCAACACCTTTTTGTGACATTTTGAAATTTCAAAAATTTTTGGAGATCTGTGAAATAAATAATGCTTTATGTTGAAAATAAAGACTTTCCTGATAATATTCAAAGTATTGAGCTTTAAATGTGGGCTGTAGTAACTTTTGTTTAATCAAGTTGTGGTCATGGCTGATGTTTAAAAAAATGTTATACCATGTCAGGAGTGCAACAGAAAAAATGTAGTGTTGCCAAAAAATCATCAATTGTAAAATTCTGAAAGAAAATTAAGACAAAAAAGAATTTTCGAAGTGTAAAACAATAACTGATATACATTTTAAAACTTAAAAATGTTATATAAATCACAAGCAGCATTAATTAGAGTCAAGTATATGTGCATGCCCAATAATGTCAGGAGTGCAACATTTGATGTTTTGCTCCCAAGCATGAAAAAACTATTATCATTATATGATTTTCTGATTTTTATTTTGGAAAAGAAAGACACAAAGAACATTTTTACCAAATAGATTTATTAATTTACAGGATCTGTCTGTGCTTCAGATCTATATTTCTATGGTAGGAGTGCAACACAATTTTTTAAAGATTCAAGTTGTGTGATGAAAACACTTCTATTCATGCTTAGACATATTCATTAATTAATAATGATCTTTTTGCATAATTTAATACTAAATTATTGACAGTTTTATAATAAAAATCCTTCCTTTTTCAATTTTATCAATTCAGATGTGTTTTTATCTTTTTTGTGATTTTTTAAATGAATGTTAAAAATAAACACACTAAAAAATTGTCATAAAATTCAAGTAATTCCTCCTCGACTTCACTGAAACAACAGAACAAGTTCTTATGTAATTTTCACTTCACAATTCTACTTTAAAGGTCCCAATGCTTTTGGTCAGGAGTGCAACAAATATGTTAGAATTATAAATCATCCAATAAGAATAAAATTAAAGAAAAAATGATGAGTAGTATTTTTCTGGTGGGTTACTGTGTTTGTCCTCTAAAGGAAAATATGCTATAAAATATATTTTATCTTCTAAATATACATTTAAGCTAGTTTTTGGCATAAATATGGAATAATTCCAGATAAAATGCGAATTTCAAATACTTTCATCTGTTTTAATTATAAAATATTGAACTATAAATATTGCACAATTTCATTACCACTTGATGTTGCCAACACTTTATGAATTTTTGTGTTCTACGGTTTTAATTTTAAATTTTACTGCAGTCAGGAGTGCAACAAAACTGCTTTATAATTACAAATGCTTTTTAACTATCTTTTCTAAAAAATGAGTTGAAAAAAATGTTAGATACTATTTGATGTTCAAAACACTATGTCTATCAACAAATTACAGAAATTTTCTAGTTAATTCAGGGAATAGTTTTCATCATTTCACATATAGTTTTATATATTACAATTTATATATATTACACTTTGCAATAATCATGTGTTAATGTCCTCAAAATATGAAAAACCTGCCGTAAACGATCAAAAATATCAAAACGACAAATTAATTTACAAAGTAAGAATGGGTTATTGTGTGTTATGATTTTTAAAACAATGTTAAAAAAATACATATCAGATGTCAGGAGTGCAACACAATAGTGTAACATAGGGTCACTTCAAAATCTAGTATTTTTTGTAAGAGAACTTGTATATAAAAATTCTCTTTTGGCTTAGATTTAAAGAATTGGCTTGAACTGACAAAAAAGTGAAATTTGGGCAATTTTATTTCTTCATATTTTTTTCATATTAAAACTTTTCAAACCAGAATTGAAAAAATAATGTAAAATGACAATCAAAAAGTCAATTGTTTGTCACACATACAAGAGAAGATACTCAATCAAGGTCTAGATTTAATCATTTATACCCCTTTCACCATTTTGAAGCATAAAAAACTATAATTTCTTGTGATTATGTATTTTAGAAAGTCTTTTAAGGTGTAATGATATTTTCTTTTCTCAAAAGAAATTTTACTAATAAAAATTCTGAAACTTTTTAATCCAGTTGTCTATTCTATTGCCACTTCAGGATTTTAAACTAGAATGCATGTGCAATATGATGATATAAGTGAAAAATATGTTAGAAGTAGTTGAATTTTTCCAAAAAATTTCAGTTTGGTGGTCATTTTTTTTTAATTCACCCAAATGTGTATACAGGGTACTGAAAATTTTTAAAAAGTGTTCCTTTTATTCTTTACCTCCTTATCCTGTAGGAGATAATCTGCATGGAAATGATCATGATTTCAGAGTCCTCACCAAATTTTAGTTGCATGTTCTTTTAAAAGTCTATACCCATTCCAGGTGGACTCAATGTGAATGGTCATAGTCTGAGAAACTCAGGATACTCAGGTAACTGTCGAGGCTTAGCGAGTAAGGATGCATGATTTTATTGGTATACTGGTATATCTTGAATTTTTATTGCGTGATATGGAGACTAAAATACTGGTATTTAGTATGTAATTTTACGTTCCGGAAATAATTTTGTTTTTGTTCAGACTTTTTACCAGATTTGTCAAAATGTTGTAAAACAACAGCATCCTAGCATCCAAATATATTGCTTTATTGATATATAAATAAAAATGAAAAAGTAGAAGGTATTTTTTCACAAAAATATTATGGAAATTCATTTAAGATCAAAGTAAACATTGCATGTAAAATACATGTATCATGATATATTATATTTTGGAGAAAAAAAAATTGGTGATACCCATCCCTACTAGTGGGCCTGTTGTCTTTAATCAGTATTTCATTTATCATTCATTTTCCAAATTGATGTTACATACTGGTATTTATTAATCAATTCAATAGCTTACACAAAGTGTATTGCATCCAGGTTTTATGTGTTTATCTTCAGAACCATGTGCAATAATTTTAAGTTGTTCAAAAAGAGAGTTCATGTTCCAACTGGACTGCAGATACCTCTAGTGGAGGCACAAGAGGAACTTATATGACTACAAATATGTAAGAAAGTATCATAAAACTTTCAATATTCATGTTGCTGTTAAGGCCCTTGGACCCCTTTTTAAAGGATACCTAATTTCTCAGAGATTATCACTACTACCTTGTAACTTGCACCATTTCACAGTTCTTGTCAAATTTTGCTGCATAAAGAATAACACTTCGGACAGGAATATTTTTATGCAAAGAATTTTGTGTTGAACATAGATATACAATGTATTGAGAGAACTAGTAATTTTATTCTCACAATAGAGATCTCAGTCCATGCAAGTGCAATAACTTTATTTCTCAACATGGCAGCTTTGAGCAGTCAGTTCCCACATATAGCTTTCCTGTCTAATTACTACATAACATACTAGTAAAATTAAACAGCATCAGATGAAATTGCATGCTTACATGTAGTATTCTGAGAAGACATTTTTTTTTTGTCTAGAACATTCAGTGACTGACTGGAATAAAACAATACAATCTTAACATTAACTTTCTATGCCTTGTGGTTGCATATTTTTGGTAACATGCTATGAGCATTTACAGTCATGGGTGACCAATCAAGTCACGTGACTTCAGAAAGAATCTTCAATCTTTCCTCGGCAGATGAAAGTTGTTTCTTTTCCTCTGCTGAAAGTAAGCCCTTTACACTCTCCAGAAAACCGGTATCTGAAAATTGGAAAAATTCCAAGTCATATATGAATTTATAAGGCTTAGCATCTTTTTGTTATATGAAAATAAAATTCCTAATCACATCTACCAGTACATGTACATTTATAAACTTCACAGTACATGTCAACATATACAATGTATATAAAAACTAAAAATTTCAAGTGTGTGAAAAGTACTATGGGATGAATGAGAAATTCAGCTGTAGAAAGATACATGATAATCTACTTTTTAATTCTGATTAACATATATACTCACCTATAAGTCGATTTTTTGGGAGTTAAAATTTGGTCCAAAACTCTTTATCCGACTTATACGGGAGTTATAAAAAGATTGGTTTTTTAGCAGGTAAATCCCTCTAATTCAAGCTTAAAAATACAACCCACTTATAGGTGGACCGACTTATAGGCGAGTATATACGGTAATTTTGATTCTGAGAAAGGAATAGTGGAAAATACATATCTTTTTCAAACTTTGACCTGCTTATCTAAATGTACATCATTTAAGAAAACATACCAGAACTACTGTAAATAACACTTACTCTCAGGAAATAGGATAAGACAGCAGACTGCCTTGTGGAGACAGAGTTGTGAGGAACTCTTGTGTGTTGATGTGAAATGATACTGAGGCCACCATGATACCCGATACTTCATGCATTCTTCAATCATATTATCACTGTTAACAAAGAGACAATCATCTCAATAGGTTTTTTTGTTCTAATTTGAGAAAGAATCTTTGGTAGCATATTTGTTCAAAATGAGTACCAGGTACATGTTACATTTATTGAATGACTTAAATTTACTTATGCTTGGTCGACAAAAAGTTTGAATAATTTACTATTGAACACTGAACAGTATCATGAATTCTTTTCAAATGACATTTCAAAAGTACTATCAAAGAGACAAACACCAATAAAAAGATCTTATAAACCATTTTGATCTTAAACCCCACAATCATTCAGCAGAAGATAAATGGATAAAGGTTTTTGAGTGTCTTGACCTTTTCACATCTGAGGTCAGTAGATTTGATATCAGTTTCCAGGGTCGTAGTTCAAACTGCCAGCTGCCATCATCCAACAGATCAAAAAGGTGACAAAAGGCATCTGCTGCTTTGTCTTCTGAAATGTCAAACTAAACTGTAATCCACGTAAGGCTTCAGAACTCAAAACTTTTCTTAGAATATTATTGCATAAGGCAATGTGTTTTGAAATACAGTTCCGAGCAATTCACTTGTGACAGTTTTACTGTACATGATACACTTCTTTAAAGTCAAATAACAGGAATCCATTTGGAATGTTTTTTTCTCCCGAAGCAACCAAAACTGTTTTACATAAATCAGAGGCCCATAGACCACAATGCTCATCCAAATCACCTTAGTTTTGCTGTTCTTCAGAGGAACAGTTTTAAAGATATTTCCTATATACATGTATACAGTGAAACTTGCCTAATCCGGATATTGTTTAACCGAAATCTTGTCGATAACAATGAAAACTTTAAGTCCCTTAAGCTAAATTCAATTTTTTAAAATGTTGTCTAATCCGAAATGTTGTCCAATCCAGCCAATATCTGTGGAACCAGTGTTGTCCAGATTAGACAAGTTTTACTGTATTACCACGTAAATTTTTATACCTCTATACCCCTGCCCGGGGATTGGGGAATGATTTCAACAAATTTGAATCTGCATTACCTAAGGATGCTTGCGTATTTATTTATTCATTTGACCAGATGATTTTTAAAAGATTTTTTACCTAATCATGTTGACAGCAACACATATTGCACAGAAGTTCAAGAAGAAAAGTGAAATATTAATTACTGCATGTAAATGTTTTACGAATACCTTGTATTAATAATTCACAAAGATCAATCACTAAAGGGTCTGAGGGTACATGTTCTGCAAGATCCTGAAATCAGAATAGAAAAATAATAGAGAACTGAATATTTAAATATGGTGTAAATGTAACAAGATGCCCATGGGCAACAATGCTCACCTGAGTCATCATTGCTTATCTGTACACATGTTCAAAAAAGATAAATGAAATCCTTTATTATGGTCACCAAATTAAAGCCCATGTTCAAAAATTTTGATGTTCAGTATACTTAGGCTAATGGCAACATAATGAACATTTAAAACCTTGTTTTTGCAAATGTTACACACTTTTATCTGTAAAAGCTCTGTTTCACAATTCTGGCCCCAACCTAGTCTTGAAAATCATGCTTTGACCTACAGCTGTAACTTGAATCTAAATTTTCATTTTAACATGACAAACTTTCTTCCTGTTATCTGAAGTGGGGAATTTTTTTTAAGAGATTTTTTTCTGTATGTATTACATGTACAGCTGTATTAGCTAATTAAAGTCTGACCCATTTTATGGCCCATCCTTGCACCAGCTGCCATGCTTTGAACATATATGCTCCCGTAAAGTATAAAAAGAAAAGGAAAGAAAAAGATGAGAAAAAACAAAAATTGAATAAAAAGATATACCTTTTATATTACTCCATTGGTTATTAAATTTACTTCTAATTTGCTTTAGATGTATATTATACGCTTTCAGAAGACCAATGAAATAGATACAGTTGAACTTAGATATCTCAAATACCATGGATACGTCGAAGTAATTTGGAAGTTCCAGCCACATATTTTTTAAGTATTTTACCCTCAATATCTCGAATCCTCGGATATCTAGAAGTTTTTTCTTGGTCCCATTGGGTTCGAGATAATGAGGTTTGACTATATTATGAAAAATTCAATTCTGTTAATCAAAATAATTTTTATACTTTTTTTTCTTTTATTTTCTCTTCCTTTCATTTTTGTTTTATTTCTTCAGATAAGAAGTCTGATTTTAATTATATTAGAAAAAAAAAATCAAGGCTCCTGAGACAATGTAACAATAAAATCAATGACCACATATTTTACACCATGTAACTAAATGGTCCTGCTGTTCTGGAGAAGATTTTTAAGGATGTTTGCTATCCATTCCATTCTAACATTTTGACCACCCTATTGTGGCACCATTCTAGCCCAAGGACCCTTGATTTGAACTTACTGGAATCTGAACTAATAGAAAAACACTTGTACTATATATCAATTTAATTTACTGTGGATTACCTATTTTTGGGAAGATTATAAAAAGATTTTTACCTTATTATATTCCCATACAAAACATCCTAGCACCAGGGGCAATGATGTCAATCAATTTAAAACTATTCTGGATAGATATCAATCAATGATCAAGTATTGTTTATTTATTGTTGTCAACTCTAGTTATTATTAAAGTGACACTACAAAGTAAGCTTTGTAAGTTCTCGATAAAAAGATTTTTAAATGCCCCATCATACTTTTGCTATTTCTTAATTATCTCCCCCTGAAAGAGGTTGGCTTGTTTTCAGTGAACTAATACAGGACAGACAGACATGTTGACTTACACAGGCATCAGACTCTTCAATCAGAAAAATTAGAATTAAATATGGTATTGCAAATTGACTGATAGACAATTAACTGCTGTGATATCATTAACACCATAAAATATACATGGATATAACCAAATTACATGTACAACTGATTGTAGAATGTTCTTTAAATTTGTACCTTCAACAGATTGATTCTAGTAAACACTGGCCAATTATGGTGGACAGCAAAGTGATATAAAAACTTGTGAGCATTAGGATTATCCTTGTTTTGTTGTTTGTAGGCCTGTAAAATGTCCCCCGCCTCCTCCAGTTTACAGTAGTATTCTAATATCTGAGTAAAATAAGAGGAATACATTCCATATATGGAAATCACTTTAAGATGTACATTAAATATGTGCATTATATATATATTACATGAATAGTGATATAGATTATATATCTAAATGTCACTTTTGCCCCTGAAAAATGCATTCTGTAGCAAACTTAAAAACATCAAATGGATCAACAATGGGGAACACAGTATAATTTCTTAAACAGAATTGTGACTGGGCAAATTTAAAACAGGGCAAAATTGTTTGCTAGTGCAAAAGGGCTGAAATAACCCTGTATACAGTAGATATGCATGTTTAGTGTACCTCCACTTGCTTTGTGATGAATATATCCCATACTCCCTGTCCTGACTTCAGCACATCAAAACAGTTAATGGCCTTGTCAGCACATGTCTTCATTAGGTCCTCATAGTTATTGCTGACGTCATCATCCAACTGATCACCTAAAACAATTACAATTCTGTAAATAACATCAATACAATTCTGTATATATACAAATCTGTATATGGTATTATATAATTACAATTTTGTATATTGCACCATTACAATTTTGTATATTACACCATTACAATTCTGTACATTAAATCTTCAAGAAACCAAGTTCTCTGCCATCTGATGTTTAACACCTGACTTAATGAAAGTGTAGGTCTAAAATGTTTAGCATGAATACATGTTTAATTTATTCTCTGATGATAGTGATCTTGAATCAACATGACTTTCTTTATGACAGACAAATATATACATGTACATGAACACTGAATTTTTTTTAAATTTACAATTACATGTAGATACATGTACATACCTAAGTCCTTGAGTCTCTGATTTCTATTTTTAGCCACCATCCACTCCACATAAAACACCAGACCATGATAAGCCTTACATAAAATGTCTACCTGTTTGGTGTACTCAGTTACTGTAACACGTTTCTGCTTTGGAATATTCTAAAAATGCATTTTCAGAAAATTTGAGTATGGTACATATGAGGGTATATTATGAAGCATTCATATTGATTTAAACTAGAGGTACTGAAAATGAGCTCATGAAATAATACCTCCACTGCAATTTTTTTTAAAACGCCTATTTGCAATATTTTAAATGTGACCATGAACTTGCCAAATTGACCTTGGCTAAAAAAATGACATGCATTCTCTGGCCATAAGTAATCTTTGAGTTAAATATGGACATCCAATGTTTCTCTAGTAGAAAATTATAGACCTGACATGAATTTTGGCCAATGACCTTAAACTTGCCACAATGACCTTGGGTCAATGTTATGACATACTTTTAGCTCAAGAATCATTTTTGTTTGAACTTTCAACTTCCCAGCAAAAATTTAATACTTTTTCTGCTAGTGACCTTGATCTTGCCAGAATGACCATTTGTCAAGGTCATGACACACCTTCAACACATACATGTAAGTAATATTTGTTTAAAGTATGAACTTCCAATGTTGATCCATTAGAAAGTTTAAAACTTTTTCTGCCAGTGACCTTGAACTTGCCAAAATGATCTTTGGTAAGATCATGATGCACCCTTAGTTCATAACCAATCTGTGTGTCAAGTATCAACTCCCAATTAGCCTCCATTTTTTAAGAGTTATAGAAAAAACACAAATAAAAAACTCTTCTTGCCAGTGACCTTAATCTTGCTGGGGTGACCTTGGGTCATGGTTGGTACACACCCTCAGATCATATGCAATATTTTTGATCAGTATGAGCCTCTAATGTTCTCAATTACAACATATGGTCGGCAGGAATTAACTTTTTCTATAAGTGACCTTGAATTTGATCAAATGATGACCTTGATTAGAGGTCAGGACACACATTCAGTTTATAAGCAATCTTTGTATGAAGTATGAACTTGCAATGTTTCTCCAAAAAGAAGTTGTAGACTGGACAAGAACTTTATACTTTTTTGGCAATTGATCTTAAACTTGCCTGAATGACGTTGGATCAAGATGATGACACACCTTCAGATTATAGACAATCTTTGTACTAAGTATGAGCTTCCAAAGATTCTCCATTAAAAATTTTCTCCTGGACAAGAATTTCATATTTTTCTATCAGTGACCTTGAGATTTCTTGCCTTTGGTCAAGGTTATGACACACCCTCAGGTCATAAGCAATCTTTGTACAAAGTATGAGCTTCCAGTTACATGTATTCTCCCTTACAAAACTAGTCCAGACAAGATTGCATGGGCAGACAGACATGGTGATTCCTATATCCCCCATCATCAAACTTTGCTGGGGGTATAAATAGACAATTCCACGGCAAAATTAAACTCAATAATTCTCATAAATATACACATTCCTTGCTGTTCATCTCCACAAGTCTACTTTTTTAAATATGCCTCTGACCTCTATTAACTAATGACAAAAAAAAAATATGGAAACAAATATTTTGATTTTTTTTCTTTTTTCAATGATGACATTGTCAAAATGATTTGTTAAACATTTGTAACCTACACTTACAGTGAGAAGATACTTGGCCTCAGTGACCTCCCCTTGATGTAAGACAAACAAGAGATATTCGAGTAGCACCTCTTTAGCATTCAGTTTGTGAAGCTGCTTCACCTGACTGAAAATAGAAAATAAAATATCATGTTCCAGTACTTATGATTTTTCTAAGATCATAATCATTTTCATAGTATTTATCATTTCTATTTTTACAGCATGAATTGATCTTTAGAATACTCTGACATAAAGGTTCCACAAAAGTCAAATTTTTATTCATAGAGACAGTTTTAACAGTGGCCAAATTTTGTTTATGCTCTGAATTGTTCAGACCTGAGAGCTACTCTCCTGCAACCATAGTTATGTAGTTGACAAAAAAATGTTTCTGGTCAAACACAAAATGCTGGCAAATTCTTGTCAAACACAAAATGTTTGTTTTTAAGTGCTACTTACTTTACAAGTTGTTCAAGGAATGATTTATACTGACTAGGATCATGAAATGCCAATTCTGATACACCCTGCAATAAAAAAAACACTGCTATGTTTGACATAAATTACTATAATTAAACTGATCCCCCCCCCCCCCCTCATTGTAATACTTTCAAGAGATTCTAGTGATGCATTATCCAAAAGCAAACAATTACCGTAACTTTCAAATATCAAAAATGGGTCAAAGTAACTGTGTTACAGTTTGTACAGTATCCGTAAATATCACTCGAATTCTCCTATATATTTGATAGAGTGAATGCATAAAATAATCATGGACACCTACTCTCCAGATGATGTCAATGAACTTGTGTGGTTCCTCTGCCAAGTAATTAAGGAGTGTTATGGTGGGGACATCCCTCCTTGTCAGGAAACAGAACCGTAGGAGCTTTAATACATGGGGGACCAGCACGGTGTAATTACTGACTCCGATATTCGTCTTGAAGGGATCATCTGTAAAAAAAAAAAAAAAAAAAAAGGATTTGAATCAAAACTTAATTACTGTAAATCACCTTTTATTGGCAAGAACTTTATTTCTGTGTAATTATGCAAGGCAGTTTGACTGTGAAAATTTCATTTTCATGTATAATTGTATTATTAAAGATTTTGTATAACAAAAACCAGTTGTCATGAAATTTTTGTCAACTTATAAATTTGATATCAGTATGTCATAAAAATAAGGTGTCATGAAAATTTGGTGATCTACAGTACCGATAATCATTCCAATATCCAGATTGAATATGTTTTAAGATGTAAAGGTATAAAACCCAATGTACTTCTGTAATTAGATAAGAAAAACATTGTAACTGGGAAACTAAGATCAGTAATTTTTTTTTTTTCTGTGACATTAAATGATATGAAATTTATTTGAGGAAATAGTAGATTATTTCAAAAACAGTAAAACCTCCTTATCTCGAACTCAAATGGGGCCAAGGAAAAACTTTGAGATATCCAAGGATTTGAGATATTCAAGGTAAAATACTTTAAGAAAAAGTAGTTTGGACTTATAAATACCACTTTGACATATCAATGGTATTCGATATATCCGTGTTTAAGATACCAAAGTTCAACTGTTTGTGATGTTAGGAAAATGTAAGAATTTAAACTTTTCACATAAAAATGAATCCTTCATCCACGAAATCAAATCCCCTCAATCCAACATTTTTTCTTTGAACTATGGAAATCTGATGCCACAAAAATAAAAGATTTTACAGTATATAAGAGGAAGACACCTGTAAACTTTGAGGTCCATCTTTCTGTTTGTACATATATATGTCCAATCTTTAAAAATTAATCATTTTAACACATATGAGTGATAGTTCCATATCACTTTCCTTATGTGCTACATAATTTCATTTTAAACATTACTGTAATAAGCACAGTTGTCACTTTCCTTTGTCATCCCTTAGCGGGACACTATTTGATTATGTCAGTTTTCTAGTGCAGATATTATTAGGCACTAATAACATTAAGAAGAAAAAATCATAAGTTGCACTTATCAATTTTTTAGCAACACTAAATTATATAAAGATATGGCTGCATTCAGAAGACTAGATTTTTTTTAACTAACCTTTAATAAGACTGCTTTCCAGCACATCAAACCATTGAACAATTGGAGGGAGAGATGAGTAGTCTTTGTAAGGCTCTTTGGTTCCTTTGTCTTGAAGAAGGACACATACGTTTTCCAAGTATGAATATTTTTCTGGACTAATCTGTCATTATATCAAGTTTTCTTAAGTGGTTGATTTGCCTTATTTATAGTTTCAATGTTTAAAGCAATTATCCAGTGAAAAGAGACAGAACCTTAAGGATTGCGACTTTTGCGATTTTATAACAATGTCAGTTGTTAATGAACTATGTAGAATGTTAAAAGAAATCATATTCACAATATTCCATAAACGTAAAAGAGCCACTTGTTCGATCAAATGTGTGTCTGGAGATTGACTTGTCCGATCACAAATTAAGTAAACTGATCATGGACAATCGGACAAATTAATACTGGCACGCAGGTAAAAATTCATATAAAGTAAATTATATTTATTAATAACATATCACCTGTAAAATATTGCATGCTGATAAAATAGCACTTTGTAGCACTGTATAAAAATGTTTCATAAAAGTTGATTCCATAGCTAGAAAACAATTTTGTTCCCACACGAAGACTTCTTAAAAATTCAGTCCTGGCAACTTTCATTCATATACATGTATTTTGTGTATTCTTTACCATGTTTACTCAGGATGTCAAGTTTGCCTTTGTCACTCTTCATCACAGTTAAATTTTGGAAACTTATAATAAGTGCTTAGGTACAATTATAGCTAAATATTATTTTGTGGAATTGTAACAAAACTTTTTGCAGGGATGTAAAAATGATTTTTTTTTCTTCAAAATTTAATATGCCTAGCCTTTCTGCTGGAAAATATTTTGTCATGGTCAAACCTGTGACTAAAATTTGATGAGGGTCCGTCCTGAGACACATTCACACACATATACTGATACACAATTGCAGATAAATAGCTGTTTATTGTACGGAGAGACACTGTATGGACAGGTGTTTAGCTCTTGACTTATGTATGTACATGGCCGTAGGAACTGGGGGGGGGGGGGCGTGCCCCCCCCCCAAAAAAAATTTTGCCAATATATAGAATACTATAGAAAACTTAGCTACTATATGCTTTTGCCCCCTCATTAAAAACGGCCGATGACCTTTTTTTTATTTTGCTTGTCAAGGAATTTTGGTAGTTGATAGTGCCCCCCAAACTGAAATTGCTTCCTACAGGCCTGTGTATGATATGTAATTCATTAAAGAAATGTATATGTGTATGTATTTGTATATATTAGATATAATACATAAGCACCAGGTAAACACAGTTGCAGTTTTAGTGTATCAGATTTCTGTGATACAAAATTATTTCCCCTTCAAATTTATTTGTCCTGATTCGAGGAATCACAAGTGTAATCTCAGCGAGATTCGTAGACAGACAAAAATTTTTAGTCCGTACGAATCTCGCTGAGATTATCATAAGTAATATCGAAATATTATAAACTACCTAACATTACTTCAAACCTAAAAGAAAACTTACATATGCTTCCATATCACAGTGCAAAACATTTACCGAGTAAACGCGAACTGTTACATATTTTTGTTAACTCGTACTTAAAAATAGTGTGACATTGTTCATACTAATTCGGTATATGCTAGGATAAAAAAAAGATTTTTTTCAAGTTTTTCATCAATTTCAAAAATTGTTTTTTTTAATGTACGGTTATATTTGCCACCAAAAATACTTTGACATGTCATGAGCAAAATATCGTACAGGTTAGCTAATAATTTTTAACATCTTTTAAGGGTTTTAAACAGTGAATTACGATAGAAGGTTTTAAGTCCTCAATTTACATTGATCGAAAATACATTTTGGACACCTCAGCAAACACAAGCTGGTAAGTCAACAAACATACATGCAAGGTGTTAATTTTTAATGCGTAGTTTAATGCATTGTGAAGAAAGACTTAAAAAAGAATTACTGCAATGTGGAGGCCATACGTTGTTTAACTTTCTGATATATTGTGTGTCATTTCAACATACTGTATGCCATATGGCTTTGCAATATTTTCTATTTGATAGGATATGAAATCATGAGTTTTTTTTTTTTTTAAATATTTTTCTTTTATGTATATTTTGAAAGCAATCTTTACAAACTTTAATAAGCGTCCAAAAGAATGACATATTTTGATAAAAGTTCAAGGTTTATGAGTATGATGAGGACATTTTTGCTCATGATGTTAATTTATTCCCTTTGAAATGTTAATGAAAACATATCAGAAGAATAACATTCAATGTTTCTTAACAGGACTAATTACTAGATTCAAACTTGAAGGTTGCAGCCATCATCATGACTTAAAGGACTTATCGCATGATTTTTCAAAAATCTTAATTTTATGAAAAATATTATCTACAACCTTGTTTATTAAAATTCTGAATACAATAAACGTTGTTGAAAGCATATTTTAAGAGATATTGAGACTTGAAATTCAAATACGACAATATGCATATTTCAGTCGGATTTCGGCGAAATACTGCTCTGACGTCATAGGCGACAATTCAGTGATAGAGAGATGAGAAGTTGCACACTATTTACGAAGTTATCAACGACAAATGCAGCTTAATTATGAAAAATGCTGAAAAAATTAATTCTTAACGTGATTTTCAATTACTATAGAAACACTAACTAATTCTAAGGTATAAGGATTTTGAGATATTTTCGTTTTTTATTCCAAACATTTAGAATCTGTAGGTCTGATTACGGCATTGTTTCGTGATCGGAAAATTATTTTTCAAGACCGCCATCCTTTACAAAACATATGAAAGCATACTTGCAAAAATTAATATTATGTTAAAAAGGAAGAAAAACAGAGTTATATAATATTAAATTTGTGAATCAAATAAGTTAATACATGTGATAAAATGACAAATCAAATTGTATTGTGATGGCGAGTTTCTTCGTCTTCGCCGTGTCTCCCTCGCTATCGTCGCTGCTATTTTTACAATGTTGACGGATTTTTCAGATTATTTCTTGCTGACAATTCTAAAATATAAGGTTGGACATTAAATTTCATATCGATAAAATCAGTGATTTCGTCGTCCATAACGCAGAAAATTCAGGTTGTATCGCGTATATTTTAGTAAGATTTACGTGAAGAGCTGATCAGCCATTGTCGCCTTTGACGTCACAGGGTCACGTGATCGCTATCTAATTAACTTAGATTTTTAATTCAGGGGTTTTCATTTGAGTCAATTATTGGTTAATTACCGCGGTTTATCCGCAGTAAAAACACAAAATTTATAAACTGTGGTCATAAGGAACGTTTTACGCTTTTAATTTCAAATAATTTAGAAACATGCGATAAGTCCTTTAACAGTTAATGGCAGGGCTCGACATTAACGCTTGTCCGGTACAAGTGAAAAAAAATTACGGACAAGTGAATATTGCTGGGCACTTGTCCGATTGGACAAGTGCATTTTAATGTAAAGAAGTCTTCAAATAATAAAAAGAACGACTGTTGAAAGTTCATCGGCAAAGACGGAAGCAGTACATAAAATACAAACTTCGATCCCGATATGGATAGCTATGTAATTAAATTCACACTCAATCGGGATCGAAGTTCACTAATTGCAGACTACTGCAAAGGCATGAAAGTTACGTCGAGTTATGAAGTTTAGATTCTGTTTAATGTTAACAGTTTCATTAAACATTTATGTTGTCAGGATAGAAAGTCTAGATAAAATTTTGTTTTTATGTGTTTCTTGTATTTATCACCGTTCATGGTAGCTCAGTCGGTAGAGCGCTCGCTTCGTGATCGGGAGGTCATGAGTTCGAATCTCGGCCGCGACAGACCTAAGTCGATAAAAAATAGGTAGCAACTGTTCCTTCGCCATGCGCTCAGCACTTTGAAGTGAAAGTTGCAGGTCTTTCGGATGAGACCTTAAAAACCGAGGCCCCGTGTCACGGCAGGCGTTGGCACGATAAAGATCCCTCACTGCTCAATGGCCCTGAGTGCCGAGTAAAGGTCAAAATTTGAAGCCCTTCACCGGTATATGGTGACGTCTCTATATGAGTGAAAAATTCTCGAATGGGACGTAAAACAATATACAATCAATCAATCTTGTATTTATCAATAACATTACGAATCAATCACATGTAATGAACTTTATTTTAGTTTTCAAGTTGACAGCATTGTATCTTTATTGAACAATTTTCGGACAAGTGAAGTTGTAGTTCGGACAAGTAAATGTCTTGGTCACTTGTCCGAATGGACAAGTAGGGAAAAAAGTTAATGTCGAGCCCTGAATGGTTTTTGCCATTATCATTTTCAGCTAATATGGCCCAAGCAGTTGCAGCACTCATAATAGCTTTATGCTTATGTGTGGATATTTCAACTCAACATGGAGCATACCCACCTGGTGTGCCTCCTCCTAATAATGCACATGTTCATGCACCTCCAGCACACCAGGGTGGACAACAATTTCAAGGACAACAACAGTTTCAGGGACAACAACAACAACAATTCCAGGGACATCAACAACAGCAGTTCCAAGGACAACAACAACAACAGTTCCAACAGCATCAACAGGGACAACAGCAGAACCTACAGTACCAGCAGGGTCAACACCCAGGTCAACAACAGGGTCAAGGTAATGCAAATTCTGCTCTTGAACAACAAGATCTAATACTGTTCTACAATGAAAGTGCATTTTCACTTCAAGAACTAAACTTATATCTGTGATGAGATGAAGTATCAGTATTCCAGATTGGTTGTGTATTATTTTTTTTACTTTCATAATTAAGGAAAAAGGTCGGATTTATTCAAAATAATTTCTGTGGAAAAAATATTCACTAAATCATATTATCTTAAAATTGAAATTGCAAAAGAAGAATCACATATAAATTAATAAATTAACATTTTTTTTTGTAATAATCAAAGATCTCTTTTGTTATAGCATTGAATAATGGTCATCAAGGTAGTTTCATTTTGCACATAATTTAAAAATAAAGGTAACTACATTTTAATTTTTTTTAGATGCTAACCAGTTATTATGTAGAATATCTGCTTGTAGGACAATTTAATCAAGGCAATACACAACAGTTCCAACAGCCAGGAGGCCATCAAGCAGCACATGGAGGATTTGGTCATGAAAGTGCTCACGATGCAAGGTATAATATTGATTTGAAATAAAAATTATCCACAAACAAATTACTACAGAATATTTCTCACGTTAAGAGAATCTAGAATGTACAGAGTTTGTTTAATAAAATTCTTCATCCAAAAAAAAAAAAAAAAAAGAATCTGAGTATATTAAGGTTTTTTTTTACCTTCACCTCTCAAATTATTTGAGACATATTAAGCACTTGAAGAGCATCTGAACTTGACTTATCTTTTGTACCACTTATTTCCAATTTCTTTTGTAGCCATATCAAGGAGCACTTGAAGGAAGTTGTAGATAAACCCAAGGAAGAAATGACAGAGGACGAGTTGGAATTCCATTACTTTAAATTACATGATTATGATAAAAACAACAAACTAGATGGTATAGAAATAGTCAAAGCTATCACGCATTTTCATGGTAAGTACAATATTTAGGTGAAAATGGACAATTGCTAAAGCTTATCGTAAAATTCTTGTTGTTATCAGCATGTTCGTTCTGTAAATTGTGGCTTGATGTTAACTTGAAAATATTGCCTGCATTGTTCACAGTTATAACATTTCATTAAAAAAATTATTAGTATACTCATATAGATATAAACATTTATGAATTTACTTATGGTGTAGAGATGATTTACAGACATTAATTATGTTTACAGATATACATTAGGTAAATAAAATGAAATAAAATGATAAGTTGATGAATTTTATAGAGGGGGGTAATTAGAATGCATACCATTTGTTTACTTACATGTTTTTATTATTTAAAAAAAGAGTACTTTTGGATTATGTAAACACATTGCATGCCTTTTTAAACTTGATATGAATTTAATATATCCGGTACATGTATAGCCTGTTTTATTACTTAAGAAAATTATAATGATTAAAGAAAAGAAATTTTACTAATTGCATGGATTCAACACCAGATATTCATAAAAAAGGACAACTTATGTAAATCTAAATTTAAATCTATAAATGTAATTTTGTTTTCCCATTTGTTAAACAACAACTAAGAGATTACAAATTTTGTTCAACCATATAACTATCTGTTTGTAGTTATTCCAACAAGAGGTAATTTAAGAGCAAAATACTTTTAAACAATGTTGAATTTTTTTTTCTATAACTCACCTTTTAACTTTCACACTACTTAATACAAAAGAAAAATGCACTAATTTTCTCACTGTACGATGTCTGAGGTTTCACTGTATTGTTATGATTTCTGTGAAAACTTTTTAGATGCTAGGAAAATAAAATGCAACACCAGCCCTTTGAACTTCATGAAAATGTTTTAAAAAATCTATGCTATGGAATGTAGAAAGAAGTACATGTATTCTGAAAAACTAAAACAAAATACTAATTTTCTTTATCTCATTTTATCATTGTCTCCTTTGCATCCTTATACATGTATATTATGAATAAGGAATTGTAGAATAGATTTATTAGAAGAAATCATTTTAGTGTGACTAATACATCTCAGATAAATTCTTCCTAAATCCTAGAGTATGAAAGGAATTCAACAAAAAACTCTAGCTCATCAGGACATGAAAATGAGCACACTGACCAAAATGGTCATTGGAGATGTAGGTTTGTTTTTTTATTGGGTGTTTAACTATTTTAGGACCCTGTTTACTTCTTTTTATCTATACATTAACATGATAAAGTCAAACTTTTTACTCCTTCTTCCCTTAGAACCTCCTCCCAAGAAAGAATTTTGATTTTTATTGAAATACATTTTGAAAGATAAACATAGACAATGAACATGTCATCTCTATGTTCTTTAAAGAATTTCATAATTAAATATTCATGGGCATATAGTTTTTAGTATGTCCGTCTGCAAAAACTTTAACCTTGCCCATAACTTTTGATCGGTTGGAGCTAGAGCTTTCATATTTCACATGTGTATTCCTTGTGACAAGACTTTTCTTTGGATACCAATATTTGACCTTCTGACGTTGGATTTTGACCTGCTTTTGCAAAATTTTACTGAACTTTTACCATGGCCATAACTTTTGAATGTATGGTGATAGGACCTTCACTGTTCACGTGTATTTCTTGTGAGGAGACCTTCCCTTTGGTACCAACATTTTTGAACTATTGACCTTTACCTAATTTTGAAAACCTTCAACTTTGCCCATAACTTTTGAATGGTTGTTGCTTGGGCTTTCATATTTCACACGTGTATTCCGTGTCACGATACCTTTTCTTGGGTATCAACATTTATGACCTTTTGACTTGAACTTTGACCTACTTTTGAAAAAAAACTTTAACCTTGGCAATTTGTGTATTCCCAACATTTTGTGACCTATTGACCTTGAACTTTGAGTTTGACTTACATTTGAGAAACTTTAACCTAGGTCATGAGCTGTCATACAGGTGCATCAGTGTTTCACAAACACATTTTTTTCTGTTTGTTTTGTTTTTCTTTTTTTTTTTTGGTCCAGGGTTTTAAAGTTTTGATATCTTTGCTTATGGTGATGTATATTTTGAAACTTTTTTTGTTTACAGCTGTACAAATCCCTTAATCTGAAGTTATTGACATACTGGTATCTGATGTGCTTAAATTACAGAGTATTACCAGGAAAAAGAATATGCTTAACTTGATAAAATACACTCTTCTGGATTAAATCTTGAAAATTTTGAAATAATGTAGAGATACAAAAAGCCATATGAATTTAGGAGGAATAACACATTGTCATAATTTTTTGAATGGCAGTATGTCCCAATGTAGAATTAAAATTCAATTTTGTAGTAAGTCCTGATTGTTTGTACAGTTTTTTTAAAATAAGGTAGCTCAGTGCTGTTACTTTGTAAATTTCAGATAACTTGCTACAAAACTGTTTATTGACATTTTTAATGATGTTGCATTACTTTAATATAAAAATCATTTTTAAGACATTTTTCTGAAATTTACAGCTGATGACGGTGAAAGTGAACAGCAGCAGCATGACAGAAAGGTATTCTCAGATGAAGAACTTAGTAACATCGTTGACCTAGTTTTACAGGAAGATGACCTAAATAAAGATGGCTACATTGAATATGTAGAATTTGTCACAGCGCAGAGGAAAGCTCGGGAACAGGCAAAGACTGACCAAGGCAACAGTGAACAACACTAGAGACGTGCTATAATTAATAAAAAAAAATGAAGTCTCACAAGTAAATCTGATCTAGTCGACTGTTTGAGAGGGAGGTTAATTTTGTTTAAAATTCCTTCTTAAGCAGATAATAGAGTAATATATTACATGGTTTTTGTCTTTAACATTTAAAACATTATATTCATTAGGTACTGGTATCTCGAAGTTAAAAACAAAACATATGTATGCCTAATGTGTCAAAGGGGGGGGGGGGGAATCCCAGCTTTCTTTACTGGCACATTGTATAACAAAGTATACTTTACATGCTGTTTTACTATGAAGATATATTTTCTCTTTTTATTATGCATGAAATTGTATTTATACTTTGAGCATTTTTGAGGCCATTTAGATCTGTTTAATAGTAGATTTTTTGAAAGTTGTAGAAATAATTCCTTGGATATAAAGGCAGCTGATATACATATATATATACATACATAAATAGTGGATGCTAAATCTGTTTAAAAAATAAAATCTTGCATTTAAACAGTTTAAAATAAAAAAAAGCAGTCATTAAATACAATTTAGTATGTATAACTACAACACTTCTGTAATAAGTATTTCAGTACTACATGTACTGTTGAGTATATGCCATTTGGCACTGATACTGGTGCTCTTGCCCTGCATGTTGTTCTTGTCTACAGGTTAGACTGCGAGTTGTTTTTGTGGGTTTTTTTTTTTTGATGGGTGTTTTTAGAGTCCCATTTCTAGAAATTTCTTGTTGTTTTTGGCATTACCTGCACATTCTTTTTCTTCTTTTTCCTCTTTTCAAAATATATCACAATTAATTTATTAGATTTATCAACCAAGGAATTTTAGTTATTTCATAATTTTAATTTTTAGTCATTTAATAATTTTTATATATTTATTTATATTACATATTAGACTGAACTGTATATTCTTGGAATGTTTAACATCCAAAGAAATGGTATAATAGTGCAAATTATATTGTTAAAGCTAACTGGGTTTTAAAACATGATATCAAAAAAATCCTCCCCATTTTGACTACACATTTGTCTGGAGTTACTGTTCCTTGTTGGGGGAGCAATATTCCCGATTCTGACAGGTACAATCAACATAGCTGTACTTGCTTAATAAATATTTCATATTGCAAATTAAAGTTCACTGGTAATATGTACTTAGATCTTCTGTCAAAGCAGTTTACATAGATACATGTATATAGCTTTAAAATGGTGATGTTTCCAGCTGGTTTCATAAGTTATTTCCATATACATTTAAAAATTACATTCTTAACAGTTAGTTTTAACATTTTAGAGCTTTATTTATATGTTCGTAAATTATACATATATAAAAATTTACTCAAGAGTATACTAACGTATTTTCCATTAGTTATTGCTTTGTGTAGTGCACCATGGAAACATGACATTGTTTTTGTTTATGATTTTGCTTTATGTTTAGTTATTTACACTTTACTATAAGGGAGAGCAAATATTAATGTGAAATCCACACTTCTCAAAGCTCAGTGATGGTGATTGTTAAAGCATGGAGATAGATTTGAGTGGTGTAATGTATGGGTGTGACCCCATGTAATAGGGGATATTTGAAGCCAATTTTGCTCATGTATCTGTAATTATCAAATGTGTTAATCAAATATGTGATTTATTCTGATGTGGTAGTAATTATTTTTTCAAATTCGATTGATGTCATAGATGATATTATAAAATTTGTAAAACATTCCACAACTAATTGAATGAAAATGTGTGTGTTTTTTGCCCTTTTATCCATCTAGAAATACTTTTTAAGTGTAGATTTCTATTAAACAGTATATTTATATCAAAAGATTCAACAGAAATTTGAACTGCATGTCATATTAATCAATGTATCAGTATATGTAATAATGTGTTAGAAATGATTTCATGGGAATGATGAATCATTAATGAGTGTTAATTATGTATAAGTTATATAAGTATGATCTCTTCATTGTTGAATCAGAAAGTGTCATAAATAAGAAATGATCTTTTCGGTTGACATGTATACATTTTTTATTATTTGGTGGAAGTACAGAGATATTGTGTGTGTGTGATTGTTGAATAAATGTTGAATGGTGGACCAAAGGAAATGACTCTTTTTTGATATACAGTGTGAAAGCTGTTAGCAGTAGTACTGAGAAATTTGGGTTTTTTTAAAGGAATTTCAAGGCACCTCTTAGGATTTCTTTGTTATACCACATATCCGTAAACTACAATATACTCCAGTGTTAAGATTGCTTTAGCATCATGTACTTCTCATATCCTCCTATACCTGCTACAAGGTACTTGCAGAGCTGTAGCTCTCTGGAAAATTCGGACAAAGTCTCTAGTTTGTCTGTTCAATTTATCTAAATTTTCTCAACCAGAGCTACAGATACAAGTATGAAAGTCAAATACATGTAGTAATTTGTGACATATGTGCATGACATTGTTAAAACTTAACATTGTATCGGGCCTAGATAGCGACACTATTGACTCTTAAATCAAAAGCTAAAGCTGCCTTGACGATGACACGGCCGACTCAAGAATTAAAAAGGAAATCACCCGTTTCTATATATAGATATACCATTTTAATTCAAGATCAATCTTTCAATATCATTCAGGGATACGAGTTTTATATTTCATAGGTGCAAGTATGTCAGATAACAATTATCTTACGTGTTTATTACTCTAATTTTGAGACAAAGGGCTTAGAAAATCAGTAAAAATGAAACAAGTAGCTATGAATTTGCAAAGTTTAAGGTTCATTGATACTTTGATAAGAGGGATAACTCTTAATGACGTAAATGTCTATAATTCTTTTATAAATTTGCCAAGTTGAAGTGTCTTTTTGTCCAATTTTGCCCCTGACCCCAAGCTATGCTTTGATTGTTTTTATTTTACTTGTAAATCACATTTCTTTTGGGAAAATCATTAGAGTTAAAACAATATTTTATATGAGTAGAGGGTTTATGAACCTTAATGAAAGAGTTTAGAAGTGTACTTTCCCGAGATACTCAGTACTTTCAAAGTGTAAGGTGCATATTGGAACTTTATAAAATTATGTTTATTAAAAAGCATAATGAAGAAAACGTAGAAAAGATATACAAATATATACATAAATGGAAAAATCATTGATCTGGAAATGATAAATTTAAGACCAATTCTAAATCTTAAGGTAATATGAGAAGGAAAATTGAATACCAGCATATATTTTCATCATTTTCAAGATGAACTGACCACCTTTAAGGACATACGCAACGTACCTTACCTACTGATAATTTTTCAAGATATTCTGAATTTAAGAGTATAGTGCCATCAGATGTTCATAGACAAAAAATCAGCATGCATTACCAGGGGTTTTGAAAAGATATCAATTGATGAAAATTCTTGTATAATTCAAAGAAAATATACAAAAATTATTGAACATACATTCTAGATGTTTTGTTTATCCAAACATGTTTTAGAAGAAGTGTACAACAGCACATATAGACATTAAGATGTAGCACACAGTTCCTTTAAGTATTGGAACTCTTCAGCTTCAGGGAAAAAGACAATAAAGTTTAAACTGCATGCATTACGTATGTCCTTAACCAAAATTATCTAAATGTAATTAAGTGCAGTCATACCCAAATAAAATTATTCTAATGTTGTTTTTCGGCATTGTTAAAGGTTTCCTCTGACGACAGTTTGTCATTGTTAAGATAGATACCTCAATAGTTACCATACACTCCATACAAACTCGGATGATTTTCATATTTACACGTATCATTGAAAGGAACTATCAACATTTAAATATGCTTATTATGTAATTTTTTAGTTAATTAACACATGTGTTAACTAAGTCTGTTTGACGGAATTTTTGTTTAAAAAAGTATTTAAGAAATCATTACTAGAGGAGGCGAAAATGCCTATCAAATGCGCCATGACCCTTTCCCGGATTCTCGCCTCTTCTTTTCTTTGCTTAGAGGAAAGAATACAGTTAGATGCAAGCAAGTAATCCATCCGTGGTCCAGAGAAAGACGATATTTCTTTTACATTCATGTCTCACGAAGTGATGGAGACCTTTTTTTCAAACTCTGAGATTTGTTCACGTTGTTTTGTCAATTAAGGACAGACGATACGTTCCTCAATAATATATAATTTTTTCTAAGATTTTGTCACTGAAGTATTGCTACTTTAACATGTTTACTCCCGAAAAATTGGGGTACCTTACCAGGCATTCGTGCAAGATACCAGAGGATGTTGTTTCTTATAAAATCCTTTTGGAAATAAACTTAATTAGCCAATAACTCATTTTTGGGTGTTTCAATTTTTTAAAGACAATTAGAAACCAGTTTAGAAATCAGAAGGTAATTAAAATTTTGAATATTTTCCACACAATATGAAGATAAACAAAACAGATATTTGAGGAACGTATCGTCTGACCTTAATAGTGACTTTATAAAATTTGCCACAAAAAATTCCAGATTTAGAGGATATAAATTTCATTATTTGTTTTGTTTGATTTTTTAGTAGAAATTAATACATACGGCATTCTAAAAGTTGCAATTTCCATAGACATACTATACTCTAAGAAAACAAAATTCAAAATGTCTGTATATCGTCATTGTCATGCAGCAGTCTCGTCAATTACGTAAAACTGTTGAATACAAATTGTGATGAGAAGTAGGATACACAGCATGTTAATGTACTTTAATGGAATATTCGAACGTGCTTTCACCAGTAATTACTGTATTGTCCTAAAATACTGCTCCCTTCTCGTGATTCTTTGTAAAACGTCTCAAATCCCGATGAATGAAAATCCGGGCATTTTATTGTATCATGGAATATTGATTTTTAACACGTTTTTCTCCCTTCGGAGACAACCAAATGGTTTAACTTTGCTCCAAAGATGCTGTGCATTGTCCAATTTCTGAATTCCGTTCCGCAGAGAACGAGCGTTGATGGCCACGCCCCCTTGTTAGACTGACCAGGTGGCCGTGGTTAATTATTGACGACCATGTAAGGTCGACTGAGCGTGCTGGAATGAACAAGCCCCCGGGGAGGGGGAGTTAAGTACCCCCACTTCAAACTCCATCGAACATTGAAGGATGATGAAAAGAAAACGGGTAATGATGACAAGCTATTACAATGTTTTGGATCGGCATATGACACATCTTTGGTGTTTTCTTTTCTACGACAATATAGTCCGAGGCAAAATGGAAGAGATTTTTTGCACTAATACTTTGCTTTATTTTGGATGCACATGCATTTCGTTCTTACACCCAATGCTAACTTGCAGTAACAAAGTTAAAAATTTGTTTTATTGCTTTTATTTTTTTGTATCTGTGTGTTTGCATTATAATTATTTAATTTGTTAACATGGAGAACAAAATTGAAAATGAAGAAAGAACTGTTTGTCAATAATGCAATTTCTTTTTAATCTTTTTAGTGCATTAACGTGGCCTAGATCAAGTGGCATGGGCTCCAGTGTTGGACTTTAAGACATTTTTGTCCAGTTTGACAATGTTTACTTCATATATCTGACTTTACAATGCTAGATACATGGCACAAGTATATCAGTTTACTAATACTATGGAATTGTCGACGACATACTGTTTCACAGCCATTTAAAATAATTTTATACAACAGAGTTGAAAAGACATTAAAACAAGCATCACTTTGTGACCGAAAACATAAATTTTGTGTACGGGTCCTTTAATAATATATATTATAGTCATGTTTTACAATTACATGTATAAACATGCATACTGTATACTTTCATTTCAAATGAAGTCATAATATCCATGCAGTTCCTAAAATTTCACATCCATTCTTCAATCAGCACTAAATATAAACTATAAATTCTAAACACAATTTGATTTTTTTCGAACACCATTAAGTCGGCGGTATAGTGTTATGCGGTCACGCTTGATATTGCAGCACTGGATTCGACAGACCATGGTGTGTGTTGTTCATCCGCAGGGCTGTTAGACTCTTGTTGTACCAGTCATCTTCATGTGTTTCCTGTAAAAAGTCATCGTCATCATCAAAATAATCCTCATCCGTTGAAAAATATAATCCCAATTTCAGACATATTGCAGAACAATCTTATTTAAAAAAAATACAGATAAAACAAACAAACAAACAACAACAACTTTATTTGTGAATAATTCTTGAACTCACCAAATTATAATCCGTCATTGGAAACTGTTGAACTTGTCTGGGCATAGTCGCCATATTAGTTGTTGGCATTCCCGGCATGCTTGAGAACTGTGCTACGGGAGGGTAGCTTGTGTTCATCTGAGGGTATCTGGACATAGAGTTCATAGTGGGTGGGGCAGGGTAAGTTCCATATGGTCTTGATGTAGTGGGGTAAATATTTTTCATCATTGCTCCGCAAGCTGGATTCATTACTGGCGATAATGATTTGGCTAATTGTTTCTCTTGTTTTCTGTATTTTGCTCTTCTGTTCTGGAACCACACCTGAAAAAATGTTTTACCTTTAAAAGCAAAGTATTTTTTAAAAAATCGAAATAGATAATATATATGATGACTTGTTGCAGGTTTCTGTCAGAATAAATTTCATATCTCCAGTGCAAAACACTACACAGATAATTAATCTGCATCAATTCCCAAAGCAGAACTTTTTCTTTTACATAAATCTTTCATTTAAACATTTTGTTCATTCAGTTCATGTGCTCTATGATCTAGCTAAAACAAATCTATCAAAACCGAAGTCTAACAATTCATGCAGATAGTTGCAAATTTTCTGATTATTCGAAAATGCGAAAATTTATTAATCATGCAAAGTCTAACTCAGAGGAGATCCTACACGAGATCTACAAAAGCACCCCCGGAAGAAGTTCTTCTCTTTTCTAAAGACATCGAAAGCGAGAAATGTCCGTAGAAATACACGATGTTTTGCATACGTAATTGAAAAGAAATAGCTTTTGATGAACCAAGAGACCAAATATTTCTAGCGGGATTAATGAAGCAGACGTCAATTCGTCGCGCGTGCAGGAAAGTCGTCTGCAATTATCTTCGTCGCTCGTCATTCAGCATGTTTGCTTTCAATGTGGTCAATGAATCCAAGAAAGCAGAATTGATTTCAATTATTCCTTTAATACAAAATGTACTTGATTTTGGAGAAAAAGAAGCTGCAACGAGAACGGTTTGGAGTACTGAGTATTCTTGTACAGCAACGCTTTTGAAAACGAATTAGTCATTTACAGAAAGGTTTGCAAATTGAAACTCCACGCTTTCATATTTTTTTTTTTGGTATTTCTGTTGGAACTTCAACAAATTGGGCACTTGTATATGCCTATATTCACGGACCAATAATATACACTAATTGATGCATATTTAACATATAATCTGTTACATATTCGTAAAATTCTTTTCAGTGCATAAAATCTCTGACAATTATTATATCAATACGTTATTTTCAGATCATTTATTTGTGTTGCTTTTTGAATGATTTACGATTATAAGAAGTAAATATGTGATTATATTTATATATTTGTGTTAACACTGAGTGGGTTTTTTCTGTTTTGTGTCAAAGATTTTATATAACTTTACATAGAACATGTAGTCTTTATTAAAAAAAAAATCAAAGTTTTATCAAGTTTTTTTTTTTTTAATATTTTTACTTTTCTTTCTTTCTTTTTTTTTTTTTTAGTTCAAAAGAAGTTTTAATCAATTAATAATTCATAAGAATATTTGTGTGACTAGTGTTTCAAACATAATTTAAAAAAAATCGTAAAAAAAGAAAAATGACAGAACTAATCATTTATTAGCAGGAATCTATATGTAAGCTAAAAAGCTTTATTTTAACAGTCATAACCCCCCCCCCCCCCAAAAAAAAAATACCGCAATGCTTCTGAAATGTTAGAACTTGTTTTTGGTACACACAGTTCTTTTTAGAACACAATAAAACCTTTCATACTGGTTTACATCTCTCACTCTCTCTCTCTCTCTCTCAATAAACTCTTTGAAATACTTGATAAGTTTACCTATCTATACACGTTTGATCTATCCGTCCTACCATGTATTTTATCACTTGTTGGAGGACGTGTGCCTCTCACGACACAATCATGACACCCCTGATAAAAACGCGTGCCTACGCGTGATCAGCACGGTGTCGGAAATTGATGGCATTATGTCTGACACGTGTAAGTAGTCAAAGCCTTTTTCACGCCTGTTGTACCAAAAGAAATACCCGTACATGCTAATCACAGCATTCTCAGATCAGTCTATATGACAATATATTACTGATTTTTGAAAAAGTCACACGTCATTTATACGTTTTGCAATAAAAAAAAAAGACTAATTGCATATCTATATATTGCAAACCTTAAATACGTTCTTCATACAATACCATAAAACTACCTTAAAAATATTTCTGGATTTTTTTCAGGGTGTCCTCTGATAGGAGGTTGCCCGTCTCTAGAGAGTAGACAAGATAATGAGACAAGACAGAACCGCTAATGGAAAACTCTCTTAGCGCTTTCTTTCACTGCATTAGCGGCAAATGAAAATTCATCAGCGCCGACACTCGGGCCTCGAGCGCATTGCCATCCCTGGCTTTTTTCGAAATTGAATTTTCCCCCTCCGTACATCAAGTCTTACATACATAGCCTCACTATTACAGAGTGGAAAACGTCGTTACTGAAGAAAATAGCCTCTATTGTTTCATGTATACGACATCGTTGCAAAACTGTATTGAAAAAAAGTTTACATTAATAATTTAGTATTACTGATCACAAAATTGACGAGGTCGAATTTAAGAAATTGCTTTAGTATCGTTGCTTTGATCGTAAAGAGATAATACAGGTTTCAATAAAGATATTAAGTGAAAAATTGTCATTCGATTTTCTAAATATCTGGCATCGTTTGATATGAAATTTCGCTTTTAGATTTTTTTTTTTTACGAAATTGGAAACGCGAATCGAAAAATGATTTATTGTTTCTCAAGCTGTATACACGGTGCTTTAAATGCTTTTGAATAAATTTTACTGTTCGTATTTAAAGGCTTTGTCATTGTTTATTATTATAGCTAACCATTCAGGTACACTGTATTATTTCTTATTCATTCGTCAATTATGATAAAAAGCTTAGACACACTGTTTTGTTTCTAAAACAATACACATATTTAACGATTTTAGTTATATTCTAGTATATATATTATAAAATTATTTACTAAAGTATTTATGATAAGTACTTTTGAACAAACATACAATTTAACACTGCTTATATATAAGCTCTAAACTCTTAATTAAATGGAACTCTCTGTCACGTGCATAATATTTGCTGTTGTCAAATACATGTACATATATATAGGCTCCGTCGGGGCAGGTGTTTTATGTACACATTTTTTGTCCAAACAAGCTGTAGAATAAAAGTTCAAATATATAGTAACTTACTTTTTTAATCATAAGTACTAAGATAGTGAAACAAAAATTAAAAACATATTTATACAATGTGTATCAAATGATATGGTGTCCCAACCCATTGGACTGATCAACAAGCTTGCATCAAAATGCATCATTTATATGCATACAAATTATTAGAAAAAAAATTATTGGTTGATTGGTGCTGCGCAAAAAAAATTAGTCTTTTTTTTAAAACAAATATTTCTACACCATACTGCAATTGTTAGCATTATAATTAATTTGAAACTACATCATGGTACTGTCTAATTTAAGTTTAAATAATTAAACATCCAAAAAGGAAAAAGTTTTTTTTTCTTTTGTAACAACTTTCATTTTATATCTCGATGCAATTAGTGATTTTTTATTCTGGCAGATTTTATTCAAATAATATTTTTTTTTTTTTTTTTTATTCAGAATCTCTAACAAAGTACATTTAACAGGCAATGTTATGTAAAATATCATCTCTCTCTCTCTCTATTTTTTTTTATTCTAGAAGAATTATTAAAGAATGTGGTATTAACTTACGAAAAGATAACATCTGACTTTTCAAAGTATGTATACATGTATATAATTTGCAATGAATATTACATTCTATGAAGAACCTTAGTGCTATTCACTCTCCCTGGATATATCTAGAAAGAAATAGCTTTTTTCCCTCTTTTTGTTTGTTTGTTTGTTTGTTTGTTGAATTTTGTTATATCTGCTTGGTCACACTTAATGTAGAGAGATAAGCATCATTTTGTAAATTTAGAGATCTTATCTAATTAAGTGAATATATTTACAATATTTTCCCGTTTTCCTTTGTAATAACAAAAATTCGAATACTTCTTTTCCTTTTTTTGGGAAAAAAAATTCCACAAAGAGTGAAGAATTAATGATCATTAATAAATTATTCCGAAGAATTTACGTCAGTAAAATATACTGCAACAATGGGGTCGACAAAATGTACCGACTTAATTAATCTGATTTAAAAGAAAAAAAAATATAATCAGACAATATTCGAGCATCCTTTCTTAGAAAATAAGTTCAATGAATGTTTTACTTATGTACCTTACTGAAAAAATATGATAAAAATACTTTATCTAGAGCAACCACGTCAAAATCTCAAGTAAATTGACGAAATCGGGTTTATGGCAATCCATCTATAGTTCATAGCATTTTTAGTCTAAGCGTGACAGGGTCAATTAATAATGTACAATCGGACGAACCTTTTCACACAAAATACCTGCCAATAAACAGGTATCAATTGTTAATGACAGGTGTATTGATTTCCTAGTCAAGGTACATCGCAGCGGTCAGTATAATATTACAAATAAATGTATTATACAGCATGGGCAATCAGACGTGATTTGGATTAATTTTGGAAATTTTAAATTACGTGAAACTTTTATTCTTACAGAATTTCACATATTTTTAAATAAATTTTACTATAAGAAACATGGTCAGTATAGAAAACGATTTTTTTTTTCATTATTAAAAAAAGCAGCGACAAGTATTTTTATTATTAAGACCAATCCTAATGACTGGAATTTTGTTTTTAACGAGAATGAAATATGTTTACTGTGCATGAATCTACGATTATTTAATGTTTCGTTATATTTTTCCTTAAAATTATCTTACAATTTTTTTTATATGTATAAAGACCCAATCAATTTCTAAATAGTGTATGTTAAGCTAAATGCATAAATGCCATATTTTCCGAAAAAAAACTGTAAAAATAAAAACCGCACTCACTTAAAAAAATTAAGAATGTGTTTGAATATGTATTCAAATAAATGAATTAAGACCTACGATAAATTTAAATAATGCAAGTAGACAGAGAAAGCGTTTTTTTTTTTTTTGTTTTTGTTTGTTTGTTGGTTTGTTTGTTAAACAAATAAGAATGTTAAGGAGTTTTTCATTGTAGTAAAAGATAATATACTAGTGCCTATTTCGATATTATTTTATTATTCTTTTTAATTTTGATTAATTGGGCATCATGTTTTGTTCTCAAAGTAATAAAAAACATAAAATATTTTAAATGTATTCTATGTATTTTTCGACGTGGCTTTGAATCTTTATTCATAAACAGTTGATTTTGGTAAGTTTTACATGTAGTTACAAAGAAAGATAAGTGAACTACATGTGTATTTTCTTTTTTGTTCTTTTCGAAAAGGAAGTATTTAACCCCTTTTTTTTATTTTAAAGGCAGATGATAAAAACAAAAACAAACAAATAACAAAACAAAACAAACAAATGAAAAAAAAAAAATGGATGCATGGATTAGAATTATTTTGGTTGTAAATGATGCAAATGTCAAATTTCGGAGAAATTGTAAACTTCCTATGATGTTCAAAATCCTACCTTTTTGTCACCCTTTCATCCTTATAAATCTATACATTTTTTAACACTTTAAAGGACAGTATAGTGAAATTTAAAATGAAAATAGAAATCCATGCTGCTAAAGTTATTAATTTTACTTACACAAACATGATTTAAGTTGTATTTTTCATGATTTTTAAAGAAAAAAAAGTTTGTATCATTTGTCCTTAATCTCGAATTTAGAATTTAAAGTGTAAAGCATACAGTTTTCACCAATCAAAAATAGTAGATTATTAATATTAAACTCTTAGATCATTTTCTTTTCCAGCGGAGCAACGATTAAAGTTTTCCCCGTCATTGGCTCAATCTAACGAAAAATAAAAATCTTTTGAAGTTTTCGACGTTAATGATTTCGTTAGGTGCTTCGGAACCCCTCCCGCGGTGCATTTCTTGTCAAGTTTAGTTCCATCTGTCAAACAAAATTTCCCTCGTTTGTTTCCGAGCACGATTTTTTGGTACAAATATTGATAATTTTCTGACTAGACCCCTTGTTTATTTTCTCAATGGGGAATTCTAGCTTTTAATTATGGTCAATTCTGTCACTCGGAAAAGAATCGTCTTCTGTAATTATGGTATCTGTTGGAACTTATTTCCGAGAACCAGAACACGATTTTGAACCATTGTTTCATTTTAAAATATTTTCAAGCGTTAAATTTTGAAATAATTGAAGGTAATTTCTTTCTATTTACTTTGTTTTTCATATACACATAGATATTCTCACATAAAATTCACCCTTTTATCTTTTGATCATGAGAAGTTATACGTTAGAAAAATCTGTTCTATTAATTTTTGAAACGAGTCGACACTCTTAAAGCCTAAATAGCCCTCCCCCCTTTCTACAGGTACTTCCCCAAATACATGTCCCGGACGCTATCTAAAACAAGCAGACCCCTTTGACTTTCATCTTTTTAAATTTGGTTTTAAAACAAATATACATATGGTTATCCAAATAATTGTATCTAGCCAAAATTCTGCAGTCTCTCTCTCTCTCTCTCTCTCTACTTGATTTTGATACTTTTGTGCTTGTGTATATAGAATTAAGTTTTATAACAAATTTCACGTGTATCAAAAATCTATACACATTTTGGTTTGAAATAGAAATACAAATATCCTTAGACTGAGCAAGTGCCGCAACATAAAATAGCAACCCTGTACAACTTTTCTCTCCGATATTAATATGCATAAAAATACATATTTAGATAAATATCAAATAAGTGTGCCAAGTAATGATACAAAATACTCGGTCTAAATAATTTTCTTTTTACCATAAAAATATACAATATAAATTATTCTAAATAATAAGTAAAAATAATTCAGTTTTACCTGTATTCTAGCCTCGTTGAGTTTAGTAATCCTGGCCAATTCTTCGCGGCAGTATATGTCTGGATAATGACTTTTTGCGAACGCATTCTCTAATTCTTGAAGCTGCTCCTGTGTAAATGTGGTTCTGTGTCGACGTCTTGCAGGAGTAGGACACGCCGCTGGATTCGAACTCCCACCGCTTATTCCGGAATTGTTGGTTCCTGAACCAGGTTCATGCTTTATTTTCTTAAATGCTCCTTCAGGACCTATTAAAAATAAGATAATCTTTTCAAAAATATAAATAGCAAATAAAAAGTATGACTTTAAAGAAGTCATATTACAGAAACTGTTTGATAAAATAAAATCTGTCAGAAATGATTAAAAAAAATTTTCTTTTTGCTCAGAAAAAATCAGCTTGCATCTAACAGCAATGAAATATAACTAAACAAGCAATTCTGAAGAATTCAATATATATAAAGCAACGCTAAATTAAATTGCAAAAGCAATTTTGTCAAATTTATTGAATTCTCTTCACGTCTCTAATTATTGTATGGTCCCCACAAAATTCGATAAAAATACTTACCATGGTCGCCACCGCAAATTCTATCAAATTTTATTAATCTTATTCGTTCACATCCAAAAACAAATTATGTGAGTCTCTTGAATCTAAAATTTAGTTAGTCCAAACTTCAGCTAACAAAACACTCCGGGTTGTGACAAATTACCTGTAATTTTCTGAATCTTATAGAAAAATTTGCCTCAATACCGTTACAATAGTCAAATTGTTACTCGTAATTTATATATCGTATCGTAACTAAATCAAGATTCCCTAATTTAGAAGTATTGTAAATTAAACGTAATTATATACCTAGATATGTAACAACCCACCTGATAGTTCGATGCTTTCCATTTTCAATTCCGTGATTAATGGGGTAGTTGTAAATTAGGTTAATTCACAAAACTTATTAGTGGTCAACTAAATTGAATTCATCTGCGTTGATGAACAAGGTTACTAAATACCTACCATTAGGGTCAGAGAGGTTCCGAGTACTTGTACCATTGTCCAAATTATAAAGAGCAGAAAATTCATCGAGTTTCCTCTTGCTCATACCATCTTCTCCATGCTGAATTCTATCGTCCGTCATTTTTGGGGGGAAATTTTTTATGGTATTTTTATGATTGTTATGTTGGAGGACGAAAATTAAATGTCTAATATAATTTTCTTATCTGTTGATTTATAGTACGACGTTTGAAGACTTTTTTACCTAAAGGCTGTCGGCCAATCAAATTACGCGAAATCGCTATCAGAATACAAACGACATATATTGCTCCAAATTGATCGCTGATTGGTCCGTTCAGATTCAAAGAGTTCGCCGAATAATTATCATAACAAGAAGGCGTTACCAAATTATGGGATCAATATTGATTTTGCCAATTATATTTATTATGACATAAGATACTTTTAGTTTATTGATATTTTTGATTGTTTTTCACATTTAAAATTCGACCATTAATATATTGTAATCATATATCCTATCACTTTCTTCTCAAAATTCAGACATTAAAAAATAAACCTACAAGAATTTCATTTTTAACAATATTTTTTGCGGATATTAGATGATTGTGCAGACTTTACAAGATATTAATTGTCAAAACTTCCTATAGGGTATATAATTGGAAATATGCTAGACTTAAAACTAAAATATCCACAAATTACACGAAGATGAATGAAATTGCCTTCGATTATCCAGATGGCCAGCTTCAATCGTTCTAAAGAGGGGGTTACACTTTTTACCAGAAATAGAGTTCTGGTGTTAGGAAAATCACCCCCTTAACACGCACGATGTTACCCCCAACCCGCAATCACGACAAGACATGAAAGAACCCGGGGTAGCCAAATCGCGCAGACATGTCTTGTGCAATTTTAGCGCTCTCAGTGGCTTTCAGTGGCTTATTTCATGTCACCAACATTTACATCGGTGATTAAAATATATGCGTATCATGTATCTTTCTGTATATAAAAAAGTATAAGAAGTGAATTTTCAGGGCATGTTTCACTTGCTTTTAGACAAATTTTAACGAAATTGATCAGCAAACAACTAAACATGTTAAAATTTGCTCATCTACCCCCCCCCCCCCCCCCGCCCACCTCACCCCATTTAAGAAAAGATTGCGAGACAATAATTATTTGAGTATAAGTTAGTATATTGTTTAAATTTATGAAAATTAATAATCAATTGATATTTTTACTCATAAAAAAGTTTTTGTCCCATAGAGGCTAAAAATTCCAGGTGTGTGAAAGACCTTAATTGGACCTTGCCGACAGGTAGAAATATTAATGCACTCAAAACAGATGACCCACCCGCTGTTTCACAAATATAAGTCATAAAAATATAGAGGGGTTATGTAATAAGTTTTGTTCAGCGTATGTGTATTTGAAATTTGAGCAAATTTAAAAAAAATATTTTCTAAAAATAGCGTACATTGAAACAATTTTGAGTGTATACTCAAAAGGGCCCCGGGTAATGTTTGAATTACAAACATCGGTAACTTTTTATCTTTTATCGGAAAACAAAATCCTGAAAAAAATAATTATTGTCCAATCTGTCTAACACCTACTTTTGCTTTATCGTCCAATTATTGTGTTTGAAGAAGACACATGGTAAACGTTTGTTGCGGTCAAATTAATTTGATTATTTAATTGAATTAATTGGCCAATAGGGCACACGACCGCTATCTAAGCAGAAGGTGTCGCGTAAGAGTTGTAACAACAGATGTACAATGTAGATTCTAGAAGCAGGAATGCCACACGATATTTGTGAACTATTCTAATTATTTTTCATCATAGAGAAAAGGGTGGGGGGGGGGATTTCCACACTTTCTGTGGATAAATTTAGATCATGCAGTAGATATACAGGTAGCCTATTTCAGCTTTCTCCCAAGATCACGGTCAAACAAAACGAAAGTATATTAGCTTGAAATAACAAGAAAGAGAGAGAGAGAGAGAGAGAGAGAGAGAGAGAGAGAGAGGAAAGAAAAAGAACATAAATATGAAAAAAGGGATAACATCAATATCAATTAAAGACGAAAGAATTACAAACATTTTAATTTCTTTTTCAAATTAAACAAAATAATAATTTTTGTGTCTTTAATTAAATTTTGCATGTATGCAACGTTTTGTATTAGATGTAAAAAAAATAAGGATAAGAATTTTCAACAGCATCAATTAAAAATTGACATAATGTACATATACATTAATCTGAATACAATTACTCTATTAATATGACTTGCGTTCTTTCTAATATGTTTATGTAATATATATATATATATATATATATATATATATATATATATATATATATATATATATATATATATATATATATATATAGTCCCAAAATGATATTTCTTAATTCCAAGGTGATAAATTTCATTATATTGTCCACAAGAAAAAAAATCTCAATAAATTCTTGAAAATATAGATACATTCTGTGCATCCGTAATATTTTCAGGAAAGTAACTCCAAAGTTTATTAGTTGATGGAAGAAAAAATTCCATGCATGATGTAGTCATTGGTTTGGTTTGAACATATTTTATTGTTTATATGTTAAAAAGATCGGGCAGAAGTTTTTGTTTTTAATTTGAATTTCCTGTCCTTGATGACAATTACTTTTACACAAAATATAATGTTTAAAGAAATTAAAATAAATACACTGGAACCAAAGGTCAAAAAGATTATCTACTCACATAAACTATGCATGTACAAAAACATGATTGGATGTAATATGTACAAATGAATCTAAATAAGATATAAACTCAAAAAACGACTAGAACTCTTCGTAAACAATTGCACATTTGGAAATAAATTTTCATTTTCGGAAATACTGATTGAGCCATCTCCCCATGTAATAAAACATGAGTGTCCACTATACGTAAATTGATCATTCTAAAATAGCATTAAATAGATCATTTAGAAAAAGAAATGAATGATATGCCTTTTCTGTTTTTCCAAAAGAGCACAAAAAAGGACTGTCAATAATGTTACACTTAAAGTAGCGTTACACTTAAAGTAGCCCTTACCTATGGAAACTTAAAACTATTATAATTGTTCCCAAAAATTGTAAGTATCAGGCCCGTAGAATGCAAGGAGGAGGGGTAGTTAAGGAGTTTTCTTCTATTCTGTATTTTTTTTTTTTTTTTTTTTTTTGCTTGTCAGATTTTTTTTGGGAGGTTGGCCCCGCAGTTTTGAAACCGTTGCTACGGACCTGAGAATGGAGGTAGGACATTATAGTTTTTATAGTTCTTTGTATATAGATACTTTTGTGTACAACTATTTATCATTTTATATCTTAATATAATTTTAGGCATTTTTCCCTTGTACTTAATAAAACGCAACTCTTGATACAAATTTAACCTTTGAGGAATTACATCTTCAGCTACATATGTGATACTGGCTGCTTCAACTTCTAAACTTCTAGCATTTTTTGTTTGATCGTTAATTCAAGACATCATCAATATACTCTATAAAATAATGAATAATTTTATATTTTAAAAAATCCTTTAAATGTGCAATTTCATTTCATAAAGTAATATAAATTACATATTAAAACTAAGAAGGCCATACTTTCTTCAATAAAAGAATTAAACACATTCATCCAAAAATTACATGCAATTGTCGCACAATTTGTCAAGAAAATTTCTTCAATTATTCTCTTGACTTCTACAAGACGGAGGCCGATACATTCTATATGAACGAGAATATTTGCAGATAATTTTCTTGATTTATTCCTAATGAGTCTTAAGAAAAGAAGACAACCCCACAGAACACGGATGATTTATATAATAGCGAGAGAAACCAGAGGGTCTATCGCTCAGTCTTAACTGGGTTGTTATCCAAATTGCATTCCTATTTCTCATTTAGTTTTCTCGATTTTCTCATGAATACCAATAAGTAAGCAAGACTTTTAACAATTTGTGTCATTCTTCCCTTTATCGATGACTTTAATTACTTGGCTTGATTTTTTTTAATTCTCTGGACATAGCAATGTTATAATAAAAAGAAATTACAGCGATTTCTTACTCACCAAAACACGATGAAATTCTTATATGAATTAAACTGAACTCGGGATCTTTGAAACGACGTATTAAGCAGAAGGTAGTGAAAATTATGTTTGTGTTTTATTTAGAAAAGGAAAGAAAGATTTAGAATAAAAGACATAAGAAACAATGAATAAAACGAAAATTCTTATCCCCCAAAGGTTAAGACATTATTAATCGTTCTTAAGGAAAAAACACTTATTGTTCATTTCTGACATTAAATTCGACAAATGAAATTAAATAAAACAAGAGGATGCTTCATTGATGAAATCGAATACAAAAATCACGATTCAAATATACATATGAATTAATTATGAGTACATGTATATTGCCATAAATATCAGCAATACGTGATAGGTTAAAAAAGGAATCACAAGAAAGGAGCACTTTATATGAATGAAAGAAAATCTGTTCAATCTCTGCAGAAAAGTTTAAAAAAAAAACCTTTCAGATAGAGAGGCAAGATACAGATGAACCCAGCATGCATGCTTTACTTCGCATTTTTTTAAAAAAGGTTTTGTTTTAAAACTTAATTAACAATGCACGTTTCTATCAACCTATGAGGTTGATAATTGATAATGATCAAGACAAGGGTGAAATACGCTACTCTAAGTTTTTGGATCCATAAATTTTTTTTTAGTCAAAAATAAAAAAAAAATCTTGTCACAAGGAAAATTTTGTTCTTGAAAATTTTCAATTAATAAGATTCAGTCTGAGCTCCTAGATATTTATCTCCCGATATCTCCTCTTCCTGATTTTCCAGAAAATCGTCCGCAGCTCGAAGTACCTGACGAAGATTGTACAATGTCAGTATTTTAATCTCTTTGGAGACAGTTGGAGAGTTTGCGAGATTTTGCATCGGCAGAACGGTATAGGGAGGCAACCCAAACGACATGGCGACTTTGTCTCTCATCTCCAAGACGCTTCTACTGTGAAAAACTTTCGACAAGTCTTCCTTTGCAGTAGCCATCGTATCAACTTTGGTAAGCAGGATCAACTGCGGGATTTCTAAACAAAATAAAATTTTGTCATAACTCAATAGATATGAAACTAATTTTGAAAATAAAAATGCCATCATAAATCAAATGCTGAATTAATGACATACAACGACTTTTCACAATTTCCTTTTTAAACAATATCAAAACACAACCTACTTCGTCTATTCATCATTTCTTGGAGTTCTTTCACTTGTTTTTCAACGTTCTGAGACATTGTTATTTCGGGTGGATTCGAACCATCAACAACAAAGATGACACAGTGGATACGATCAGCTAAGGTCGGATCTTTTCTAAACTTGGGATTATCTTTAGTAATCGGTGTACTTTGATTGAACTAAAAAAAACATCAAGATTCAGATTTATATATTCTTCATGTTTATTATTTGATGCGTACACGTGCACTTTTAAGCTTCCCTCATTCTTTATCAGAGTCATGAACGTTCAAGAAATAATAATAATAATGAAACCAATGACAGTACACACTTTGTTGGTAATCCGTTGGCGACTTTCGCAGGAGGCGCTCGCGACCAGAATATGAAGCATATGAAACGAGTAACAACCGCATGCAGCATACAAGCAACTTATTTCACCGTTTGAGTAACGAATGCGTATCGCGTAAAACGTAAGAAACTGTGCGCTGTTGTCGACTTACAGTCCTGTGGTTGTCTTAATTCTAAAGCACACCCGGTTTATTCGTTTCTTGGCCAGTTGTTATCCAGCTGGACTTACGTCCCAAGGACCTCATCCAAATAACCAAACTGGCCAAGAGAGCGAAAAGAAACACGCGAGTTCCGTACAAACACAAAGCTGCTGCACTTTAAACGGACACTTCAATCTAATGTTTCCGCCGGATTCTTGGCGGACAAAAAAACGGATTGAAAATTTTGTCATCCCGAGGATACTTGTCATTCGGTACTTATTCATTCATGAGTGGTGTCCGTATTTAATTTGACATTTTATAAGCGTTATTCGATAAGGTGTGACTGGGGGGGGGGGGGGGTCTCAAACATATTAATTTACATTCAGTGGGGTGGGTGGGGTGGGGGTAGGTTCCAATTTCTTTCAGTACCAAATTTTATATACATGTATACACTACTACATTACCCTTATTTGACTATACTGCAACAAAAAAGGGGGGGGGGGCAGCCGGCTTTTCATGAACATTTTCAATTGTAAAAAGTTATGTTAGACCCCCCCCCCCCCCATGCTACGTGCCTGTGTCGACTTTCACTATCAATGTGCGAAAGACGTTTAATTCTTGCTTCGAATACAAACCACATATCCATCCATCACGTGACCATCCAGAATTGCCTCAACATCTCGAGAGTTCACACTTTGGTCTTCTTCTAAACCACGACAATCTACCATTCTAAAGTTTAAGGCGCCAGATGTTTTTCTTCCTTTTACTTTGTAAACATCAAGCTAGAATTAAAGATCATTTCATTAAAAAAAAGTCAATCAATTCGAGGCCCAAGACATAGAAGGAAAAGTTAGCATAACGCACATTATAGATTATGCAAAAATACTGTATGTATATCTTCGGCTCTCTGTTGCTGATTTTTTTAAGCAATATAAATGGAAGGTTTAAAAAAAATTTAATATCTTTCTTTCAAACTAAAAATCAAAAGTTCACGTTTTCAATGCCTGACATTTAGTAACCTCAGTCTCTTTTATAGATTATTTCTATTTTGGTAAAGAACTATATAAAAAAAAAAAAAAAACAGTTTTCATACATGTACGTATATCTTATTTTGTATGTTTCCTATCCATTACTGATCACCTAGCTTTTCGAAACTTGCCTTTAAAAATATTTTTCAAAGAAAAAAACGAGTGTCGGAAAAAATTAAAACACTGCAAAGTTGATTATGTGAGCTCATCTGCAATGTGTTTGGTAAAATGAAGTCTGTGAATTCATTGTTTTCTACGCGATCACTAGAAAAGTGAAAAATAGCGTTATTTTTAAAGCCCAAACATGGAAATGTTCGACGACCTTTAATTGTGAGTGTAGGATTTGAAGTAGAAGATTGCTATTCTTCTTATAGTTAGAGCGATGCCTGTTGGTCACAGGCACTTGTTTCGAATACGGGGCACCCCTACTTATTTTTACCACAAGGTACCTAACTCAATTTCAGGCACCTGGTCGATCCTCTTTATTGTAAACCGCTCATTTCTTCCTCGAAAATTATCTCGATACAAAATAAGACTACGAATGGGATACATAGACTCCCGGTTGGGTTATAAATGAAGGATAAAACCAGAGACCTCGGAAAGGAATACTCGTAAGTCTATGGACTTATCCTACATTTATAACCCCAACCGGAAGTCAATGTATACCATTTGTAGTCTTATTTTGTATCGAGATAATTTTCGAGAAGAAATGAGCGGTTTACAATATAGAGGATCGACCAGAGACGTCCGAAACGATTAATTTGACAAGAAAAAAGTCTTTCGAAGCTAACGATGTCATTTTAAAGTAGATTAATGATTGATATATAAACAAAATACGAGCTTGAAGCGGGGGTGCCTGAAATTGAGTTAGGTACCTTGTGGTAAAAATAAGTAGGGGTGCCCCGTATACGAAACAAGTGCCTGTGTTGTTGGTGATAACCTTTTGTTTATTCACCAATTGCAATTGATCGGACCATATAATTATTTATGTGATTTGTGATTGGGTAAACCTACTGATTTTGTTAAGCTAGAACTTGCACATCCGGCACGTGACCTATGAGATAATCTCCCCTTGATAACAGAGTCTACGGTATTGAAGAAACTGGATTTTCCCGATGAAATACGCCCCAATAGTAAAATGTTGACGTGTGGAATCTTTGAATGATTTCCAATCTCTGCCAAGGGCGTGTATTTTTCTGTTTCTGTCAGAAGACTATCCAAGGACTGCAACAGAGAAAAAGGGATCATTCCTATGAAAGGCACAAACATAAACACAGTCAATGTGCATTGTTTTGTTGTTGTTTTATTGTTCAATGTAAAACTTCTACTTATGTATATGATCACCAAGACATAACGTCAAATTAAACGAAAGTGTGTAGAGTATATAAAAAAGAAAACTCCTTCACTTTCAATTTGACACTCAACTACTTAATAAATATGCAGTATAATCACTTTGATATTAATAATGATAATTTATTAGCATCAAACTTATATTTACAGTAGGTTTCTGGAATCTGTAGGAGAAAAATACAGGTTCTTAAAGCCTTTGGTATAAGTACATGTATATATTAGTATATTATTTGTTGTGTCATTGCAATTAACGTATGCTTTGGTCTGATGGCTCTTTTTATTAAAGCCTATGCTTTAAGCAAACAAATTTCGAATTACTGAATAAAAACAAATCAAAAAGTTAATTTCTTGTTTTTTGATTTTACAATGTTTAACCTTTTCGCTCCAGTCAATCTCATCCATTTCCTGCCATGGTTTCTGAAGTAAATCATCAGAAATATTGGATGTTGGTTCTTCAGATCTGTAACAGAATTATTAATGAAAAAGAGAAACAAATTTTAATTTATTGCCACTAAGTATTATTAACTTCAGTTTCTCATAAAATTTTCATTTCAAATTACCCGGGTACTTTAAGAATAGCCCCACAATGTTCATTAATGGATCCATAGTATATCTTTTTCATGTTTTGTGATCGTTCATCATATTTGTGTTTACACCTTCTATAACCTTAACTTTTAACCACTTCATGTCCATACCAGAGAGTGCTTTGATCTCATAGGTAGGGTTACCTCATTGTTTTTTGTTTGTTTTGTGTTTTTTGTTTTGTTTTGTTTTTTTGCTTTCTTGCTTTTTGTTTGGTAGGTTCTTCGTGCATTTTTTGTAAAAAGTTAGAGTATAATATAACATATATAAGCCCTTCGTTCCCCATGAAAAAAAGGAAAATAGTGACATAGGCAAATTTAAAAAAAAGGTTTTAAAACATAAATAGTACAAACAGTGTATAAATACATGTATATAAGCAGAGGTATCCAAAAACTTTCCTGCTCTTTTTGGACGTAAGTAAATTTCAGTGATTCTAGATAACGGAGACAAATATCTGTGATGAGGATGATTAAATGACAGGGTACAGTGTATATAATTTTTTTTAAAAAAAAAGATAAAACATAAAGAAACATTCATAGTCACTACTTAACACTTTCATTTCGCTTAGATTATTGTTATAATTCTAGAGTGACAATATGTAAAACTCAAAATATTTGACAGTATTTTTAACTTACACGACAGTAGATTCCTCCATTATATGAACCCCAGGATTTCCTCCTGTAAATGATAGGTTTGCTTACTCCCTCTGAATTTCGTTTGACCTTACGAGAAGTAAAAACCCGTTAGGTTATGTGGGCGTTTAAGTACTTCAATGTTATGAATATGAATGTAATGACCAAAAAGTAATTTATAAAGATGACAAGGCTGGTTCGTAGATTAGAAGAGATAAAATTGAACAGAAAGCGAAACTGAAAAGCAGGGGTTCGATAGTTTTTCGACTATCAACAGAATATTTTTTTAAAATAATATTTACGATAAAGTATCTATTTCTAGAAAACTTATGTTAGACAAATTATTTTCTGGAAAACCGCCTCACTCAATTTTTTGAAAATAAACAACATAAAAACATAAAGAAGAGTGTACATCGAATGAATGCATAAGCATGTAATATTAAAACACTATTTACACCCCATAGCATTATTTTTTTAAGCCTAGCTATAAGAAACTTTACAAGATCTTTTTTAATTTCTTTTGAATGTCAATTTTCTGAAAACCCGCTTAATAGCACGTGACCCATACGAAAGCTGATAATGGGATCCAATGTATGCAGGAAGTTAGATTTCATAACGATTCACCGAATTTTATGATGATATACAAATAGTATTCTTAGACAACAGGAGTGTACGTATCTGATAACAAATTACCTGATATCATTGCAATGTTTAAGAGAATGTAAGATACAAAAACTATTCATAGCAATGTTTATCCGGAAACATTTTCGATTTTTGTGAAGTATTATTTACGAGCCCCCCCCCCCCCTTTTTTTTTTAAAATTGTTATTTCATTTTTTTTTTTAATTTGTAACTAGTTCTAATCGGAGAACTATACATTTACTCGTTATAACGAGTAAATGCATATATAGTTCTCCGATTATATGTCAGTTTTCCAACATTGATTACAGTGATCTTCCAGCAACAATTAGCTCTGCAAGTCTGTTAGAATGACTTTTTTTCTTTTTGTCTGATACACAGGTACTTGGGTCTTGGTTTATAAATATGTATACCTATTGAATATGTACTTTTTTCTAATTAATACAGTACAATATGTATACCAAGACCTACGTACCAGTGATCTGAGCTTTCACCGCATGCCTGATGGCAAACATCATAGTTTTTTTCGATAGCAAGTCTTGGTTAGAGTCCGTTTTGGGAGCATTGATTCACAGTCTGGTGGGTATGTTTGATAAAATCGACAGCTTTGTGGCAACGAAAAATATTACACGTGTACCGATACTAACTGTAACACACTGCCGTTACTACATTTTGCGATATAACATTATCTGTAACAATGTAAAATGTAATATTTACGGAGGCAAAATATAATAAAAGGGTGATTACTAGTATCCCATTTTGTTTTTTATCTTTCGAGGAATGCAAATGATATTAAAACGCAAAATATAAGAAAAGAATTATGAAAAGAATTCTATGTATTTTCAAAACAGGCAATGAGGAAAATTTGGCGCTAACATTTTTTCGTTGTATTCTTCCATATTTTATTTTACCAGTATTTATATCAATTATTCCACGATGCTTTGAATCAATTCCTACACAATCATTAAGTAAAATGTTCTTAACTTTTTATATACAATAGACAAAATATTTACATAAATAGACGGAAATACTACAAAAATAAAACAGCAAAATCAGTTGTATGAGGTAATAACAGGTATAATAAAACAGTTATTTGATAACTATATTTCTATTTCTATTTGAAGTTATTTTAAGCCGCATGAATTTTTCCTTTGAATTTTCATCAAATGTGTTATAGTTTCGTTCTGATGTGTATTAAACTTCCTGGCCTAGTTTTTTTAACACGTGACTTTAGAGTGCCCTAGTTTCGTTTTCGTTTCTTGTAAAAAGTGCAGTACACGTAAGTGGATTATTTGTTATAGTCATAGGATAATTGTTCTCAGAGGTTTTCTTGAGGGCTCATTTAAATTATGTGGGTTGTTTACATATAATTAACACAGTGCAATTTGATATACTGCTGTACACAGTTTGTTTACGTGTAAAAAAATGTTCAGTTTTTTAAAAAGAGGTAAGTGTGCATGATGAATTTCTATTTAAATTTGTAGAGCCACGCAACTATGTACATAGGTTTGAAATCCAATTATTTAAATGTAATAAAAGTCTATACATGTACGATACTGAATAGATGCAATGAACATTGTAAATGGTAAATATATACTTACTTCGTCAAAATTGTAAAGTTAACAACATTAAAATTATAAATGGTAAACGAAACTACTAACATCCAAAACTGAATTACATTTTGTACAGATACATATTCGTTTAATTGCTTAATCCTTCGTTGAAGTAAAAATTATTTATTAAACATACATGTATACGTTTCCTGTGGACAATTTCATGAAATTATGTTTAATAATGTCTTTAGAAGAAAATTCTCCATGACGTGGGAAATTCTAGTATGTAATATTTTACAAACTTAATTAATACTAAGTTAAATCTAGAACTCTTTAAAATACTCGAAAGTTTATTTGCTACCACCTACAGTTTTATTTTTACAGCACCAACACAGAAGGACATGCCGCTATTTACTGATCAAAAAGGATCTTTTATGATTATAGAGAAAATAGAGGTAAATCTAAAGAATAAAACCATAGGCGCTTGGTTTCTGGAAGATGTATTTTGTGTATTATTTGTTTTTCTAGGTGTGTCTGAATAACTCATTAAAATAAAAATAAAAAATCGCTGAAATTAGCATGGTTTAAAAATATACCATTACTGTACATATGAAGAGAATAAGGTATGACAGTTGCCATCTTGGATTTCAGGGGGTGCCTCGGTTCACGCTTTGATCTATATCTACACTTTTCCTACCGGTCTCTGATGAGGTCTAGGTTCAAAAATAATTGAATAACGCCCTTCAATCGTCTTCAGATTGGAACTTGCCATACAAAACATGCAGTAAATCAAAACGCCCTTGATACCTCGCAGTGAAACTGAAAGCAAAGAAGTGACGATTTCTTACTATGTAAAAGGTAGAGGCGTCCCGGAATTACACTAAATTCTAGAGAGGTCAGAAACCACGCCAGACACCCTCCAGAAACCAAGCACCTATGTATAAAACACTGATTTGAGTATTCCTGTTTAGCACGAGATTTTACATGTACTTTGACGTTTATAAACGTCAAGTTCTAATTTTTTAAAAAAAGATACAAGAATAATTATACATATTGTTTACATTAACAGGATCTTCTAAGAGACTTAAAGTCAAAGATCAGCAAGAACGAATGTTCTAAGTGTGGAGTTGGTCTTGTTGAGGAAAAGGGGCCAGGTGACTGTTATTACCCACCGCCATATACATATACAACTGCTCAGAATCCGAAAGAAACAGGAAAACAAACAGAGAAAGAAATTATAGACAAAAAACGTCAACGGAGCTGCGAAACTAAAATATCGTATGGAAAAACTGCCACAGAGTATATACAACAACTCGAAGAGGAAAAAACTTTTTTAAACAATAATTGCCAAAGACTTAAAGAAGAAAATGAAAACAACAGTGCCGTGATATCTGAGCTGAGGGAAACCCTTTCAGAGAATGAAAATGATATTGCCATTTGTAGAGAACAATTAATGAAATACAAAGAGGATGTAGGAAATCTGAGAGACACTATTGCAGAAAAAGAAGATAAAATACAAACGTTAAATGACACAGCAAAAAATATTGAAAAAGAAAGGGCAGAATTACAGCAGATAATAAACAGTAAAGAAAAAGAAGAGAAATATCGAAATACAAAGCTTGAAGAGTTGAGGAAACTGATAGACAAACATGCAGCTTCTGACAAAGAGAAAGGTGATAGATAAAAAAATAACACCGAGCTTTCAAAAAAATCTTGCATTAATATATCTTAAACAGCGTATAAATTTATTATACTAGTAGTTGAAGTGCACTTAAGTTTTGTGCAGGGCCTATTAAGGACAGATGATACAATGAAATATGGAGATAATGAACAGAAATCAGCTCAAAAGTCCATTGAAACAATACAAATCAGGAGCAAAGCAAACACAGACTTCTAAAAACATCAAAGAAGGGATCAGGTGCCATGGAGGAGTAGGCATCCCCTGATGACTTTAGACGAGACTGTTGATACCCTTGTTTCATCAACTTGTTTGTCAATAGCTGACCTCGTTTTAAAAATTGTTCGTAAGTGGATCATGCTCTTGCGTATCAAATCAACTGGAAGATATAAACCCCATATGCAGTTGATAAGGGTATATTGCTACCTAAATAAGGGAAGTTGACAATTTTACAGTTTAAGTCATCACATTTATCATAAAGTTTTGTTGTTCGGTTACAAATATACTTTTTAAAAAATTATGAAAATAACATCTAAAGTCAAGTTTATATGATTAAAATGAATAAGTTTAATCGCATAGATTTTAATTTTTCATTCATAGTTTCATAATTATGTCCTATAAAGTGATAAAAATTTGTAGATTTATAAGAATGATTGCCAGAAAGGTAGAATTTCGAACATCATAGAAAGTTTTTGTTTTATTAAATTTGCATTATTTACAACTAAAATGAGTGGGGAAAAAATATAAATATCAATCCAGGCATCCTTTTTTTTTTGTTTTGAGTCATCGGTCCTTAAACAGAGTTACACTTTGAGATCACCTGTCCATTGTCTGTTGGTTCGTCATTATGATACTCCTCATTTTTTGAATTGCAATAGGGAGCAATTTGATAGTAAGCATATAATTTGCTTATCACAAGACTTAGACCTTCCTTGCACTTTATCCTTAGACTACTGTTTACTTTTTGTGTTCACTTTCACACTCATATAAAGGTCTAGCATGGAGTTTAATGTTGCAAGATCTTTAACAGAATGCAGGAAATATTGAGTTCTGGGCATAGAACTTCACCTTTGACATTTATCAGGAAAGTTTTTAACAAAATTATTCTATTTCTTTTGAATTATAAATACATTTATATACACATGTAATTTAATTAAATTTGTATATTTCTTTATAAAAATATCTATCATGAATTATCAGCTTCGTCTACCATTTGGTCTTGACCTTTGGTCTGTAACGCATTTGGTTACATAATTTTTTTTTATCTGAAGATTGAACTAAGTACCAAAAGATCAAGAATACACTGATAATTTATACACTCTACATGAATTTTTATGAATAATTTTACATATGTCCTTCTCTTGAAGAAAGCCAGATACAGAAATTAAACAGAATCATCGAAGGTAATTATTTTATTTTAATGCAGAGAATTAAAATAAGTGGTATAAGATACAATCCTTAATTTCTTGAAAAAACTAGTAAAAAAAGTACAGACTGTTTTTAAATTTTCTTTTCAGACACGAAAAACACGTTAGAAAATCATCAAAGGGAAAATTCAGAACTAAGAAAGTCAAATCATCAGCACAAGTCATCCTTAGCTGTCAAAGAAAGAGAATTAAGCCAGCTAGAGGGTAAGCTATTATACTCCTCTTTTTCATCCAATCAGAATTGTTCTTAGTATATTTCTTTTTTAATTATTTTTATGATTAATAAAACTGGCAAATGCTTTCTACTGATTTTGTTGAGAAATTGTTTAAATTATAGAGAGATGTAGAAAACTGGAAGTCCAGATTGAAAAGAATTCCAGAAAAGAAATTTGTAAGTGCTCCATCAGTTAATAGATTTCTTGACTTTTTATTGCATTTCTTAATCAACTGACCATTAGTATATTTCATTTAAAAAAGGTGTTGGATTTCATACGACACTTGCACCAACCATGTCCTCACTAATACTAGATGGACTGATGAAAGAGCTGACTGACCGCTTGGCGGTGGAAAAGGTCGATCTGGTGAGACGGCCATTTTATGGAAATACAGATTTCAATTTTCCTCTGTTGGCCATATGTGTAAACGTCTCGAGGATTGGGACAGATGCTAAAGAAGTACTTAAGGGAATACCAAAAGGTATGTGCATATTTTCTAATTAGAGAATTAGAGTAAAAATTGCTGTAGCAATTCATTATTTAAAAATATAATTTTTTATTAGTATTGAGTGATTCGTGGCAGTTCCATATGTAATTCACTTCCATGGTGGCATAAGCATTAATCCAGCGACTTTCAGTGTGTTTGTGATGCATATAATATATTTTGCTTCTGGTACTGGAAACAGTAATTTTATGTTTTAAATCAATAAGCATGTAATCTTTCCATTCGTATCTTGGATTGTTGTTGTCTGATTAAAGTGTAGTTTATAAATATTTCCTTTGATCTGTGGCTTTCGAGAAAAAAAGGGAAATAGGAATAATTTACCTGAAGGAGAGAAAAGACTAGTATAATTTATTATTGTAATTTACGTGAACACTTATCTAACATGCAATATTTACTTTCTTTTTGTAACATGTAATATTTACTTTCTTTTTGTAGCTAACAATTCTAAGGATGTTGCACTTTTGGTGTTCCATCATAAGGAGGTTCATGCTTTACCAAGTCAGACAAGTGACAAAATTCTCACCGGAACTGATTTCAGTCATCTTGGTACCATTATAGATTTTGCTTTTCTATCTCAGAGAGGAATTTATGAATGTGACATGAACATGATGGGTATCGAACGAATTGCATCCTTCTTACTACAGTACAAAACGAAGAAAAATTAAACATTTGTCTAAATTCTTTATTGGAGATTTCAAAGCATTATCATAAATTTAACTAAAATTTTTTAAGAGATATTTATAATATAATATAATTATAATATAATAATATATTATGGACTTATGAAATTTTTCTTTTTTCCCTAACATTTTATTAAACGGTAAAATAAGGCTTTATGTTAAGCCTTTGAAAGAAGAGACTAATTCGTTTAAAACTTTAAGTTCTAGTTGAGATGAAATGATATAGCAAGAGAGATAAAAACAATTTTCTCTGTACAATAGCGGTTTTATTAGAAATAACTCTAGTTATTACTATAATATTTATAATTGTTTTCAATTTGTAAGCAACGTCAACCGATATTAAAAGAATAATGTCTTTTTGTTAATTAATTAAAATTAGATTTTCCGAAACCTCTACCGTTTGAGAAGAGTTAGAGGATTCGGAAATCTAATTTTAATTAGATTGGTCTTTTTTGTTAAATTTGTACCCTTGTCCTCAGAAAAACTGCCATTAAAGAAAAAAAAATCTTTGTTATTATTATTTTGTTTGTTTGTTAGCAAAACCTTTAAAATTACTTTACTTTTACTGTGTTAATTTTTATGCATCACACCAATGAATGGAAATCTCGACAATTCATGCAGTTAGAGTACATTTGATTGTTAGTGTAGATTGAATTTGTCAACAATCTGTGTGTAAGCCCGTTTGATTTAAATTAGATGTGCAAAACATTCAATAATTAATATACACATGTAAGTTATCACTTCCATATTTTTTTCATTAATATATAGGTATATAAACAAAATATTTATATAACATTGTCAATGAAAGTTCAACGAAAAGTGTATATATGCTCAGGTATTAAACATCTCCTCCATAGATAGAAGAAGCAGGAAAAAAACCTAATAGTTTAAAGCTGCAATAATTATTTCTAAATCCTTCTTCCGGGAATTTAACAGTGGAAAAATAATATAGGAAGAATTAAACATGTAGTTTAAACTTCATCCTAAATAATTATGTATATTTCATTAATACGCAAGAAAATTGTCTGTATAACGGAAGTATATGCTACATTTTTAATTTTGATTCTTTATAGATTTGAGTGACACAAGCCTCTAGAAAGAATAACGTTTGTACAAATTAAGCTACCTCTTTAAAAAAAGGTCTAATATATGTGTATGTATAACAACATGTATTAAGTCCTGTAACAATTTTTCACATAATTTTGAATTTATACTGGATTTGTGCCAGACTTGAAAGTTATGTATTATCACAATCCTTTCCGACAATAGGAAAAGGCTCGAGGAGATGTGATTGGCATTACCCTTCTATACCCACTATCAGAAAACAATTCGAATTAAGAGGTATTCAATAATATTGTATCATGTTAAACGAATAAACTTCCTTAATGCTTATGTAGAACTTGCTGTAAAATGTTTACGATACAATATTTGTGAATGTTATTTTGTTTACAATTGCTTTCAGCGATTTATATTGTAGAATTCGATATTTTTCATGCTATATTCTCTGCATTGATCCGTAATATTGTATATCGTAGAATGAGTGTTTGTCAATTATAATTTTTGTTTTCTTCGAATTCTTCTTACGTAGAAGTTTTTGGATAAATTCTGCTTCATAGGAATATAAAAACAGGTCGGCTAATAAAGAACACAATTAGTGCCCTTCGGAATTTCAACAGTTTGTTGGAAGACCTGGTCTGGACTACATAAATGTTGTCAATGAGGAACTCTAGCATCCTTTTGATATCAACTTCAGAGTACCTGTGTGCAGAATCAGAGTGATTCTTAACAAAGTTATTTTGTTGATGACCAAGCAGTTCACAGTATACAAAAATTTCCGACGTTCATTTTTATTGATGCAGTTGTCTATGATATCAAAACGCCTACTTTTTAATTAATCGTGAGGAATGGTTGTATAAAGTGTAGAAAAGTCGTGTTTTGGTGTTACTGACTTTTGAAAATTTGGCGATTTAAAATTTTCTATTTAAAGTTCTTCAGAGATTTTGAGAATCCACTAAGACTAAAGCTGTGGACTCTTGATGGTACGTCTGCGAAGACATGACCTTCTCCAATAATGCTGATTAAAATCTGAATTGACTAAATAATGGAGTTCTTTTCACACATTCCTATTAGAAACTCCATTCATATTTTTCACACTTGACTTTAAGTTGTCGAAATATTGGGAGGCACATGCGCGGACCTAGAGGAGGGGAGTCCAGAACTCACCCGGGACCCCCCCCCCCCCCCATACCACCACCACCACGAAATAGTTTTTTTTTCACTTATGGGAATGAACTTTACGTTTTTTTTTTCTTTTCTTTCTTTGTTTTTTTTTTCTGGCTCGTCAAAAATTTTTTTTTGACTGGGGTGGACCCCCCCTCCCCTCGGGGGAAAATTCCCAGATCCGCGCCTGAGGCATTGCCTCTTTTTTTTTTATCCCCCCCCCCTTTATGGTCAATCTTCACCGGAACCAGTGCAGGGACGAGTTAACAAAAATCGAACGCACCAAGCAAAACATAGACTGGAAAGCATGGGTATGTTTTTGTTTTTTTGTTCCTTACTTTAGATTAAAGTGTAATGATTTCATTTTATCAGAATCTGGTAAAAGCCGTTCAGATCACTGAGACATGATTTGTGCATTCTTCAATCCTTTAACGGATTTGGAGAATTGAAATAGGTAACTCTGTTAACTAAACTTTTGTCTATGGAAAAGTGTTGCATGTCTGTCTTTTTTTTTTTAAATATATGTAGAGTATATCTGCATAATTAGTAAAATATCCCCCTTAAAATATAAGAAAAATGTTAAGGAATATGAAAAAAAGGAATAAAGAAGATTTGGTGTGTTTTCCTATTTACATTAAACGATCAAATCATCCGAGTTAAATTCAAGACACAATTAATCATTATAAATCTAAGACTGCCACTTAGTTCACATAGATTTATTTAACCCTTTGTCTCAGTTTTATTCATTACATATTCTTCCATCAAATACAACCAAGCAGTAATGTAAAGATTCAATTTTGGTTCTTTCTTGATTTATATATATGTTTGTAAAGTGATGTTTTCTTTATAGAAGTGACAAGGCTTTTGCCTACTAGGCAAAAGCCTATCCTCTTCTCTTAGGAGAATAGCAAAGTGTATACTGAATGGTGATATAGTCCTGACTAAAAAAAGAGGAAGCATAATTTTAAGGGAAAAAAGATACCCATCAATGTATTCAAGCACATCCTATGCAGATCTGTTTTCACTAATTGTATTATTAACTTATTACATTAGATGAGGAATTTCAATGGCAACCTCCATCTGAGGCTGAGATGAAAATTTTGGAGGCCAGACGTGAGAGGTCAGATAGGATCAGTAAACTTATGGGGGACTATCTACTGAAGGGCTACAAAATGCTGGGGAATGTCTGTGAAGTCTGTGATGTAAGTGTTTTAACTCTGACACCATTTTGCCAACAATAAGATATACCGGTACTAAATGTAGCTAGTGAATAAAGTTGTAATTTATTCTCCAATATCAGTAAGCAATTTTATAAAATGTATAAACAGAATAAACACTAGGTCTTATTGCTTTGAAAGTTATTGGCAAAGCAGGAAGTTTGTTTATGCATGATTAAAAAATGATTGCTTAATTTTAACTTTACCTATATTGATTGTTACATTAGCAATATATGTACATTTTTTGTGGGGGTGGAGGGGTCAGATGTTTCTAAGCAGTGTGGAAATTAATTTTACTTGGACAGTTTACAATATGATTTTAGACAATACTCTTAGAAGACAAACAAGCACAGAAGTATTGTATAGCCTGCAGGGAATTAGATACAGACACTTGCAAAGATGACCCAGGTCAGTGATACATACATAACAGTACATGTATATGACTCATGTTCAATTGAATTGTTTCATTTTAAGATTTGAGAAATGAAAAAGCACAACATATGTAAAGGGTTATTCTTAACTGTGAATACAAAAAAGTGTCGCTTAATTTCCACAAAGTAAAGAAAGTTGAAAATAAGAAAATGGAACAGAAACCTTACCATTTCTTTTTGTACATATACCTATAGAGTAACTATTAATCAAGAATTTCAAAAGGGTTCCATTTACTGCATATCCCAGCAGAGCATCCAATAACTTCATAAACTGCAAAATCTTTTTCAGTTGTGAGCTCCACTGCAGCCAGGTCTCTGACTGAAGAGAGACAAGGAATGACCCAGACAATTGGACTCGCAAGTCAGTCCAGTGTAAGAAATCCCACAGTCCAGGGACAACAGCATATTCTTCCCCACACCACAGATTCTAGGTTAGATCTGTATGAAACAGGAGCTCAGAACCTCCAAAAATTAAGTGGTGGATCTCAGAGTGTGGGGGCCCACCATATTTCTGCATGTAATTCTGCTGTGGACAGTCTGTGTGATAAAATTAAATGGGCAAGTGAAGAATTAAAACATTCATCTGGAGTGGAATATAGCATTCAGTTGTGTAATCTTATTAAGGCTAGTGCAGATGCTCTACAGAGTTTAAAGTCTCTTAATTAATGAGTAAAAGATATTATAGCAATTTTTTTCTTAAATAATAACAATATGGCACTTTGTTACATTAACTGAAAATTTATGTGACTTTCAATTTCTAAAGACTTGTGAAAAAATCCTGATTCTGAAATATAATGAAATAAAAAGAAAGGACTTAATATGAATCTAATGTTCTGTCTTGAATATATACTGAAAGGAAAAAGAAACGCAGGGTAAACTTTTGAAGTGATTTAATGTTATATTTTCAAATGTATTTTCCAATATTATTATCTAACATTTAAACTCATCTTTCATCAACAAGCAAGCAAAATCTCACTTGATTTTGACCTATAATTCATGAGTTATTGAAACTCAAATGAAGATACCCCCAAAAGTGAAAATTGAAAATTCTCATTATCTCCTATGCCTCCCTCGCGCATCTATCAAGGCTTTATTCACAGCCTTAATTCTACTTTGCATGGAGTTCATAAGTGCATTTGTCTTTCTCATAGGAATATTATTCAACCCTTTCAACAAGGCACCGCTTAGTTTGTCGAGAGTAGCTGGGGCATTCCGACGCTTTTAAACCCTAACATCCAGTTACTCCCACAGGTGTTCGACTGAAGAAAAAAAAAAGATGGTCACCAGTCGAGTAGGTTAATGTGAATGTTTGCGAGAAAGTCTTGAAAAACTCTAGCCTCATTGGGCCGTGGGTTAACATGCTGAAAAATTAGGCATAATGTGCACACGCGCGCGTGAAAGGAACACTGACGTGAAGTTAACGAGCTCACAAACCAAAATTGCATAATGGGTTTCTTTCAGTTTTTGGGGATGAATGTAACGATTTTGATTGCCTACAGTATTAAATGTGGTTTCAGTTGTTGTAAGTGGCGATTACGCAGATGGCAAGATGAATAGCCCAATCTTGACGTGGCGTTGTTACGCGCCAACGTCATGGTCACGGTTGATTGGAAACCTTTCCAGACCCTCTCTGACGACGGATAAGACGTTCTATGGTGAAAATGCACAGCAACCTTTTCTTTCCCTTTTCTTTACTTAGGCAATGCAATGGCCAGACCCCATGGAACTTCTGTCAGCCATAACGTGATTACAAAAATTTAAATTCTCTTTTAATATCGAAAAACGATGTGTACATCTTTAGTGCATCAAGTGGTGTTACAAGATGTGTTGACAAACCTGTCATCATCAATATGCACTTGTTTTTAACTTTTTACCTTTTTCCCTACGTGACGTTATACATTTCAAGGTTGAGTAATTCTGAACATCGATTTGAGTGCACAGTTACCAATATACCCCTTTGACCAGTTTCGGTAAATTTAGGATGCAATCAAAAACTTTTCGCATAGTATGTTACCCTGCGTTTTTTTCCCTTTCAGTATCATATATTGATGTTGATTTATTTAAGGGGAAAAGAGAGTGTGGAACAAAACCTTTATTGTCTTGTTTTATAGTGTATGCATGTACTAAATAATCTTACTTGGTCTTGAATCAGTAAATAACATCATTCAACCATAATTATATATCTGGCAATTTTCTTTGCAATTATTCTGTCCTTTGATGTCTTTGATTTCAGCTTTAATAATTGTATGCTCATTATGTACATGAGCTAAAAAATAAACAAATTACTGTCCATCAAAGCTTGCAACTGTTAGTGGCATGTGAAGATATGAAATTATTTTGGTTTAATCATTTGAAGTCAACTACCTTGTTTAACCTAAAATTTTAGGCACAACTGGTAAATAAATGGGGACCATGTTTAAGATGGCAATGTATAGTCTGCAGATCTTAGAATTATTTTCAACATATTAGAAATGGCATATCATCATTCAAAATGTAATTTTGAACAAAAAAAAGAGTTTTTCCGCCATTTACTTCTGGGTATGAAATTTGCTAATGTCATCAATGAAGATCGGCAAAAGTCACCTATTTAAACTTGTAACATATAAGAATTTCTAGGTCAAAGGTAAAGACTGACTGTCACCTTTTACGGAGATAATTAAAATTTTTCATCCTCGATCGTCTACCTATGTATTAAGTTTGACCTCGATACAATCTGTCAGAATTGGACAAACATACGTTCAACGCTGCCTATTTGAAGATCAAAAGAGAAAAAAAAAATTCAACCTTCCTGATGATCTTCGAATAAAGTCCACTCATTTAAGGTATATAAGAAATTAGAAGATTATATGAAGATTAAGACACCTGTAACAGCGAAACTCAAAAGCCTCACAAATTTGTTGATCTATAAAGATGGCAGTACAGTCATCCTCCGTCTCATCGTCGATCCTACTTATGCACGAAATATCTGAAATATATAAATGACTGTGAATTTTATTGATGTCATGTGCATGTACACGTATGTGATAAGCAGAAAAGTTCAAATGTTGACCCTTGAATATTTATCAAAAATATGTTTAGGAATTGATTTGATTGAGATGTGTATTCTTGCCCTTTTTTACGCATGAAGAACATGGAACTGTTATCACAAATAATTACTGGAAAGGATATTTCTTATTGCTTTGTATCAATACTGTTCTCCGAGCGAAACTAGATTTTAAGAACCTCATCACTTTACATAGACAAATTGAAATGCGTACAGTGTTATTGGTGTTATATAATTAAAGATTTAATTTATACCATTTTCTATACATGTATTTGCAATAAAGTAGAACATATCGCAATCGGGGAGATAGATTTCATTCAATTCACATGGCCACCTGTGTTGGAAATCTGCACACTCTGCATGAGTCATAAGTAGACTGATAAGAAGTTGGACAATCTTTTGTTGACTACCCAGTTTTTAGACAGAATGGTGGATTTCTACTTTATTCCCCCCCTCCCCCAAAAGAATCATTTCATTGCATTGAAAAAATATAATTAAAAAATAATGAAAATGAAGAAAAGACACAGTTTAATCTTATCATGAATCAAAAATCTTTCTGTCAAAGTGTACAATCAGCCCATGAAAAAATATGATTATCGGTCATATGTCATATGATAATTACACGAAGGTGTTTCTCAATAACCTCTATATATACGAGTCAGAATTTCAGAAACTCTACTTATAACGATGGCCGCGGCACCGTCTTTCCTTGTCGTATGCCTGCTAATAGTGAATACAATTAACTGTCTTCCTGCACACTCCCCGGGGACAAAATTTTCCCCAACACCGACTCAAAAGTTTTCAAAACATACAGTGCTGGACCCAGATGGAAATTTTCATCTATTTTGGAATTTTAATTCTACTCATATAACATTTGAAGCTCACGTAAAAACACACGGCTATGTTGGCTTAGGACTCTCTCCTAACGGAAAGATGTACCCAGCAGACATCGTCATTGGATGGGTAAAGCACGGACGTGTTTTCTTGAAAGTAAGATACATGTAAAATTCATTTTGCAATTATTATTATGTTGATTATAACATCATTATATATTATGTTGTCGTATTAAAAAGCAAAAGATTATTGCATGAATCCTAAGACAGAACTTGTTGATATACATTGGTTTTCAATAAATTATGTTTTATGAGAAAAAAAAACATGTAATCGCCCTATTGTAATTTAACATAAATATTTTAAAATTCTTTAAGCTTGTTGGTTCCAGAAAGTTTACACACAAACCTGTCTTTAATATACATGTTATTCTCTTTTTTCCTTCCACTGTTTAAATGGAGTGTGATATTTCCGCGAACAACGCCTAGTTGACATAGATTTTGATAAGTTTTCTTTCTGAATTAAGTAATTTCCGAAGTCCTGGTTAATTAATAGATTAGATCAAATGAAAACAAACCATAACAACATTTTTACTGTGGTAAGCCCAAAAAATACTTTTGAAGTGCAAATGTTTAGTATGCCGGCATTCATATTGAGAAAAACTATGGCAGATCGAAGAAACCTTAAGATCATTTGTTATCTACGATTTATTTAGGACAGACACTCAACCGGACAATTTGAACCAGTTATTGATGCTTCTCAAGACTGGATTCTTCTTCATGGAGAAGAAAACCAACATGGAACTGTTATCAAAACAGTCCGCAAACTGGACACGTGTGATGATGATGACGTCAAGATAACGGTAACTTGCAACATGCTTTCTGTCCTTTAGCTGTGATTTGACCTTGGAGAAGAATGTAGCAGATAGCAATAGATAGATCGCATTACATATCCATTACTAAGTTACAGAATTTTAGATTTGACGTCATGTACAATGTATCGCGTCGACGTCACATTAAAATTGGACAAACATTCCTTTAATTTATCTAAGGTTACATACAGTGTACATGTATACAGATTTTTAAAAAAATGAAGTAATCAAGGGACATTGTATTTGTTCTACTAATACCGTATATCATGTTGAAATGGGAATAATGTTGAAATATTGGTGTTTAAATTTCTTTTTTTCATTAATCAATAATAATCAAGTAATAAAACTGTGTAAACACATTGAAAATTATTATGTTGTTCAAAGAAATAAAGTTTTAAAAAATTCTTAGAAATGAGAAAAAAAAATATTGAAAAAATTAAAATAACATGATTATCACATTGCCGAAGGAACCGGGGGGGGGGGGGGCACGGGGGGCCGTGCCCCCCCCCCCGTAATTTTGCCGATATATAGATTACTATAAAAAAAAAGCTACTATATGCCTGTGCCCCCTCAATAAATACGTCTGATGACCCCCTTTTCTTTTTTTTTTTTGCTTGTCAAGAAATTTTTGACTGTCGATAGTGCCCCCTCAACTGAAAATGTATGGCTGTGCCCCCCCCCCCCCAACAGAAATTGCTTCCTACGGACCTGTATCATATAGCATCACAAGTGATTATTTTACTTTTGACATTTTTTTACAGAATGACACTGTTCTGGTAATCTACTCCTACAGTGACCACGAACCTGAGCACGAGGGTGAAGGTCTTGTCTATCACGGGACCCACAGGGGCGCCAAAAGTCTCATGTTATTGACCGAGACCAAAACAACCGCCATGCCTAGTGACGTTATATCACGTGATCTGTTGAATAACAGGGTATCAATTGTGGCTTACAAGTACCAAATACATGTAGCAATTTTTTTTATAACAAAAAATTATTATTTTCATATCAATATTTTTTTCATAAATACTTACTGCTTTCCCGAAGTTGGTAGTGAAACAGACATCTTGCTAAGCTCTATATGATAAAAGCCAGCCGCACTTGTCAATTCAATATAATTCTATTGCACATTTCTCCTTCCGTCTACTGAGAATGTTATGCCTAACATCTTACTTATTCAAACAATATATCTGTACAGTACCAATCAATGTTTTTTTTTTTAGTTTCTTTTTCTACGAATCAACATTCTTTTCAGTAGTTTTGACGCAATAGAACAATCAACTTATTTTTCACAGCAGTGCTATTCATCTGTCTTTTACCATATTTGTTTTCATCACAGTATCTCTTCATCACAGTATCAATCCCATGTCTCTTTCTATTGTTTGGTACAACAGTATCAATCAATTTCATCCAAATATTCATAATTTCAGTGCCAATAAACTGTCTTTCTGTAACGCTTAATCTCTTCAGTACCATTCAACTTTTTCTTTAACCAATCATATCTGTCTTTTTACGGCGTTTTTGTCACAGCAGTACTAGAAATCTTTTTTCCTACATTTCATTACTACAATACCAAACATCTATCTTTTTTTAATTCTTAATCACAAGACTACAATATAATTAAGTAAACAGTTTTTTCCCTGTGTTTTATCACAATGTACACTTCTATCAAACGTCTTTTCCCAACGACCTTTTTCCAATGTTTCATCACTGCATTACTAGTTACGCGTCTTTTTCTAATGTTTTATTCTTGCAATACCAATCATGTGTCTTTTTCAAATGTTCCATCACTGAAATACCAATCGTGTGTTTTGCCAATGTTTTATAACTGAAATATCATTGAAGTGTCTTTTTCAAACTTTTATCACTACAATACTAATCATGTGTCTTTGTCCAATGTTTCACCACTTCAATACTAATCATGTGCCAAAAGTTTTTGGATGGATCTTCTTCTTGAGAATATAAAGACAGCTAATGAATGATCACAATTAATGACCATGGAATTTCAACAGAATTGTTGAAGACCTGTTCTCCAAAAACTCCATATTGTCAATGAAACTTCAAGCATCTCTTTAACCTCAGAGTACTTGTCATACATGCTGTCTATTTTCGAAAAGAATTCAACTTTTCTAAAATTTCTTTTGAGTTTTGGAGCATCCACATTTGATTTACACCGCCTCTTTAATATATTATAGCTCAGTACGCTTGAACTTCTTTACAGAAGTTAATATTTTTGTAAAGAGTAAAGACAGGGGTTTAATAAAACATTAACTGGACCCTACAATGTATCTTTGTTTTTCAGAATTGTAATAACATCAAATTTTGAATCGATTAATCACATTGTCTCCAGTGAATGGAATATTAAAATATATATCATGTACATGTTTAGAAATTGAAACATAGATTGGAATCCTTTGTTAGGTAACTATGAGTATGATTTTGATCACCAATGTGGAATTAAAGTCAGGTTCTTTATTGCTTTTATACTAAATTCGACTACGGAGTACTCCGTATACCAGGGGTCCGTGGTTTTGTCCTGTTCACAATTCCTTTTGTTTACTGGATTTATGAGATTGATTACTGTACGTTATTTTCACTTTTGCATTATTTACGATTAAAGTCGTATTCATTGTTAAAAGTACTGTTTTTCTGACTCCATTTTGAGACAAAAAGTTAATTTTTCTCCACCTTGATCTTTGAAAGTTTTTTGTCTGTTTTCCTGCACTTCTGTTCAAAAAATCACTTGATATCAAGCCTTTGAATGTCCAAAGACGAGACAAGATTTCGTGAAACAATAACATTATCGGCGATTCCAAGTATTCCAAGTAATAAGCTAAGGTTTTTGGTAGCTTGAAGGAGCGAAAAGGTACAAGTACATTGTCAATTCGAAAATAGAAGGAACTCAGTGTAATTAAACTCATGCATATACAATTACACATGTATATAGTTTATGAAACTAAGATGTAAACTAAATAAAATTTCAGTTCAGCCATCAAGAACTCAAGATGCTGGTTCCAGATTCCCCGTACGTTGAGCCACCATCTGCACGTCATATGTCGATGGTTTCAAAGATGACGTCACTTCCAACAACACCTAATCCATGTGGTTCTCCTGTACCATCAGAAAAGTTTGATTTTCAGGAAAACATCGATCCTGATGGAAAATACGTACTCTTTTGGAATGTAAACAAAACACACATAGTATTTGAAGCCCAAGTGGAAACTAAGGGTTACATTGGATTTGGATTATCTCCAAACGGGAAAATGTATCCTGCTGACGTCGTAGTAGGGTGGGTTAAAGACGGAGTTCCTCATTTCAAGGTACAACTTTAATTCTGAAACATGTAAAAAGAGGATACATTTTTATTTACTATAAGTTATGCTAAAATGTCTCTTATACTTTAGGATATGCACACTATTGGTCACTCTAGACCTATCGTGGATTCGTCTCAAGATTGGCAGCTTCTTTATGCAAAAGAGGATAGTTGTAGAACTTTATTAAAAATGGTCCGGAAGTTAGATACTTGTGATGATAAAGACTTTAAAATCACGGTATGCATACCTTCATAATTGTTAAGAATTCAAAAGTCGTGATAAAAACCTTTATACCTTTATTTTTACTAGACTAAAATGTTTGTTTTTGTTTTCTAATGTATATTTTGTGTGTCTATATCTTGTTTCAAAAGAGATTCTAATAAATATCTCCAAAAGATAACTTAAAACACTCAAAAGTTTTAGTTTATTATGTTACCTGGACAAGATTATCTATCCAAATGTTTTTGATATTTATTGATGAGTATTTAAAGATCAGCTTTCAAAATTTTTACATTGATCTGTAAATACGAAATTCTTTATCCTAAATTTCCTTTTGTACATTTACCACAGGATGATACTGTGAAGATAATTTATTCATACCATCAGACTGATCCTGTAAGTCATGACAGCATTATGTATCATGGGGTCAACCGAGGAGTCAAAAGTCTTTTGCTTCTGTCCAAATTATCTCCTCCAATACTAGAGAGTGATTCCAAAGTCATCGATTTTTTCAACAATAACGTAAGAGTTGTCTACATTTTTATAAACAGAAAAAAAAATGAACAAAAGTAGTGGTTGAAAATTGAATTTTCGGGAAAAAAATCTGCAGAGTGGTGATAGACGTAAGAGTTCGTCCATTACACTTTTTGGAGTTTCTGATTCGATATGTATGTGGGTTTAGGAAATTGTCTGTATTTACCTCTAGCATATGTGACGATTTCGATGTGCACATAAATAAACATATAGTGTATAAATACAATGTGATGATTTCGATGAATAAAATGGTACTTTTTGAATTTAAGGTGAATATACAGAATGGAACACATCCATTAAATTTAAGTGCTGAAGAGTTCGAAATTGTCATAATAGTGTCCATCTTTATATTCAAATTTTGATTTTTATGGTAAGCAATCTCGAAGATTACTTCTATTGACAAGACAGGGTTATTTTCAATATTTACTGTCCTTTCAGTACCACGTCCCTGCTGTTGACACAACCTACAGCTGCCGAATCTTTGACTTGTCTACTCTTCACAAAAAGCATCATCTCACTAAGGTATTGATAATTTCAGGACCATCAATGGACTGCCTTTGCTTTTTTTACAAACAAACTTTCTCGCTTTATATTTGTATAAATGTTTCTGTAATACATGTATTATGAAATAAGTATTCTATTCCTTAAGTAAAAAATTCACTTTGATATTTTGACTTCGACTGTTTTTTCCCCACAGTTCGAGGTAATTGTACAGAAGGGCCATGATGTTTTGGTGCACCATATTGTACTCTACAAATGTCCAGGAATCAACCGAAGCCTTATCCATTCCTCAAATTATGTATGTTACAAGGATCTTGATAAATCCAAACATCCATGTGGTAAAACCGTGGCCATCTGGGCCGTAGGTGGAGAGGTAAATAAAGATCATTCATTAGTGATAAAGCAAATACCACAGAAATAGATTATATTTAAGAAAATATCTCTCTAGCTCACCCGAGGTTTAAGTTAGCTTTTCTGGTCATACTTTTGTCCATTGTCTATCTGTGTCGTTGTCATTTCAGATTCGGATTTAATAGGTTAACCACTGTCTTAACATTAGAAAATGTAAAAGTTTCGGGGTAAAAAAGAATATATTTTCGTCGATGATTGAGCATACTGGTAAAATTCTTGAAAGAATTCTTGAAAAATTAAATGATAAAAAAGAAATAATTCCAAAATAATTCTAATTTACTACCCAGTATATTTTTGATTTTATTTTTTACTTACTTCCTGGGATTACTTTGCATCGAAATTTCACTGATGCAATCATCCTTGGCATCATCATGAAATTAAAATAAACTTTTTGAAGGCGTTCTATTTCCCTGACGAGGCCGGACTTCCAGTGGCTGAACCCGGAGACACGGATCTGTACATCATGGAAACACACTACAACAACCCGGGACTAAGAAATGGTCAGTATTTCAAACCATACCACTTAATTGATTTTAAACTCTTTTTACAACCGGTTCTGAATAAAAAATATTCAAGTTATTCCATTGAATATCCCACTTTAACAAAACAACCTTAAATACTTCCTATATGTTTAATTAAGGATATTAACTCAAACTGAACATTTTCTCCTTTTTCATTTTTTATGAAAACCACGTCTCGTATTCAATCCGTTTACTCTAAACTAGTTAGAATCAGTTTTTCAACGCCATCTGTATGAAAGATTTTTTTAAAGCTTAAAAGCATTGGGCTCTTCCATCTTCAGTCTCTGTTACACAGATTTGGTGGATAACTCTGGGTTACGGTTGACCGTGACCCCTACCCTTAGGCTTCATGACGCTGGTATTTTGGAAATTTCTGCGGTGGTTGACCAGAGTCAAGTGATTCCTCCTCATCAACCCAATTTTGTTTCAACTGTCTTCTGTAACGAATCCATCTTACACCAGGTATTCTACTGTTTTCTTTTAAAAGAGCTTGCTGCGACACAAAAATCAGTTTCCGTCGTCAGATGTATTTTCCTTGCTCTGTCAGTCTATGAACGGTAGTTTAACTAGAAACTCATTGCGAGCAATGAGAGGTCTTCCGTCCGATTCTGAAAATAAAAACGAAAATTCAAGCTGAAAAAGTGATAAAGGAAATTCAGACACTGGAGATTTAACCCTGGTTTTCAGAGTGAAAATCCAACGTGCTAACCATTAAGCATTCACGTTTTTGCATCACTTCCTGTCACGACCGGAAGTCACGGCGATACAAGATTTTCTCACGAATCAAATAAACTGATGATTGACTATCAGTCCTGAAATTTTTAGACTTCAGTCGTTTATTGTTGCCGAGCAATATTGTGAGAACAAATTCTAATTTTGAGGACAGGTAAACATGCGACCGGAAGTGAATTTTATAAAAATCTCTGACTTTTCTCTAGACATTTGCAGTATCTACAACATACATAAATTATTTCAATTACTTTATCGATAAGCAATATTTATGAGAAAAATAAATATAAAAATAACGTAGTTTATCTCCGAAAACCGGAAGTTGACGTTTTTGTTTCCGGTGGAATCTAACATATTTCAAAGCAGCGAAAGAGATGCAATAAAGTGATGAAAGTTTTAATTCAAAAAAGAAAAGTTAAAATTTTTGATTTGTTTGATCACTTCCTGTGACAAGCGGAAGTGACGACTGACGCGTTTAACCAAAATGATTTCGCCTACTCATCAAGATCTATTACTCATAAAAGTTTGGTGTTTCAATCTTATACCTGTTTTTGAGATCACGCTCAGGCAACTTCTCATTTTGAGGACAGGAAAACACGCGACCGGAAGTGAATTTTCGAAAGATATTTCAGGTTACTCTAGACATTTGCACTCTGAATAACATATTTAAAATTCATTTTAAATACTTTATCTATAAAGAATATTTATAGGAAAGTAAAATACTCAAATCATGTAGTTTTTCTCTTATAACCGGAAGTTGACGTTTTTGTTTCCGGTGGGACCAACATCTTTCGAATCTGCCAAAAAGATGCAATAAAGTGATATAATTTTTAATTAAAAAAAGAAAAGTGCAAATTTTCGATTTCTTTGATCACTTCCTGTGACAACCGGAAGTGACGGCTGACGATCTTAACCCAAATGGTTTTGCCTATATCTTAAGGTCTGTTGCTCATATAAGTTTGGTGTCATAATCTCTTACAGTTTTCGAGATCTTGCTCACACAACTTCTCATTTTAAGGACAGAAAAACACGCGACCGGAAGTGAGTTTTACAAAGATATTTGACGTTACTCTAGACATTTGCAGTCTTAATAACATATTCAAAATTCATTTCAAATACTTTATCTACAAAAGATATTAATGGGAAAGAAAAATACTCAAAGTATGTAGTTTTTCTCTTATAACCGGAAGTTGACGTTTTTGTTTCCGGTGTGACCAACATATTTCGAAACTACAAAAGAGATGCAATAAAGGGATTTAAGTATTGATTTGAAAAAGGAAAGTTGAAATTTTACGATTTCTTTGATCACTTCCGTTAGCAACCGGAAGTGCCGACGACGAACGAAAAGTAGCGACCCGGCTAGTATCTATCACGATCTATAATCCCTGAAAGTTTCACATTGATATCTTTTACCGTTCCCGAGATTATCCGCGGACAAAATGTCTTTTTGAAATCAGAAAATGGTCTCTAACTTGGCACCGGAAGTGAATTTCCAAATTTTCTCTCAGATATTATAAATTCATGTTACTACACATAATTCCTGAAAATTTCATGCAAATCCATTTAATAGTCTTCGAGAAATCGCGTGCACAAAATTAGAATGTCAAAAAAATAATTATAAAAATAACTAGAAACTCATTACTAGTAATGAGAAGGTCTTCCGTTCTACTACTTCCTGTTTGCATCAATATGTCTTTTCCAACGTCGGTATTAGCCTATAATTTATGTAGAAACAAAATAACTTAAAAAATCACTTTTTTGCTTCGTTTCCTGTCACGACCGGAAGTAATGACGACACACGATCTTTACACGATGCAAATGAACTGATGACTGACTATAAGTCCTGAAAGTTTTAGACTTCAGTCTATTATTGTTGCCGAACAAATGTGAGAACAAATTCTAATTTTGAGGACAGGAAAACACACGACCGGAAGTGAACTGAATAAAAATCTCTGAATTTTCTCTTGACTTTTGTAGTATCTACAACATATGTAAAAAAAACATTTCAAATACTTATATATAAGTGATATTTATGAGAAAGTTAAACCACGAAATAACGTAGTTTATCTCTTAAGACCGGAAGTTTGAAGTTTTTGTTTCCGATAGAATCTAACATATTTCAAAACAGCGAAAGAGAAGCAATAAAGTGATGCAAGTTTTAATTTTAAAAAGAAAAGTTGAAATTTTTGATTTCTTTGATCACTTCCTGTGACGACCGGAAGTGACGGCTTACGCGTTTAACCCTATATGTTTTGCCTACTCACCAAGGTTTATTACTCCTATAAGTTTGGTGTCTTAATCTCATGTCGTTTCCGAGATCTTTCTGAAATAAGTTTTCATTTTGAGGACAAGAAAACACGCGACCGGAAGTGAATTTTACTAAGATATTTCACGTCACTCTAGACATCTGCAGTCTCAATAACATATATAAAAATCATTATAAAAATCATTTAAAGAACTCTATCTATAGGCGATATGTATGGGAAAATTAAATACCCTTTTATGTAGTTTTTCTCTTATAACCGGAAGTTGTCGTTTTTTGTTTCCGGTGGGACCAACACATATCGTAACTGTGAAAAAGATACAATTATATGATGCAAGTCTTATTCCAAAAGAGAAAAGTTGAAATTTTTTATTTCTTTGATCACTTCCTGTGACGAACGGAAGTGACGGCTGACGCTCCAAATGGTTTTGTCTACTCCTCAAGGTCTAATACTCCTATAAGTTTGGTGTCTAAATCTCTTACCGTTTCTGAGATATCACTGGGACAAGTTCTGAATTTGCGGACATTTAAACGCGCGACCGGAAGTGAATTTTACGAAGATATTTGACGTTACTCTCGACATTTGCAGTCTTGATAACATATTTAAAAATCAGTTCAAATACTTTATCTATAAAAAATATTTATGGGAAAGTAAAATACTCAAATTATGCAGTTTTTCGCTTATAGCCGGAAGTTGACGTTTTTGTTTCCGGTGGGACCAACATATTTCGAATCTACAAATAAGATGCAACAATGTAATGAAAGAAAAAAATCAAAAAAGAAAAGTTGAAAATTTCGATTTCTTTAATCACTTCCTGTGACGACCGGAAGTGACGGCTGACGCTCTTAACCCAAATGGATTTGCCTACTCCTCAAGATCTATTACTCATATAAGTTTGGTGTCTTAATCTCTTACCGTTTCTGAGATATGACTCGGACAAAATATTTCTGAAAAAAACGGAAATCGGACATATCTGATGACCGGAAGTGAATTTTGAAGAATATGAAAAATACATTTGTAGGTATTTTTATTCTCTATTATCCCTGAAAATTTCAAGAGAATCCGTCTAGCCATCTCTGAGAAATTGTCCGAAAAGAAAAGGGGAAAAAAATAATAATAATGATAATAACTAGAAACTCATTACTAGTAATGAGAAGGTCTTCCGTTATACTACTTCCTGTTTGCATCAACATGTCTTTTCCAACGTCGGTATTAGCCTAAAATTTATGTAGAAACAAAATAACTTAAAAAATTACTTTTTTGCTTCGTTTTCTGTCACGACCGGAAGTAATGACGACACACGATCTTTACACGATGCAAATGAACTGATGACTGACTATCAGTCCTGAAAGTTTTAGACTTCAGTCTATTATTGTTGCCGAACAAATGTGAAAACAAATTCTAATTTTGAGGACAGGAAAACACACGACCGGAAGTGAACTGAATAAAAATCTCTGAATTTTCTCTTGACTTTTGCAGTATCTACAACATATGTAAAAAACATTTCAAATACTTATATATAAGTGATATTTATGAGAAAGTTAAACCACGAAATAAAGAAGTTTATCTCTTAAAACCGGAAGTTTAAAGTTTTTGTTTCCGATAGAATCTAACATATTTTAAAACAGCGAAAGAGAAGCAATAAAGTGATGCAAGTTTTAATTTTATAAAGAAAAGTTGAAAATTTTGATTTTTTTGATCACTTCCTGTGACGACCGGAAGTGACGGCTTACGCGTTTAACCCTATATGTTTTGCCTACTCACCAAGGTTTATTACTCCTTTTAGTTTAGTGTCTTAATTTTATGTCGTTTCCGAGATCTTTCTGAAATAAGTTTTCATTTTGAGGACAAGAAAACACGCGACCGGAAGTGAATTTTACTAAAATATTTCACGTCACTCTAGACATCTGCAGTCTCAATAACATATATAAAAATCATTTAAAGAACTCTATCTATAGGCGATATGTATGGGTAAATTCAATACCCTTTTATGTAGTTTTTCTCTTATAACCGGAAGTTGTCGTTTTTTGTTTCCGGTGGGACCAACACATATCGTAACTGTGAAAAAGATACAATTATATGATGCAAGTCTTATTCCAAAAGAGAAAAGTTGAATTTTTTTATTTCTTTGATCACTTCCAGTGACGACCGGAAGTGACGACTGACGCTCTTAACCCAAATTCTTTTGTCTACTCCCCAAGGTCTAATACTCCTATAAGATTGGTGTCTTAATCTCTTAGCGTTTCTGAGATCTCACTCGGACAAGTTCTCATTTTGCGGACATTCAAACGCGCGACCGGAAGTGAATTTTACAAAGATATTTGACGTTACTCTAGACATTTGCAGTCTTGATAACATTTTCAAAAATCAGTTCAAATACATTATCTATAAAAAATATTTATGGGAAAGTAAAATACTCAAATTATGCAGTTTTTTGCTTATAGCCGGAAGTTGACGTTTTTGTTTCCG